CGAGCATTGCGTGAGCACTCCATTTGGGCTAAGGATAATCGATAGCTCGACAAGCATTCGGGTAGTGGCCCGTGTCCAATCGCTGCAATAGCCGAACCATAACAATGTCTGGAACTCAGCGCGTGTCCTTCTTTGCCAACCCCGGCGTGTGGTTATGATCAACATTGGCGGAACATAATCGATCCCAGATAGCGTGGCAGCCTGCTCTGGCTGTGAGTTGAGGGGGGTGAGCGTTGCTCGTTTTTCTTTCTTTTTTTTTTTTTTTTCTGCGACTTTTATTTTGTGTAACAAAAAACGAACGCGTGTTTTGTGTTTCATAGGCCATTAACGTCAGGGATTCGTTCTAAGCGGTATTTGGACAAAGTACACAAATCGTTGCATCGCCCCTTTAACACTTCTACCATGCACCTGGCAGGATCCCGAAAGTGTGATGATGACTAGCTGTCCCATCTTTGTTCCCCGACCCCGCGCCATCAGGATTTTTTTTTTTTTTTGTCGCTTTTGCGTTTCCATTAAACAGTCACTCTGATCCATTTCTCTCGCTTTTTCCCGCAACTAAAGGAGACGTTGAACACCTGCTCTTTCTCAATTTATGTCCTCACTTCCTGACTGCACTGAGAGAGCTTCGCACAGTACACCTTTCGGTCGGTGCGCGTGTTATACAATTTCATGCTCAACAGTTGACAATCAAGTATCACTGCGTGCGCCTTTATCAGGGTACAGTGTTATAGCCGATTCACACGACGGACTGATCCGCGGACGGATTGATCACGTGACGACATATCCGCGGTTCGTCTGTCTCCCAAGCGCATCCACACGAGGGAGACGACGAGCAGACGCCAGTGAGGACGGACCGAACCTGTTCGCACCCCACAGTGCCGCGAAACTCCCACATCGCACAGTAGCACCGTTGTCCAAGAGAGAAATCGACGGTTGCTACCGCGATAAAGAATCGTACGCCGCTGCTACGTACAGATCGAGAACAAAACACCGGGACAGGCTTCGCGCGAAGCGCCACTAACTTTACTAACCCAAAGCATGACAGTGACACAGGCATGATCCTGCCCGAAAAAGCTTCGGCGTAGACGCGACGAACTTCTGGGCTCGCGGAGGGGCGTTTGGAGATGCCTTCACACACTCCGCGCTCGTGCACAACACTCAAGCACACCACATCCACAAGAGGGGGCTTGCTCGGTGAAATCCTGATTGGACGTGCAAGAATTATCGCGGCGTGCTAGACTAGTTTTGACGGGAGCTTCTTGACACGGACCCGGAGGAGCACCGGAACCTGCGTCGCGTCAGCCGGACAAAGTTTCTGGAGTTTCTCTCACGCGTGGAACCAAGAATCGTACGACAAAATGAACCAACAAACGCACAAAACGCAACGACGCGTCATTTTTGTTTTGAACGCACAAAAGCAAAATACCAAGAAAACCATGTACCGTTGCCAGACTAAATGCTTTCCAAGTCAGTCTGCCGCCAAACGTCCGCGAGTGAAAAAGGCGCTCGACTTTATCAGTCCGCGCCTCCGCGGAGGAGGCGCGGATCGCAGGAATCGGTGACGTGCCGGTCACGTGGTACACGGTCCGCGGACGAAAATCGCGATTTGGTCCGTCGTGTGAATCGGCTATTATCAGGGTGAAATTTCGCCGTGGCTCGTGCACTCACTCCCTGCGGTGGCGCTGCTCTCAGCTCCGCGCATGCGCAGACGAGTCCCCTCGGGCGAATGTGGCCTCTGCGCACGCGCAATGCCCACACCTGGTGTGGGAGTTGCCACAGATCGGTAACTGGCTGCTTTTCCAGTACCCAAGGTATCGAGGTACTTTTATTATTATTATTATTATTATTATTATTATTATTATTATTATTATTATTATTATTTTCGCTAACAAGTATCTTAGGTACAAGTTCTGGTAACTTGTAACTACGACAAATTACTTTCCTGATCTCCAGCAAAACGAGGAATGGCTAAGACCTGCACTAGATGAAGCGGCATTTGTCGACTCTACACAATCATAAAAAAAAAAAAAAAAAAGAACGAAACGGAAATTATTTGTATAGGCCCGTAGCTCTCGAATTTTGAGCAGCGCTCCATGCGAGCAAAATAGAATATTTAGATCGCGTTTCGAACGTGGGTCAATACGTTTCCCCACGACAGTTCTTGACACTCCGTTCCATTCTAAGTGCCAGCGTAGCAGAGGCTACAGAAGCGAGCTGCGAGCTTTCAGCGTCCCTGCCAAGCACGCGCGCTCGTGCAGTGCGAGCAGCGTTCATGAGTACGTGCTTTTGCGAGTAGCTTCGGCTTCGCTATCACGTTTTGTGAAATATACGAGCTCGCGGTAGCTATGAAAGAATGCAAAGATGAAAGGAATGTTTTATAGAACGCTGCGGCCGCGAACTGCTTTTTTTTTTTTTTTAGCTTTTTTAGACGTTTTGTTATCGCGCATCTACAAATGCTGACAGATGCTTGTATTCGAACGTGGCACGTGCAAAATCGAACGTTACAGAGCCACCTGGATGGTGCAGCCAGCATAACATGGTTGCGTCTTGGGTAAGTAAGTATTCCGGACGCACTCGCGCTCTCTGCCCCAGAGCAACGGGTCTATAGAGCGAGACGCCGTAAACTGAACGGAATCGGGCTTGCGCTTCCAGGGAACGGCAGATTGGTTTTAAACCACACTAAAGTTTTCGACGCTCAAATAAAAATAAATAAATAAAGCGGATGCTTCGATTCTTCGAGCCTGACGCTGAAAACGTCGGCACGCGCGAAGGGGACACAGTGGGGAACGAACGGCGATCACCGCTGAACTCGCCTGACAAATCTACATCGGGACGCTACCATGTTAGCCCGCAAATAATTCGCAGCCACGTCAAAATCTGACCCACGAGAAATCCTCGCGCAGGCACGGGCCTTCGAACCACCACGAGCTGTCTGACGCTCACGAAGAATATTTGGGGCGGACAGCTCGCAATCGGCTCTCGCGCGAGCTGCCGAAGAAGCGCCCCCACGAAGACGAACAGTTCGAGTACGGCGCCACGAAAAGAACAGCTGGCCCATATTTGAACGGCGACGGAAGCCCCGAACTTACGCAACCCCGAGCAAGGGCATACTTCCAAGTTTAAAGGGAGGAATCTTCATTGCCAGGAAAACACGGAACGGGGCCCCGATTGCGAATCCCGACGAGGCGCCGTACGAAGACGGAGGCTGGTTGCAATCAAGTTAACTCGTGTACCGCTTTAATTAGGGGAAAAATAATGAGGCAACTGCAATTATTTCCAAGGAGGGCGCCGATAATCGGTACCTGTCGACGATTCGAAGGACCCATTTCTGCGAAACTCCATTTGTGTCCGACGGCCACTTCCCAAGTTTTCACAGACACGGCGCCAGGCTACACGAGCGCTCGCAGGTTATCAGTTGAGGAAACGCGAGTCGGAGCTCGTAGCTTTGCGCCTGGCGCAGCTTTCAACCGGCTTACAACCAGAAAGCCGCGGACACCACGTACAAGACAGTCTGTAGACTGTCTTTGGTATGATATATTCGCAATGTGACCGAAGGTTAGGGGCGACAGTTCGGGACGGACACCACAAACAAAAACAGGAGGAACACGACTTTAGAACAACGTACAAGACAGTAATGATTGACGAAATGGCAAAAGAAACAGGCAAAGAGACAGAGTAAAAAAAAAAAAAAAATATATATATATATATATATATATATATATATATATATATATATATATATATATATATATATATATATATATTAATTACAGTAAAAGTTGTACAAGTTAGACGCATGTCCCTCATGATTGTTGTGGACGCGTAAGATGAGAGGAACAGAGATCAAGGTCTGTTTCCGCCCCTTCGTCTTCGTTCACGCCTTCACTTCTGGAAACGCCCGAAAAAATAAAGGATACACTTATGTTTACTCTCGCTCAGGCAAATTGCAAAACGACAGGTAGTAGAGGCAGCACCACCTGCGTGGACGCCAGGCGACAATCCCCCACCTCCTCGCTGCCCGTGAAAAACTCGGCCGAAGGTCAGGGCCCATAGGCCCAGATCTGTCAGTGCCGTCATCACGGCGTTGAAGGGCACCGCGCCCCGACACACCTGACGGGCTCATGGTCGGAGGAAATGCGGAGAGTCACGGTCCGTGCAACAATCAACGACGCGGCAGTCAGTCGAGCAGGGTATTCACCCGTTCGAAGTTACAAACACAGTCGATATCACTCGCAGTACGTAGACGCGTCAGCTCGTCGTCGATGGGGTCAGCACCTGACGTAAACGTCGCTGACCGCAAGATAGCGTCGGCATCTCCACCCGTTAACTGACGGATCGATTGGTACAACCGCGGCCTCATTTTTAACTCGAATGGTAAACAGACGTCATTTCAAAACATAAACAAAAATAAGCGGAATTGCGTTGGAGGAGAGCTCCCTGCTCTTCGGGAGGAACAAAACGCGAGGGGGCCCCAGCACACCCACTGGATCTCAAAGCTCGCTTAGGTTTAACTGGAAAAAAACTATGAAGGGTGTAGCGGTTTAGCGAAGCAATACAGCGGTAAAATTCACCCGGGACATGGGTGCCAGTTGGTGTTTTCTCGGCGACTAAGCAACCAGAGTGCATACGGGGAAACGCGAACATGCAGAGACTGCCAGACTACGTGTAGGCAAGGGACGAAGACTTACCGTGTGCGGGCTAGGCTCTCCTTTCCCAGTGAGATGTCGTCATGTTCTCAGAGAAACGAAGATGGTGACGCATTTGAACCCCAACAAACTCAAAAACGACGAAGCAACAACTCACGGGAGCTATTTTCTGCTGCTGGCAGCCAGTCTCCTTTCCGACGGCTACTGACCCAACGTTGACGCGCTCCAACGAGGAATCCGCTAGATCCAGCGTGACCCAGAAATGCATTTGACCGCGGTTTCGCTTTCCGCAAGCATAATCACGTTGCGCGCTCGCGGTCTGAAAACGAAACCTTATTACGAAACGAACCTTACCTTTTTCAGAAAGATCGAGGTTAAAACCGACGCCGGAGGCCCAGGAGATTCGCGAAGTCGTATTTCGATGCTGAACCTGTGCGACGACGCTTCTAGCTGATCGGAGTTGGCGAGCGACACCATATGAAGTTAATAAAGTCGGATTCCGGTGCTCGGCCGATACGCCCAGTTCATTGCAATATGGGAGTGTGGGTGTCAGGCAATCAGCTGAAAAACAACGCGCAGCATAGCCACACGTGGAACCGCGATAGCACCAAGCTCTTCAATGCCGGAATTGATACGGAGGGCCGACGGATGTAGTCGGCAAGTTTTCGATTGCAGGGTGCACGATCTTGGATGAAAGGTTCCGAGAGATTCTAGACTGACGCAACAACTGGCGTGCGAGTCACGTTGGGCACGACTGTTACGGGATCTGGCGAATTTCTTCCGTTTCAGGCGTGGCCCAAGGTTGGACGGTCCTAACTTCCGCAAGGGTCGTGCGTTCCGCACCTTTGATCTTGACACGGCGGCAGTGACAAAAGAGTTGTGTATTTTTTTTTTTTTTATAGCCAGCAAAGAGCGTAATGTTTTAAGACTGATTCGTCGTGGCGTTAGTAATAACACACACTTGCCATTACAAAAACGAAGAAAATACAAGCCTCATTAAATGAGCATTATGTGTGCGACAAAATATTTTATTCATTGAAGATTGCAGATAGATTAGATATAAAATAACCAACCAGAAACATAATAATAATAATGATTTTTTTTTTACTGAAAAACAGAGAATTTATTTCTTTGTTTGAAAACTCAAGGCCCCCGCTAGTTGTAGTCAACATTACGTTTTACATAGTACATCTTGCATCTTCATCGCTTTTCTTTAGGCAAGATCGGTTGGAGTTAGATCGTGCAGGGCGATAACGATCCTGTAAAAGGAAGAATACACGCATATTAACATTATTTATATAACAACAATTGTGTACACTGTGTGACAATCTCAAGTTTCAGTTTCGGATTGCAAGTAAAGCGAACAATCCATTAGTATCCAGTTCAATCCAAAAGTCAGCGACATTCAGTCGGTTCGGTCGGACCACAGTGGGTCGGAATGTCCTTCGACTGCTTCGGCTCAACCGTGTTTGACCTGGACTGACACAGCAACTTCGTAATTTACCTTTGCTGCGGCAGTGCCAAATTTTCGGCGATAAAGTCCCTGATCTGAGAGCCGTACTCCTTGTTTTTCTCCGGACTGAACACGTTGATGGAGTGGATGGTGCAGAGACAGTTCGGTTCCATGCTACCGCCACGGGAAATGTCCAAGCCCGGCTCGACGACCAGCGTGATTTTCTGTGACACAAAGTGAAAGACAAGTTGCCCTACCGACCTCAACACTTCAGACATGAAATTGGGCTAGGCCATCCGGTAGCAGACAAACACATCGCGAAGTAGGGCAGATAACAGAGACGCGGCCAGGCCCGCAATGTCGGCTGCTCAGATTTACTCAGGCACGGGACAGCTCGTACGCCTACCTCGATATCCTTTTTGAGCACGGACGCTATGAGTTGCACGAATTTCACGTGGAACCCGGCCGGAATCTTGGTGGCCAGGAGGTTGGTCTTGAGAAAACAGATGGGCATGTTTGCGCTCCTCGGTTACTCCGCGACGAGTTTGCACTACAAGAAACTTTTCAGACGACGGATCTTTGGCTAACCACGAAAGCAGCTACGATAAGCATGCGCGATACTGATAGCACGACCTCAAGGTCAGAGCAGACGCCGTCGCCCCAGTGATGCCAGACGGCGCGTCGGCAAAAAAGAAAAAAAAGAAAAACGAGTCTGCGCCGCTGCGCTTATTTTGCTCGTGGATTCACCGCGGGGACTATGAAAACATCGCGAGACATCCATAATTCAGAACCACTGGTCTAAACCTTTTTTTTGCCCGAAAACCCTTGGCTGCCATCTCTGCTCACATGGACATGTCATGCCAGTTACCTTTATGCACATCCCACATGTGCTTAGAAACAAGGTGCGTTAGCCATGACATTCTAAATGTTTTGTAGTAAGGATGGCTAGTTAATTGCTCATCATACTGCGATACGAGAAAAAAACAAAAAAACTGGACAGGGTGCAGCGTATTAATGTCTTGTCCAATTCTTTCGTTTTTTTTTTCGTTTTTTTTTTTTTTGGGGGGGGGGGGGGGAGCGGATTACATTATGGTTTTGTAGTAGTTGCAGAAATGTGAAGCTCCCATAAAATTGCCAGATTAGCAATTCTGGAAAAATAAAGCAAGTAAACCAGCAACCGGAATTTCACCAAATTAGAACGTTTCCACAAATGCAGAAAGACAACCAATTGAGACAACACACACAGAATACTCAATAAAAAGGCAAAATTTATTTCGAAGAAAAAAAATAAAGTCACCCAATCATAATATTACAGCTCATACTGTTGTCCGGTTTGTTCAAACTTTGAATTTGATGATGCCTCTACTTCCCGGAAATTTGAACAAAAAAAAAATGGTCAAGACTTTGTATTATTTTTTTTTAAAACTCTTCTCGAGTTACAACGAAATACTCCAGTTATATTTGCACACACGCACACACACCACGACGCGCACATTTATACGCACACACTATTTACATAAACGAGTCACACACACACACACACACACACCTTCTGGTGCAACACAAACAGCCTTCCTGACCCACCAGTATTCCATTAGAAAACAAAGCTCGTTACAGACTGGTACTAGCCAGTACAGAAGCCGAACCTAGACAGGGGTGTTGCTTACGAGCTGCGGAGGACGCCTCGATAGACTCAATATTACATCTTTTTCTTTTTCCCCTAACTGCCTACAGTATATACAGCGGTACATGCATCACATGCAGCTTACATAGAACGTGCGAAAAAGATGCGGGGGAGGGGGCACACTTCACTATGTACAACCGTGGACAAACGGGTGCAACAACTGGCATTAACGGTCCAGCACCCATCTGCGCGCACGCACACACACACCGGCACGAGAGCAAACACATTTGAGGTGCTCATATCCCTCTGCTGCTCGACAAGACAGGATGCAAGACCCGCATTTCGCGCGCAACCAAGAAAACAACGCAAAGGGACAACGTGCCGACCGGGAGGGGGGGTGAAGAAGCTTGAGACTATCACAGACCTTTTCTTTACTTTTAACTGTTGCGTTTTTTTTTTTTCTCCAGTGTGCGTGTCTCCTTTTTCACAATCGGCACGAAAACGACGGACAACACAGACACGACGACCGACGGCAACGAGCGGACGACCAGACAAGAAACCAACGAAAAAGGCCGAGGACCAGCAGCAGACTACCGCGGAGAACAGAACCAGCTGCAAAAGAATGACCGGTCGACGCTGACACGGAGGGACGTCGCTCGGAACTAAGCGAGGACCAAAAACCTACGTACAAAGAAAGAACAACCGAAGGAACGCGGGTAAGATTGGCAAGATTGTCACGGAAGTGCCACAACAGCTCGCCACCGTCCAACCGCCGACCCGGGCGGATTTCGCTCGCAGGGCAGACGGGCGGAGGGGTTTGGAACAGTACGGACAACAAAGGCTAGACTCGGACTCGTCTACAACAATGGTATCCTTCCAAAAAAAACGCCGCGATGGGCTCGTCTTCAGCACGAGGGAGGGCCACACTGGCCAAGAAAACAAACATATGAACAGAAAACTAAATTGTGGACTGCACAAACACCGGAGGCTACCACGACCACCAGACGTGATGACGGGCCGGGAAAGCAGCTAACGAAAACGCCAAACGAGAGACACTTAAAAAGAAATGAAGAGGGCCGCCCCATTCGGGCAGCCAACTCAGACGTGGCGGCGCTTTTCCATCCACTCGCGCCGCACGTTTATGGCGATCAGAAAAAGCGTACAAGGTGGAACATCCCCTTGCCGGCGTTCGCCGATGGGACGAGACGATGGATCGACGCCGACCCGACCCTGAGGAAATTGCTGGCCCACGACCGACCGAACCAATGCAAGAAGGCCAAGCGAGGAAACTAGAACGACACACGAGGACGAGAAATAAAAAAATGAAGAATGCAGCCTTTCTTTTGTTTCATTTCCCCTTTGTACTGGAGCTGCAACGATCACGACGACAGACGCAAAGACACGAAAAACAAAAGGGAACCAAAAGAATGCCAAATTTAAATCGTTAAATTACACAAAGTCCGAGCACAGACACACAGCTCTACGAAAGAATGGAGAGAGGAAGAGGGGGGTTGGAGAGGAGACCAGCATAGAGAAAAGGCAGGAGTAGTCCACCACTTTTTTTTCACCGTTTTGGCGCACGACCGTCGACACACGCGGGCACCGAACGACACAGGCACCAAAGGGAAAATTAGAAAAAACGCAAACACGAAAAAAGTTTAAATGCCGCCACTATGTAACGCTGGCATTCCAAGAAACGAAACGCTACGCCCCTGAATCGAGCGAGCGGCACACTTTTTTCGCTTCTCTACAGTCTCCACCACCCTCTGCCGCAAACAACTAGACTCAAAGACTGACAACGAAAAAGGCAAGAGCTTTTTTACACGTCAACCGATGGCGGACGATGACCACAGACAGTTCGAGTGCACCGCAGTTATCGCACGTTGCCCGCACCGGCGACACCCATGGGCGCTCAGTTCTTGACGGTGGTGGCCTGTTGCTGCTGGCGCTCCACCTCCTCGACGAGCAGTGCCTTCTGGTGGGGCACGGGCGGCATCGTGGGCTGGTGCAGCACGTCGCTGCCAAACCACTTGGCCAGGTTTGCCGGCGTGGCGCTGGACAGGCCGCCACCAGGTGCCATTGCGGGGCGGCCGGGCCCGCCGTGGGGTCCACTCTTGACGTCTGCGTGTAAAAGCGAGCACTCAGTCCTCTGATGTCTACCACGATGGAACATGCGACAGCGGTAAAGGTTGGCTCACATGGTTGCGACTATCTATGACCGTGTGCCTTAAAACCTCTTGTGAGATAACACGCTGACGCCATCTATCAAGTTCTTACTACACATCTATGCATTAGTCTTTTCACGAGTTCATTTTTTTTTGGAAACTAGGGTCAGTGGGTACGGCCATAGACGTGCATTATGTAATGTTTTGCTGCTGAACCTGACCGACATTGACGACAAACATGACCGGATGCATCTTAAAGTATTCATAAAAAAACGTCTTCAGGTACGACTTGAAACCCTTTCGTGGTTGTCAAGCTGGCTAACTACCACAGTTTTATTGGTACTGTGCTATAATGGACACATTTGTATCATGAAATTGTGCGAAAATGACCTAGAACAAACACAGCCGCCATCACACTAAAACCCAAACCAACCGAATTGAAGCCGCCCAATGACGGTGAGTGCATCAGCGCCCTCTATCCGCTGGTCGGGTACCTACGGAGATGGAAAGGCTTATAACGTTCCCAATGCTAAGTAAACTCTACATTTAGGCACTACTCTGCATGTCTCCGGCTGTCCACCGTACACTTGTTCTTGCTGGCAAAGCAAAAACTGTAAACCACAAGCAAACTGACGTAGACACCGTTAGCCATTAAAAGGGTCGAAGGCTCATAAAACGTCTTTTGCAACAGGAGCTTGCGATAAGAAACACCGACATCCCTCTCAGGGAAGTGGGGGAACCTTCTTTTTGAACAGCAATAATGGGTAGTGCAGGGAAGGCATCCAACATATAAATAAAAAGTCAATTGTGCTGCACTTTTTATGTCACCTACTGGTGCCAGCACCGGGCACAGATCGGACACAACTGCTGCTTCGGCGTTCGGCTGGGCGCCACAATCACTTCATAAGAACACCCAGCCAATTTAATCTCCGCCCCACGCTGGCCACCGGTAGTCTACACAAAAATCACATCCCACTGAACTCGTTACCCACGGGGTGTTGGGCCACCCCGGCGAGGGAGCGAAAAAGGCGCATACCCCTAGGCCCCATGGTCGCAAAGGGGTGCTGCTGGTGTCCCCCTTGGGCGTGGTGCATGGGCGGCCCGAAGGGGCCCCCCGCGCCGGGGGGGCCGTTGGCACCCAGCAACAGCTGCTGGAAGGTCAGAGGATGCAGTCCGTGGGCCAGGGCCTGCTGCAGCATCTCTATGGGGGGTCCCGTGCCCTTCAGGGGAGCGCCCACTGCAGGGGAGGGAGAGGAGCTTGAGCCAGAAGCACAAAGGGGTCTTGAGAGCAAAGGCTGGTTCACACACTTGGATAACTGCACGCGGCCGTATGCCTTGAAAACACTTAAAATCTTTCGACAAGAGGACACACTGGGGCCGTCCATCAGGCACTGAACAGTCGCAGTTACCAAATATTCTTTTCCCGCGTCATTCTTCATTTTGAAAAGCTTTTGAAACTTACAAACGAACGCATCTTATTGATAGTAGGCACATTTGATCTCGCAAATAGCACAAAACCTTCGCTCTAGTAAAATGCAGTTCCCGGGTCACCTCAAATGCCAGCATGTCATCGCAAGAGATCGCAAGAATACTGTCCTAAGCAAACTTAAGTGTGTGAACTGGTCTTAACTATACTTGGCATCAACTACTTTGTTCTACACTGTTGAGGCTAGTGAAGTTTCCACACTGCTGCAAGAGCATGTGGCTTCGTCTAGCACCTCATTCAGTTACTGGTTCTATCGAGGACTGGTCAATTCATGTTCCCCCACTACAATAGACCCTTTCCAAAATTCAGTCCTGCCACTTTGGTCAATATCATCCAGGGAATGGCATCTGTTTCGTACCAATGGCATTCTTCAAGTGATTGATGAAGAAAGACGTTGAAGATGCACCTTAAGCGGATGATGCGAGGCCTATACGTTCGAAAGGTTAGTACGATGCGACGCAAGAATTGAATGCAGGAGCTCCGTAGGCGCTGCTTCCTTACTCAGATTGAGTGAACCTGTGGGTGGAACACATTCGGCTCTAAAGTTTTTTCGTGACCGGTTGTATCTTTGTCATAATCAAAACTGACCAAGAAAGAAACACACTCGCGAAAGTTGTTGGTGCCAGATAAAATTAGAGTTTGTTACCGCCATTGGTATGGCAAAACTTAAACTGCTGACCACCAAATAAAAGGTCAGCGGCTGCAGTCCATAGGCCAGAGTTTGTTGCAGCATCTCATTGGGGGGTCCTGTGACCTTCAGGGGAGCCCCCACTGCAGGGGAGGGAGAGGAGCTTGAGCCAGGGGCACGAAGGGGTCTGGCACTGAATTTCGCAAAGGGTCTATTCGCTATCCTCTGACAAATGATCTGCCCAAGCACATTGTTCGCATCCCCGAAATTTATAATTTCCGACCTGCCATTTCCACTCTCCAAGCCATTTGTGGATGGACTACCTTGAAAACCAAAAAATCAGGAGAAAGTAAATGTTTTGAAAACCATTCCTTTGGGCTGTATATTCCGTAAGTTACCTTTTTTAATTATCAGCACCCAAATCACCCCGAAATTATGTTAAAGAAATATTTTCTAGGTTTCAACGGCTTTCAAATTACGCTCAAACTGTAAAATCGAGCCGAACTTAAACAATTGCCTCTCCCGTTCAACTTGCCGGAAGGCCGCCATCTTGGTCTTGTTTCGAAGCGGAGTTCTTTCTCCGTTTTTCCGACCTTCAAAATGGTGTCCGCCGTGTAGCTTGGCGTGATCGACGTTTTCCCACCTCGCGACTGCGAAGCCGCGATTGACCAAAGTGCACGTTCAAGGGAGTGCTCAACTACCATTGGCTGCAACGCTTGTTCTCCCTTTGTTGTTTTGGTTACCGCGCCTCTGCAAGCTCGCGTCGTCTGCTACGACTGCTTGCTTTTTTTCCGCACTTCGTCAACTCCGCTTTGCCTTTTGCCATCTTTATGACCGTTTGCAACACTTTGTTTTAGTAGTTTCAATAATTTGCCCACGTGTTTCATGGCCGCATGCAATGAGGGGAACGAAGTACGAGATGGTGCACGCGTTCGATGAAAACGACTCGTGCGAGTTTCTTTGCACGGCGACCATCGGAAGTAGCATTGGCAACCTGCATCTGCGCGGCGGGCGACCCATGTTCATCACGTCGCCGCCTCAAATGGCCATTTTTCCATGCCATCAGCCGTCGACCCCGAGCAAATCAACAAAAGCGGAACAAGAAAGTGCGCAAGGACACTTCCAGCTATTGAATGGGGTAAAGCCATTTCCGTGGGGTAAAGTCGTCTCATGAGGTGCAATTCTCCAGATGATTTTCCCAATTTTCGGTTGCAACGTCAATCCCTCGAGAGAAAACAAGTACTTAAAAGCCATGGACGGTGGCTTATGTGCATTCATGCTGTGCCCACAAGCATTTCAGTCCACCACAACCAAAATTTAAAGCAGAATTGCGCCACGTGAAACTGGCTCAAAGCTAAAAATGTGTGTGCAACTTTCAACTACGATTTTCTGAAAATGGGTGTTTCAAATAGCATTGGTGGTTGTCCCAGCGATATATCAGGAATTGTTTACTAGATTTGCATGCCGTATCTTTATTATGTTCCTAAACAACTTTGTTAGGACATGACAATCTTACATTTTTTTTTTTAAATCACAGTAAACATTTTTAATGTACAAAATAAATTTGATGGATGAGGATCCATGGATGAATGTAACCTAGTGTAAATTTTTAATAAATTTTGCCCCCATTATATAAAGCCCACTGCGGGCATTTACAGGTCAAATAAATTAAATTCGCACGTGCAAGTAGGTCTGATGGAGTTTGAGCACTGCGAAAGCTACACTAAGCCTCGACTATGTAGCACAAATTAGCCGACGCCGACCACAACTTTACCGTTTTCACCTGACCATGGGCCGCAGTGGACACTACGAGCCACAGGCCCCCCGCGTGGCTCTCAAACGGGGATTTGCGGACCCCCTATTTGAGAGCCACGGCTTTAATGAGGAGCCTTAGATGAGTGGCCTTTCATGACAACCTTTCTTGGAGCAACTTTCAAAAAGCAGTACAGTAGAACCTTGTTGACACATTCTCGGTTTATGTTTTTCCCGGCCGCTACGTTAAAAAACGCTGGTCCCGTTTTACTTCCATAGAGACATGTATTACCGTATTTGCACGAATATAACGCGAGTTTTTTTTCCGAAATTACGTGCTCCAAAACGCATCTCGCGTTATATTCGGAATCGAGTTCAGCCACGAGGCGCGCGAGTCTGGAGAAAGCCAGAGGAGAAAGACATCCCTCCGGCTCAATGCAAAATATTTGGTGGGAAAAGAAGTGGGAGTGTGGAAGGGAATTTATTAGCTATTGGGAGACGTGAAGGGACGAATAGAAAACATAAAAAAAAAACATTTTTATCATTTTTGTGTTTGTACAACGCGCGCACGCCGCAGAAACTTAGCGCGCGCGGGCACACACCATGCGGGAATGCGGGCACCGGCCAATTCGAGCCAAGCCCAGCCGGGCCAAGTCAAGTCAACACAAGCCAAGCCAAGACCACTAACAGCGTTTACGCCAAGGTTTACGCAATCGTGCACCACGAGGCATTTGTTTATGCAGAGGGACCAGAACAAGAAGTATGATCGTGTATCGGATTCAGCAGTCTTTTTTTTCTGCTGCGCATTGTTTAGTTTCTGATTCAAAGTGATCCGGTGTTTGTGTGTTGGTGCTTCTGCTTCCTGCCTTGTTTGGATTGTGGGCTGCCGAGGAGCTCGCAGGGAAGAAAAATGAACTACCAGACAAGCAGGTGCCGTGCTGCTGCTTATCTGCGTAGTCGCCAAGTGGACTGTAAACGGAAGGACCTGAGCTGTGAGGATGAGTGCAGTCACAACATAAACTGATATTTCTTCTATTTCCATTGACTTTTCACATCTGCTATGCCCCCCGAGTGCGAGAAATTGACGCGGCCTCGGTTCGCGTTATAATAGTAATAATATTTTTTTTTCTTTTTGAGGGCATCAAAACCTGCCCTCGCGTTATATTCGTGGTCGCGTTATATTCGTGCAAATACGGTACTTTCCTGCCTGTTACGTCCGCTTTCACGGCTGTTACGTCCAAAAGTGTCAGCATTGCGGCGCCTCCGCACGTCGGATGCCAGGCTGCCACGCTGGCTTTGAAGCGAGCTAGTGGAGCCAAGCCGAACCATGCAATGCGGGTCGCACGGCACGCGTGGGAATGCAAACGTCCGTCTTCCCTTTACTCCTTTCCCTCTCTTTTCCGTGTCTCTATCTCCTCGCTGGGCTTTGCTGAGCTCTGCCACAGCTTCCCATCTTGCTCAACTGTGACCTTGGAGCATTGTTCGAACGGGGAGCAAGGCTGGCGAGGCGGCAAACACTCGTTCTCTCTTTTCATCTGTCCTCTTTCTCTGGCACGAGGTGTACTTGCATGCATGCGGCGCCTCTAGTTTCTGTTCCACTCGATTGCGTGAACCGCGGTGTTTCGGAGTACAGTATAGACCACTTACAACGTAACCGCTTACAGTGCAGGACCGGGTATAACGCGGCTTTTTTAAACCACCGGTTCGCCTTCCATAGAACTCCATGTAATTACATACCGCTTAAAATGCAGGCGCGCAAAGGGAAATACCGGTTTTAGTGCAGTTTCTAGAACAGCCCGCCGACCGCGCCGACCGACCGGCGCAGCGAGCACGCTTCCCTGTGCGACACTAGATAACGGCGCTAGCCGCAAGCGGCACTCGCGGGGGCAAGGATGGCAAGGAGGCTGCTCGAAGAAGCGGGGAGAAGCGAAGAGAGAGGCTTCAGTTGCCATAGCGACGGAGGGACGCACGCACGTGTCGTTCACGGCGCAAGGTGGCAAGGCGTTGGAGCGAGTCCAACCAACCCAACTTTCCCCCGCTGCGTTGGAAACACGGTGGTTGGAAACAACTGAACGACAGACCAATCGCAGGTCGAGAACTGTTCGCGCGCGTTGCATGCCGGTCGCGGGCCGGCCTCTATTTGCAAACATGGCGTCGGTGGTGATCGTTGACGTAGACAACCTGGTGGAAGCTCATCATTGCGCGTAAATGTGCTATACTTGACTGAATTTTCGTTGTGTGTCGCTACGATAACCCAGCACGTACTAGAAGGAAAGATCCACCTATTTGTGCGGCGATGTCGTAGCGGCACTCTCAAGACGGCAGAAACGCCCGTGTCGTCGTGCTTGTTTACTTCGACTACAGTGGTGCTTTCTAAGCATTTGTGTTTTCGAACATCGCCTGGATTTCTTATTTGGCGCATTTCATGCGTGTGCTCAAGTTCAAGGTATTACTGGCGCGTACCGTATAAAGGATGTGAATTTTCACGCGTTTTCATCACCGGAGAAAAGTGATTAGGGTTAGCAATCCTGAACGCTTGCAACGTCCGTCCGCAACCCGCGACGCCATTAAAAGGTTGTGCCAGGCAAAAGTCACTCATTTCTTTTAAAATGTGTGACACACTTGAGAGAGAAGTGTACTAGTCTGGCGAAATAAAAAATTTCCTCAAACTAAGCTTTATTTTTCATCTAACATAAAATAAATTCTTTTACAAAGGTAAGTTGTCTCATGGCATATATTTTGGCCTGAAAAATTGATATTCTGGTTATAGTGCTGATTTAGGCGGCTCCCGCGACCTACGTGATATGCGGTCTACACTGTATGTGCGCTTTGCGCCCATTGACGACGGTCGTGGCATCGCGAGAAAGGAAGGCGCTCTCTTTCAAAGAGAACTTTGATATTCGCGACTCCAGCAAAACGGACACCACCAAGGGGGAAAACCGGGAACCAGCCGGACCAGGTCCCTCCGCGCCCCTCGGCGTCTCTGGTGGCTTTTGCGGACACGTGTAGTCGGTGCGGTGGCGAACAATGTAATTTGATGAAGGTCCGAATACCTTCATCAAATTACATAGTAGAATAGTAGAATGCTTCCTTCCATCACGTGTTTGAAAGCCTGTTTACTCCACAACATGCGGTCGCGTGCTTTCGATTTCTTGGATGGGGAGGAATCACGGAAGAACGTTTTGATTTCTTGTCTGTCTCTAAAGTGGTTTCTTTATAAGGATGTAGAACAGTGGACTGAGGATGACAGACAAGGCATTTCGCCGGAGGGAAACCCAATGGTGCAGTCAAGTGAATGGCAAGGTTCGATAGCTGCTTTTCTTGAGTTTGGTTGTGTTTGATTAGCTTCAAGTTTGAGCCACCCACGCCGGTCGGTGCGTTGGCAATTCATCTTGGCTGCTCTTCACCGAAAAAGACTCTGGACCACACTGAGGCGGTTGGGCTGATTTCTCAATTACTTGATTCAGGAAAACCTGCTCGCTGCAAGTGATGAATGAGGGAAATTATCTGTTTTCAAAAGGTGGGGGACGCGTCTCGCAACGTTAGAAGCTGTCACGGATTTTGATCTATCGCGCCTCCCAATATTTATATTATATCCCCGTCGAAGCCAGCAGCAACATACGTCTACATTGCTCAGGTTGACGGGCCACAAAAAATACTCATTTTCTCCGTTCAGGATTCGAAGCAAAGTCCAATGCAGAGAGGTTCTGCGTGAATCTCCGATGAAGACTCTCTTCAGTTTGTCTCCGTGCTGCCGGCTAGAACCATTTGGCTAAGTTTAAGTAGTATCTCTCTGTCTGTCAAATATACTTTTATTCAGCAGTTCACCTAATAGCTAGTCAACTAAGCTCCTATTTCAAACTGAAGAATATACTAATATTGCTTTAGTGGCACATAGTACGTAATATAATACATAACCCGCTCGTCAAAATGACTTCTCGATTGGTACTAAAACCTGAATTAAAATACGAGTATCAGCTGCTTAGTGGGGCGCCAGCGGGTTAACGTGCTTCTTGGCTCAAGAGGCGCTTGCTTAATTTTCGTAATTTTCCTGCAGCCTGTGTTATTGACCGAGCAGACGACTGGAGCCGTTTCTTAAACGCAGATACGCACAAAAGCTCAAGTTTGTGGACAGATAAGTTGCATGGTCGAGGCATACGAGTTAGCTGAAAATTACTCTCGGTAGAACAATTCTGTAGTCATCGCCGGTTTCCTTAGATGATCAAAACTGATTAGTATATTACTGTCTCTGCGGAACCCATGTTTCGGATTTTAACGAAATCTCCGAAAGAAAAGTTTGACATGGAAAGAACAAAAAACACCGGGAACACGAAACTATGCTCTGTTAAGTTTATGTGCACTGGCTACACTTAACCGTCTCAGTTCAAATGCCTATAAAATTGGGCATTAAACAAAATAAAATCTGTTAAATTGAATCCGCCACCTGTTCAGGCGACCCGGCCGAGCTGACGAGACCTGGACTCAGCCGCCGTGTTTGTTTGGTGGTGGCGCCTCCTATAGGTCGCTGGAGTTGCAAATATTTCATACGGTGAATCGCAATCCCAGCTGGAAGAGATGCGACACCGCAAGAGACCTCGGACTCGTGCCGTCAACTTTGAAAAACATTGTCGCCAAACGAAAGGAGATTGAGGCGAAAGCTCCTTTTTATCAGCAAGGCTTACGCCGCTTTTCTGAACATGTCCGAGTCCTCAACAGTTCTGCAAGTGCACATAAAATAAACGATTGTATAAGAGCTGCTTTCCATCTCATGTAGAGTCCCCCGAAGTGCATTATCGGTTGTTACATTTTCCCGGATGATGCATTTTTTCTTCCGCGGTCTCCTGGAAAACGTATCCAATGAGGCTCTACTGTACTATACAAGTAACGATGAGGGAGCAGCATTGTATGTGCTGCTTACCTCTGGGTGCGGAGACCGGGGGGGCGCCCTGAGTGGACTGTGGGGCCATGGGGGGCCGCATCATTGGGGCCAGCTTCATGGCCTGTACGGGCGGGGGAGGGCCCCTGACCAGGCCCAGCACCCCCGGTGGGGGAGGCACGCCCCTCTGCTGTTGTTGCTGCTGCTGCTGTTGCTGCTGGAGCCCCAGCAGGCGCTGCTGCTCCAGCAGCTTGGCCACCATGTCCACGTCCGAGCGAAGCACCGGCGCTGCAGGCACAGGGAACACGTAGGAAAACAATGGACCCTTTTCAAAATTCAGTGCACCCTGGTGGCTCAAAAGCAGTTATGAAACTGCTGAAGCAAAAAGCAGTAACTGCTGTTAAGGAACTGCATTGCATCGGACACCGTTTCTTTCACACGTGCCAATGGCAGATGAGAACTGATTAGGGGTGTGCAAATATTCTAGATTTCAAATACGAAAAGAATATTTTTTTTAATATTAAATTTGATTAGAGAGCTGCATAGCGAATAATTCACGTGCGGGACATGCCCTGAATATTCAGAGCTTTCTTAAAGGGGTGGTGCAACGAGATTTAACTGGAACGTTTTTCACTTTTCACGAGCTTACTGGTACCAGTGGAACTCAAGGATAATCGCACGCAACGCCACTGGCCAAGAAACTCCTTTGTTGCGGTGTAATTTCAAGAACAAAAGCTAGCCTTTTCATTTGATCTTCTTCGCAAAACTTGATGACGTAGTTGGGCGGTCGCAGTACTGCCCAGTGACGATATTTGAATGCAGCTCATAGATTGGATGCGAGCATTGCGTGGGCTCTCGATTTGGGCTCGTGAACATCGATAGCTCAAGAAGCATTCGGTATAGCGGCCCGTGTCCAATCGCTGCAATGACGACAATAGACGAATCATAACAATGTCTGGAACTCAGCGCGTGTCCTGTGCTTTGCTAACCCCAGCGTGCGGCTATGATCAACATTGGCTGCATATAATCGGCTCCAGATCACGTGGCCACTTGTCCGAGCTGAGAGTTGAGGAGGTGTATGCTGCTCGTTTTTCTTTAATTTTTTTTGTGACTTCGATTGCGTGTGGTGAAAAACAGATGTAGGGCAGAGATCTGTTCCAAGCGGTATTTGGGCAATGTACAAGAATCGTTGCATCGCCCCTTTAAAAGCAGTGTTTAGTCGCCTAAAATTGCAGGTATTGCAGCCGTTTTTTTTTTATATGCCCTTGCTGTTTACGTTACACATAGAATTACCATGTTTGCACAATTCTAATGCACACCAAAGTCTAACATGCAGGCAGATTTAGTGCCCAGATATTCAAACAGTATATTGCTGCCGATTCTACTGCACAACTAAAATAATGAAGGTTGAATCCATAGCCTCGCAGAGTTTATTATCACAAAAATAAATACCATGCACTTGTCGGAGTCCGACGATGGTTCTTCGCTCTCCACAAAGGTAATCCTTGCTATCGTCTAAAGTGTGTTAAATAGGGGTGTGCAAATATTCAAACGTATGAATTCAAATCGAATAGCAAGTTCGCGAATAATTCGATTCGCGGACCGAATTTCCAGTATTTGTTCACTCGAATATTCAATATATTCGGCCAAAGACGAGCACTCGGCACGGAGCTGACAAAAGAGCCATTTTTTCTCCCGATGTTAGCGCAGTCTAAGCTCAATACAACAGACCTGGTTACAAGAGACATTTGGATTTAACATACCGATTTGTGAAGTTTGGTTTGTTTTCCTCTATGTACCACTGACTCAACATCATATCTGCATACAACATACTCCTTTTACAACAGACTGAAATCTTGGTCAAAATCAAGGTCTGTTATAACCAGGGTGTCGAACCGGAACCGAACCGAAAACCGGAACCGAACCGGTATTTTTTCCGGAACTGAACCCGAACCGTTATATTGTTATCGCGATGAACCCGAACCGAAACTGAACAGGAAAAAAAATAACGGTAACCGGCTCATGTCAAAACGGTTCAGCCACGCGTTGTTGGCAATGAATGTGCTATCAATGCCATTTGTTTTTTAAGTGCCGTCAACTGACACACACCTCGCTTATATATTTTTCTTTTCCACTCAGTCTTAGGAATATAAACGCTGCATCCATGAATCTTGACAAACGCTGCATCCATGAATCTTGACATAGGAACCAGTATTGCGCTGGTCGCGGCTTGCACGGAAGAAAAAGAATTGGAAGGCTGTGCAAAAAAAAAATCGCGTCACAGGATTTCATTTTACTACAATCTCGTAAATCCTAAATGCTGCTGTGTGCTCATTTCATAACACGTTTCTATAACGCGCGAGTTCTTGAAGCTTGCTTCCATCGGAATGAGAAAAGAAAAGGCTGTGGAGTTTGATAATGTTTGAGGGAGAAAAATAAATTTTATTTACAGTTGAAATGAGCATTCATGAATTATATCTGCTCTTCGCTGCCCCAACCACTGGTCAGAGTATATCGAGCTATGAAGTGTCAAGATTTACATGCCATATTTTTTCGTTGTTATTATACCAATAACAATGATACCAATTTTAACGCCACTTAAATACAATTATGTATTTATTTTTGAAAAAAGATCAATCACTGGCAAGTTCTTTTTTTTGAGAGAAAATAACCTACGTCATAAAGCAGCACCTCATAGTAACCACGTGGTCACTGGAACAGAAGTGGTTACCTTCTCCCACATCCCTTTAGACGTCCAGGTAATATAGTGTGCGGTGTAGTTAGTTTTGTGCGAGTGGCGGCCGCTGACGAAAGCCGGCACCACGATGCATCCGGTTTCGTATAGGCACTTAGAAGCTAACATATTTGTGAGACAGCGAACTCTCCTATTTTAATATTTATCCTATTACGTCCTTCTGGCGTTGCGTTCGGTGAAGTGTTTTTCATATTTCGTATCTTGTTTAATGAAAACTTCTTTAAGGGTCTAATTTGAGTTACCGAAGGCTAGTTCAAATAAAGAAAGCTGTTTTTTCTCCCCACTGTTCCTTCAATTGCTTACACGCCGAGGTGGCAAGATAGTTAGCGAGTTCTACTTGTAAGTGGGTTTGTAAGGAGGTCGCGGATTTTACAGCTACTGCGTCGGACCCAATTAGATCAAGTCCGAATGCGTAAACGTCGGTGAGGTAACCTTTGAGCGCACATAAAGAAACCATTCCTTGTAGAAATCCCTGAGCCTTACACTACGATGTATCCCGTTTCGTATGTGCTGATTTCAGATGTTTTATTTGTAATTTATTTTGATGTTGCAATTTGTCATTTATAATTTCCGAACCGGTTCGCGGATCGAATTAATCGAACCGGAACTGAACCGGAACAAAATTAATTTACCTGAACCGTAACCGAACTCGTATTTTTTTCGGTTCGACACACTGGTTATAACGAGCTTGGACTGTATTAGACTATGCAAGAAACACCTCTTGGTCCTACCATTCCACACAAATCTAACGCACAGGTTAGAAAAAAAGATAGCAATGAATGCCACAAACTTTATAGCACGCAGATTTAATCACGATTGAGACACAATCTAACCTTGAATCGCAAGCGAAATATCCCGTTTGTGCAACTTCCAAAGAGGAATTGTTGGGAGGCCGGAATTCCACACCATGCCTAATTCTTTTCACGAGTCAAGCCCCTCGTCTCAAATTGAAGCGCCGATGTAGAACACACTTGCCACACTCACAAAAATGGGTGACTGCGAGGTCACAAAAAAAAAAAAAACCCATTAACCACGCTGATGAAACCAGCCGAGTTGTCTTCGTCATTGTTTTGAAACCGCAAGCCTAAGTTCGAATTCTGAACGAAACGGAACAGAAAAATAGTGCCTAGATTTGACAGGATTTCCAACCGTTCGATAGCCGCGTTTGAAATACGAACTGCGAGAAAATGGCGAAAAGACTAAAGCGTCTATCTGGTAGGTGTCGTCGCTCTTCCGTTGGCCCGCCTTCTTTCCACGCAACAACAAGACATGCGCACTTACGACCAATCTGTGCCGGAGCAGTCTCCGTGGTTTCAGTTTTACTCGCTCCCTTTTTTTAAAACTAGGCTCTCTAAAACAGGATAGATGGACAAAGGAATGGATGCATAGCAGCTGTTTGGCGGTGAATTTAACACTGATATAAAAAAAAGGAATGTCGCAGTGTTAGGTCATGCTTCTAACGAGAAGAAAAGGCACACGTGACTGTAACTTTGGGTTTTTTGTGACCCTTAGGGTAGGTAGATTATGTTTGTGCCATAAAATGTAGGTGTCGTCGCTCTTCCGTTGGCCCGCCTTCTTTCCACGCAACAACAAGACATGCGCACTTACGACCAATCTGTGCCGGAGCAGTCTCCGTGGTTTCAGTTTTACTCGCTCCCTTTTTTTAAAACTAGGCTCTCTAAAACAGGATAGATGGACAAAGGAATGGATGCATAGCAGCTGTTTGGCGGTGAATTTAACACTGATATAAAAAAAAGGAATGTCGCAGTGTTAGGTCATGCTTCTAACGAGAAGAAAAGGCACACGTGACTGTAACTTTGGGTTTTTTGTGACCCTTAGGGTAGGTAGATTATGTTTGTGCCATAAAATTGGATCTTTAGTGCCCCACGTCCATCAGCAGCTGCTTTTCTTCTCTTTCTTTGTTCACCAGAACTTTTATACATTTGAGCCTTGTTCCGTATAAGATGCATATTCTGCACCAGGCGCATATAATATTCTCATTCACAGCACACTTCGAAAAATTCCTACAAATAAAATTTCTATTTAAAATTTGACTCAATATTCGGCTTTTTTTTTTTTTTTTAATTAAATTCGGTGTTTGATTTGAAAACTACTATTTGGTATTCGCACACCCCTAGTTTTAGGTGCTGCACTTGCGCGAGTGCGTGACCATCGCCTCTGGGAGGGTAGTCTTCCACCTTGTGAGCTCGTCGGGTCGCTGGGATTGGGAGGCCACGCAGGGCTACTTTGTTCTTATCTTTTCCCGCCAGCGTGATGGCCATTCTTTTAAATAAAACCTCCTAGTGGAATTTCTTTTGCCTTTCCACCTTAACAGCAGACACGAGTCCGTAGACACGAGAGAATTCGCGCAATACAAACACCAAAATGGCGAATGTAAACAAACTGTCACGATGGCAATGGGGATACTCACCTTATACCGAGTACAGCGATTTTCTTTTAAGTTGCGGTTTTCGGTTTAGATTATAAAGCGCACATATTTTTGGGCACCGATTTTGGCGAAAAAAAAAGCGTGCGTTACAATCCTGCAAACAGGTATGTATTAGCTCACATCAAAAAGTCTTTGCTTTCTTTTTTTTTTTATTTCTTAGTGGTACATTTATATTCTAAACATATTCGCAGCTATTTTTTTTTTCTCAAATATTCATATTCAATTTATATTTGAAAATTTCAAAATTTACACACCCCTAGAATTGATTCCTTAATCATCTCACATTTCTTTCTTGATTTGTTTTGGTTCAGATGATGTGAACATAAGAACTGACCAGTACAATGTGGCAACCTATAAACCCCTCGATTACATTTCCACCATCGAAAGGCTTTAGAGACGAGCTTGTGCAAAAAGATTGATTGGACCACACTCAGAAAAAAACACTTACACGGCCGCTGTATCTAATATGTACGTCATGTAACGGCGGCAAGAAAGCCGCCATTAGTTTGCCATGGATACCATACACTGAGATGTCGCTAATAATCAAAATTGCAAGACTGAATTTCGAAAAAGTACTATAGGCAAAGATTCTTCTGCTCTCACCGAGCATAATAAAATCCCGCAGATAGCAGGAGCTTTCACGCGAGTCGGCTCTCCCTCGAGGCATCACAAAGGCCTATCATATTTATTTACGGAACGAGCGGCAAATGACGAGGAGCCGATACCACCGGGGTTTGATTTGTGCTTCAACCCAACTCTCCTCAGTGCCTCGCCATTTGCAGGCCTCTGCCTGTAAATGGCGGCCATAGGCCCGTTGCCACGCTTTGTAGTAAAGTAGACCTGCAGGCTTAGTTCATAATAAACTCCTACTATTTGCGGGACTTCACGGTAGATAGACGGTCCCACCCCAAAGCTACACCGTAAAATTCCGTATTTTAAAGAGATAAATGGTGAAAACACCGGATGGGTGATTTTTGGGAGCGAGACAGCAGAAGCTTACCAAAAAGTTACCAATAACGCCAGGGAACCCGCTATCAACCACACGACACGGAAACCGACACCGCAGATCACGGATGCAGCAGATGCGCGTTTCACAGCGCAACCAACTCGCGTGTCACCAGAACCGACATCACGAGCGCAAGTCGCAAACACGGCAAACTAGGGATTTGTGATGCGATAAACACTCGAAAACCTACTACAAACTCGCTCGCCACATGTACCGGTACCTTATGTCGTGCGGTCGATGCAATGCCCGTCAGACATCGAGTGTTTCAGAATTTTTAGCTTACGAATATTTAGAAAGAAAAACGGGATAGGTAGTCTTTCAGGGGTGTGCACTCGTACAAGACATTGCAATAGACACCCCGGACAACGGAACCGACGGCCCAAAAGGTAGCAGGCCCCGACTGCAGGCTCACCCTGGGGTGGGTGCTGGGGGAACTGCTTGTGCTGGGGGCCCTTGGGGTCCCCCCCCATGGGGTTACTGCCTTTGATGATGGCCCTGCCCAGGGAGGCACGACCGGGGACCACCGTCCCGTTACCCAGGCGCTGCTGGTCGCACTCTTCCGTCCCGTTGGTCTTGGGACCCCCCGGTCCTGCTGGAGACCAAGAAGACAGGGGCCACCAGTGGGTGGGGGACACTGCAACGGGGCACCCAAGCAGGCACGCGCGCACCCACACAGGGGTCACCCTCACACAGACACACAGCCCCAAACTGTCTACATACATCAGAAAGAAGAAAACAATAGAGGATGCCTATGAAGCCAAAGTTTTTGCCCATACAGAAAAAACTTTGCTCTTTTTCTTTTTTTTTTAATTTATCAATACTGCCAGCCCAGTATAGACGCTTTCAGGCAGCTGTGCATGGGCGCCGCCATAACCAACCTTCCGTTTTTGTATCCTCTTATTCCGTTCGCTTCACTTCATCATTGCCACAGCAGGAGAGGTTCTCGCCACTTTAGGTGCTACGATGTCCTTCTCCTCAGCATAGGCCTTTGTCGAGGTTCGTCAACGCCTGCTTTAGTGGCTCGGCATCTCGGTAAGGCAAGAGAAGGTCAACAATGGCGTTTTAATCTCGCGCATGTTTAAAGCATCTAAACGGCTGGCAGTACTGATCATCATGGTGAAGGCAGCCGAGTTCGCACTACATTTCAAACACAACGACTTTGCTGCTTCTGGGGGATGGTTCCATCGCTTCAGTCAGAGGCACAACCTCGTTTTCCGTACCGTGTCTGGTGAAGGTAAAGACGTGAGCATGGAAACTTTCGCGATGTGGCTACATGCCGTATGACATTTTCAATGCAGATGAGACCGCTGCATTTTTTGAGCTCTTGCCAAACAAAACGATCACGTACAAGGGAGACGACTGCGCAGGCGGGAAGCAAAGTAAAGAGTGTGTCACTGTCTTGACTGCGGCAAACATGACTAGAACAGAGAAGCTTCCCCTGCTTGTAATAAGGAAGTCGATGAAGCCTCAGGGTTTCAAGAACATTCGCACACAGCCAACGGACTACGAAGCCAACAGAAATGCATGGATGAGTGGAGAGTTGTTCAAGAAATGGCTTAGGAAGCTGGACAGAAAGTTTGAATTACGCAACCGGCAGGTCCTCCTCATCATAGACAACTGCTCAGCGCACAAGGTCGACATGGAGCTGAAGGCGATTAAACTAGCGTTTCTTCCACCAAAGGACTTCATCCAGCCCATGGACAAGGGTGTGATCAAGACCATCAAGTCTTTCTACAGACGTCACATGGTGTAACGAATGATTCTTTGCGTGGCCAAAGAGAACCAGACTTACCATGACGCACCTCCGCAACTAGCACACAAGGAAATTAAAAAAAAAAAAATTACCTATTATGAAACTTTATGCACTACGGAATTATAATAGATACGAAGCGGTCAGGGGTATATGGAAAAAAGTATTGGTGCCAGGACTGTCTTTTGGCAATCAGGTATGAGATCAGAAGTTCAATCAGGATTAGAAATTTGACAAAGGAGCATGGGCAGGTTAGCAGGGAGTGCATGAAAACACACCAAATGACGGAGTGCAGGAGGACATGGGCTGGTTGTCCTTTCAGGGCAGAGAGGCAATCAGTAAATTAAAATTTGAAGTAGGCGAACCGAAATGGACGATACCCGGTGGGCACTGAAAATATTCACATACCTCTCCATGAATAGTTTAAAAGGAAACTGAAGCGGTTCTGTATTTGAGAAAAAACACTTCAGTGGACTTCATTCGGCGTCCAAGATCATAAATATAGAGATTATATTTCAGTTTGGTGCATGGAGGCTGTAGAAATTTTTAAAGTAATGCTGAAGCCCCTCCTTCCCGGGGCGTGACGTCATACTAGGAGTTTTTGGAATCTGCTCTCGCACATTTTCAGCGCCAGTTACTGAGCGTTGGACCTTGGCGTATATATAAAGAAAATTTTTTCTCTCGCTCTTCTGCACCTGTCAAAGCTATGCATGCGCATTCTTGCTATTTTCAAAAAGGTCAAAAAGACGTCACGACTGTTGTCGGTGATTAAAAATATACTTGGCAAGCTTACAATTGCACGCGCTGCCCACACGAGCGACATGCACTTAGCAGCCCAAAGATCCTAGTACAGTGAAATCTCTGTATAACAAACTTCACGGGGCAGCAGAAAATTGTTCGTTACTCTGAACGGTCGTTATAGTGAAAACTGCGAAATTAACCATAATTACTTATTTTCCAATGACCAAACCGTCCAACCTTTACAACGGTGGGTCCTTGAACTCGTTTTTCACAACGATGCGCGAGTCAACATCAGACAAAGCACATTTATTTATAGTCGGTAATTTTTTTTTGGTGCATGCAGCACGAGACTTTTTTTTTTGATGCAGCAGCACCGCAGCATGAACGCTGGCTTGCTTTGTGGACGCAATAAACACCGAAAAAAGCCGCGTCTGACAAGGCTGAGAGCACACGCAGAATTGAGAAGCAAAGATGACAAAGATAAACCCGATGCGTCGCCGGTGACGCAGCCAGTGTGGTGCCACAGTAGACTGGCGTGCTTCGTAAAACAGCCGTCAACGAAAAAAGAAAAGAAAGAAAATCGTCAACGCAAAAAGAGATACGTTCTCGCCACGCTTCCTCCACAAAAAAAAAAAAGCCAAAAAAAAGTTAACTTTGCTGTTCTTTTTTTCCCCACTTTCTAAGATTTTCCATGCACGTGCTCCCTTGCCTCCCTCTCGCCCTTTCCGAACCCTTGCCTCTGCGCTGGTAAAACCCGTCGTAGTTTCAACAAAAAAAAATGAAATAGTTTGCCTTCCACTACCTCTCGCACTGTCTCGGGTTTTCAACGTAGCGAGTTGCAACTTGCAAGGCGTCCGCTCGCCGTATCGTCTGCTAGCCTGCCGTGTCAGATTCACTGAAACCTTAGAATTCCCGCACTTCAGAATATGAAATCGTAGTACTGAGGTGTAGTTAACATGATGCGGAGCTAAATATAGTGCTCGTTATTCTGAAGTATGTTGTAGTGAAATAATTTTGCATTACAACCATAGGCAGTCAGCACGGGATTTTTTTAGAAGTTTGTTAATCTGAAAAGTTTGTTAAAGTGGTGTTCACTGTACCGAGATTTGACTGTATGACGTCATGACTGGTCGGAGGTTTTTCGTGTTATCTCGCGTTCGGTCACATCTTCAAGGAAAACAAACGTGATATTCAGATTCACAGGATAAAAATACGCTAGAATTCACCTCTAGCTCGTTTTTTGTATTTTTTTCAGTAAGTGTTTCAGCTTCCCTTTAAACACAAAATAGACAATCCAAACCAGAAAGCTGGCATTTAAATACCTGCACACTAGTGATGGGACAGAGCAAACTAGTTCAGTGAAAAAGGGAGCGGAAAAGGCAGAAAGAAAAGTGAGAGGGAGAAGAATGGAAGAAAAATCAGCTTTAACGACGTAACAAAGTTGTACGATAATTTCCAGGGAAGAAGCTCTTTGCTGTTAGAGGCAACAAAGGGAGTGTGAAGGACAAAGCATAAGGATAAATTTTAAGAGATAGACGCATTATGTGCTACAGTATAGACCACTTACAACGTAACCGCTTATAGTGTAGGACCGGGCAGAACGCGGCTTTTTTAAACCACCGGTTCGCCTTCCATAGAACTCCATGTAATTACATACCGCTTAAAATGCAGGCACGCGAAGGGAAATACCGGTTATAGTGCGATTTTCGGAACAGCCCGGGCGACCGCGCCGACTGACCGACGCAGAGAGCACGCTTCCCTGTGCGATACTAGATAACGGCGCAAGCCGCAACAACACACGGCACTCGCGGGGCAAGGAGGTTGCTCGAAGAAGTGGGGAGAAACGAAGAGAGAGGCTTCAGACGCACGCACGTGTCGTTCACGTGCGTGCGTCCCTCTGCAACCGCAACGACAGGCCAATCGCAAGTCGAGGAGAACTGTTCGCGCGCGTTGCTTTGCCGGTCGCGGGCCGGCTACTTCTATCCGCAAACATGGCGTCAGTTGTGATCGTCGACGTAGATGGCGTGGTTCGTTCCGTGTGAAAGCGCTATCCTTGACTAAATTTTCGCTGTGTGTCGCTATGATAACCCAGCACGTACTAGAAGGGAAGATCCACCTACTCGTGCGGCGATGTCGTGGCGGCACTCTAAAGACGGCAGAAACGCTCGTGTCGTCGTGTTTGTTTACTTCGACTACAGTGGTGATTTCTAAGCATTTGTGTTTTCGAACATCGCCCGGATTTCTTATCTGGAGCATTTCATGCCTGTGCTAAAGTTGAAGGTATTACTGGCGCGTACCGTATAAAGGATGCAAATTTTCACGAGTTTTCATCGCCGGAGAAAAGTGATTAGGGTTAGCAATCCTGAACGCTAGCAACGTCCGTCCGCGACCCGCGACGCCGTTAAAAGGCTGCGCCAGGCAAAAGTCGCTCATTTCTTTCAAAATGTGTGACCTCGAGAGAGAAGTGTACTAGTCTGGTAAAATAAAGAATTTCCTAAACCTAAGCTTTATTTCTCATCTAATATAAAATAAATTTGTTTTACAAAGGTAAGTTGTCTCATGGCATTTATTTTGGCCTGAAAAATTGATGTTTTGGTTATAACGCGGTACCGCTTATAGTGCGGATTTTCGCGACTCCCGCGACATACGTTATATGCGGTCTACACTGTATATGCCATGGTGAAATTGAGACGCTAGAACACATGGTTTTGAAATTTATGAGGCTTTGCCCTGCCCGAAGTGGTATTGAATCTGGCGGGGATGCCGGGTTTTGTTGGCGAGGATGGAAGGATGGAGAAAAAGGATTACAGTCACAGAGAGAAGGTTAGACTAGCGAAAATTATCCAGGGAAAGTTGAATGAAGTAAAACTGACAATAACAAGCACAGCTGGGGACAGGCAAGACAGAGGAAAATTGAGACTCCCTCCCAGGCTGCTCCAGTCCAAAGTCTCAACCCTGCCTCCCAGTGGGTCCGGTGTTGGGGGAACGCCAAATAGGTTTGACCAGTAGAAAATTGGCGAACCCCTTGCCGGGGGCAGAAAGCGAGGGTTGAGGTTTTTCGCGTTTTTATCCGATCCTCCAAAGGTCATCCCGGCGATATACCACATTGCCTGGTGATAGTTACAAAAACGTAAAGGGGAAGCGAATTGGCTTAGCAAGGTGAGGGGAGGAATCACACTTTTGGTTTCTAGGCTAGGTGGCGCAAGCTACCGCCCGTTACAAAGGGTGCAGCCGTTAGCACACATCCATCCATTCATTTCTTGCTGTACTTTTACGTTTATAGCATGTTGTGAACATAGTCTCTTTGAGCTCCCCCTTCAGCCAGGACTAACGCATACACAGCGTGTGCATTAAAACATGGCACTCTTCTCTCCCTCGTCCCCCCGACTGGGACCAGCACCCTTCAATGCATGCGATCATCAGAGCAAGCTGAGCACATCAGGCGAAGCCTACCCATCAGCAGGCGAACGGACCGCTATTGTCCTTTTGAGGCTACATTAAAAGCTGCTCGTTAAGACCTACTTCCGTTCGCTTACGAATGAGGTCTTGTCATCTCGTAGAACACTGGCACACTGGTGCCCTGGAACTGCATTTCACTACAGCGGAAGTTTCACACTATTTTTGAGATCAACTTTACAGACTATGAGAAATGGTCGTTTATAACATTGACAAAAACATCTTAAACAAGCCCGCCCCGCCAACCGCCCCCCCCCCCCCCCCCCCCCCCAAAAAAAAGGAACTTTAAGAAAATTCCTTCTTTGGATACCTGATAGATGGTGTCACTGTTCTTAACGCAAGAGATCCCAAGGGGTTTTAAGGCACTCTCTCGTAAGCGGTTGATAGTGTGTGAACCATCCTTCATAGAGTCCTAGCTAAGACCGACACTTCAATCGCAAGATGACAAAGCAAGCGAGCCGATTAGAAGACATCATGATCTAAACCGAGCAAATTGGCCGACACCAGCCAATATGAAAGCCGGCATGGTCCAGGTGTCCGGTTTGTCCACGTGCCGTGGAACCCAGCACTGCGAGATGGCCGAGCAACTCCAAGCGCGAGGAGGGGGCACACCGACAGAGAGAAGGGGGCTCACCCTTGGGGTGGTCCTGCCTCTGCTCCAGGTGCATCTTGCGCATCACCGAGGTCGGGGTGAAGGTGGCCATGGTGGGGCTCAGGCCCTTGGACGGCGAAGCCCCCCGGTTGGGGCCCACCCCTTGTTGCGGCAGTGTCGGGGACCGGGTCCTGTCGGGGACAGAACACAGTCGTGAAGGCAGGAACAAGAGGAGGCAACAGTAAGAAAATCCAGAGTTAAGTCGCAAGTAGAGGTCGCAGTCGGTGAAACGCCCCCAAGGGTGCCCAAGGGTGTCCCTTCCATCCAATCGTCTTCTGGTTTTGTTCGTTTTTGGTCATCCTTGAAGGTGTCTCTCTCCAAACCTTCAACTTGCCGTTACGTTACCTCCAAAAGCTTCCTACCTCCATGCGGCCCGTAAAAAGGAACATCCCCGCAGACGGCCGAAGGAAAGACCCTTTCAAAAGTGGGCGCCACCTAGAAGCTGCGGCACCTATCACGCAAATCCACCATTGCTTGGGCACACATCAAGATTGTCTATTGGACACAAGCTGCTTCTGCGTTTGGCGAGGACTCGGATGCAATTGCACGCTTCGTACCAAAGAGACGGCAACTGCTAAATTTCTTTGACGGGGCATCGAAAAGGGTCCCTTGCTTTGTCTCGCACCAAGCTACTAGATCCATGCAGTTCACATTAGCAATTATCCAGATCGTCTGTTTCACGATTGAAAATGACCCAAATTTAGTGCGCATCCACATCCAATTTAGCTCGCACTGTAATTAGAACGAATGCCGACTGACTGAGGATCTTGGATGCACTGTTGTTCAAAGAGCATCGAATAAAGTGAAATCTCTCACGTGATATGAACGGTGCATTTTTCTGCACATCGATTTATTGGACGTAATCACAACCTCGGCCACTATTTTCAGCTGGTAGCATGTGCTAAAAGGATGAACCGACACACCAAGTCTCTTCAAGCGAGGCTCCGAGGGACAGGGAAAATTTGTTCAATTTATAGGCAGATAAAAAGACCCCTACTTTGAAAGACTGAAAGAAACATCTTCCACAGTTGCACACCAAGTTCCCTTTAGGAGAAGCCTAATGCATCCAGTTAAGTCTCGCACGTGCCCCAAGATAATGCAAAGGTACCTCTGTGCCTCCTGCTGCTTGCGGAGGTTCTCCTTGTGCTTCTGCTCCTCGAGGATCTTCTTGATGAGCGCCGTCTGCAGGATCGACTGCGTGTGCACCGCCAGCTCCTGGGGAGATGGCACCCGGGGACGCAGGCCTGCGGTCTGCGTCGCCAGCAGGGAAGGGGTCAGGAATACCCAGGAGAACCTTTGAAACTCTCCAAAGCCTCCAGACATTGTATGCAAGCCTTAAACAAATTGTGCACCAAAGCAGAGAATTTCTTACATTAGGGTTCTGCAAGTGTTTGAATTTTCGAATAGTAGTTTTGATATGAAGTATGATACAGTTGCCGACCGATTTTTCTGACTTTGCAGAGACCAAAAAAAAATGTTTGAATAGTAAAGCAGTCCGAAAAATCAGCCGATTAAAGATCGAGCCTTTATTATGTCTAAGTGGGCTTTAAAAAGCCGGAAATAGTGCTTTGCTTCAAGTTACGCTTCTGTTAGCGTTCCACAACTTTCCGTTAGCTTGAGAATCGCTGCCTTCTTTTTCTAGCCTTATAATCAAGTACTTTCTGCACTTCTTAGCGACACATCGCGGCGGCGAAGAACAGATGGGGCAATGGCAAAGATTGAGATGAGAGGCACAGGCCGACGAATGCAATGACAAATGAACAAAGCAAAATGGCAACGACAATGATGATGATAATGACCCTTCGCTAGAGAAAGACAAGCCGTACAGCGTCACCTTGCAGTAGGACTTAGCAGTACCCAAGTAGCACTGCCAAACCAAGCCAATCCATGTGCAGCCAACATAGAATCCAAAATGGCCGCTTCACGGTTGTGTTTCCCGCTGATCGCTCGCGACAATTTTGTCAGAATAATTAAACTTTCTGACTTCAAGCTATCCTAAACATTGGTCGTAAATATGCACTAATTTTATGGGGTACATCACACTTCCTCCTTTAGGTCTGAAATATCGAACAAGTCCGAATTATCACAGTCTGAAAAATCGGTCGGCGACTGTATTAATATTTTTCGAAGTGTTGATTGCAGCGGGAGAGCCCCGTCAAGCGTTCTTACAGAGCACTGGTGCACTGCAGAGAAGCAACACCGGCCAGGCTTGCTTTCTTGGGGTGGCTTCTCCGCAGTACACCGGTGCTTGGAAAGAAGTGTGCTCAACGGTGTTATCACACGGCGATCAACATTTGGAAAAATATGAATATCACAGTCAGAAGGAAAGCACAATTTCGAAGCAGGATGGTGCACATGCATGCCTGGTGTATCTAAAAAGAATGGTAACTTCATAGATGTTTATATGTACGCTACGGCAAAATTTTTTCTAATGAAGCTGTGGCTATTACGGAAGAGTATATGTTAGGCAGAGATGTTCTGACAACTTGTGTTTATCATTCATGATTGTCTTTTTCTTTTCAGAAATTTGAGATTTAAGAAAGGGCATTTGCATATAGAAAGATGATTTATAAATCAAATTGATTAGGTATAGCTGGACATCTCTATGGGCTTAATTTTATGTCAAATGCATCACAGTTCATAAATCTAGCTGATTTGGAAAGGCAAAAGCTTCGGAAACACCCTTCACGTGTTTATACAGGTTTTCGTCAAGGCATGGTGCAGCAGTAAGAAGCTTGTAGAAAATATTCAATATTTGATTAGAAAATAATTGGCCAAACACCCTTACCGCTTTGAACTAAAAATTCACTATTCGCACGAGCCTACCCTACACCGTATCCCGCACAAAAAAATGTGCCCAGCCATGTGAGGATGACAACTTACGTTGACCTGCAGGGTGTTGGACGACTGGCCAGAGGCCATTGGATTGGGCGTCCCAGCTGGAGGGATGGGCGACGCATGTTGGCCAAACACTGCACAGTTTTCGGAAGGGTCAAAGGCTTTTAGGCTTTTACTAGATTTTGTAAAAGCTCCTGAAGGGAGAGGAGCCTCACAATAAGGACAGTCTCTCCTCCCCGCAGCAAGGCAGCTTTTGTGCACAGTAATCCCTCGTTATAACGAAGTCGACAGAATGAAAAAAAGTAATTCGATAAAAACGATAAAGCCAGAAAAACAGCGCCAGCAGCCTTCCAGTAGGATGGGAATTGAAGAACACACTGACCGTGTATTTAACCAAACAAACCTTAGTTATGAACAAGAAGCGGCAGCTTCACCGAGTAAAATAAAATAATTAACAAGGAGTTTGGCAATAATTTCAGCCGGGCATCACTTATCCTTCCTTGAACAGCTCCAGGCATTGCAAGAAAACTGTCACCGCCACAGCACTCTGTTTCAAAGCAGCCGCAGGATGTTTCGCGTCTCCGCAGTTGTCTGCGTTTTCCGTAGTGCCTTTCCAACGTCGTTTCGTGCTTACCCTGGCCGCACGCGAGGTCCACGATCGCAGCATCCGTGGCAGGAGCAACAACCCTTTCTTTTTTTTCGTAAATGTAGTTAAAAATATTAAGGGTCGACCTACAATTGTGACCAGAGAATTTTGGCCTACATTCATGACCCAATTTTGCGACCCTCCCAAACACATGGAGCCAACGAGTCACCGAGCCCCTTCTGGTTTTAGAAAGCTCTTGGTGCACAAAAACAACCGAAACAGCAGCAGCATCCCTCGGGCATTGTGTTTCGCTCCTGTTCACGGCTGCCGCGGCCGCTGCCGCTCACACATGCCCCTCGCGGCACAAGGAGGGAAGGGGGATGCAAAGCGACCCCGCACCTTGCTCCCTCCCCTCCATCCCTCCCAACCTTGCAGACGCACAGCAAAAAAAAAATACGGAGGTTTAGCTTCTTGTTGCTCACAGAGCTCGCAAGCAGCGTTGCCGTTGCTCACGGCAGCCTAGCGGCAGCTTGCAGCAGTGCTCACTTCTTTTTCTTGGATCTTTTCGTCGCTTTGCACGTCCCCACCTTTCTTTTTTCTTTGTTGTCTCCATTTTGCAACAGTGTCAGTGAGGTATTGTTGCAAATTGGTGAGGATGTCAACAAAGCTTCAGATGACCATGACATGTCCGGAAGTTCTGACAATGATTAAGTTTTTGGCATTTCGCTGTGATTTAGCTAAGAGCGCTGTAGACAAAGATTCATTTTACTCTTTTGCCCAAAATTTCCTCTATTCTTTAAAAAAAAAAAAGAAAGAAAGGTTGACTTTAATTTGAATTATTTTTTTAAAAATTCATGGAGAGTTTAATATAAAGGCATTGACCTATATTTGTGGTTGACTTATATTCAAGTAAATACAGTATCCTCGGTGGCTTCGCTGACATGTTTTCACACACTCCTGTAGAAACCGTTGCAGCCCTGGGAACTGCGCGTCAACTTAGCAAACATGCTCGCGAGAAAAATTCAAACTGCACAAAGCAGTTGGCTATCTTTCACCTTCAGGTCGCGGGTGCGCTTTCTCTTGCACGAGAATCTTTCAAACCCGTCCGGTATGCCTTGCTTGTTCCGTAAAATGGTAGTTAGTGTCGAACAGCCAATGCCGAATTTGTTTGGCAATTTCAGATTTGGGCCGGCCACTTTTCTTAAAAACCTCGTTAATTCAACGCCCGCTAATTCGGATAATTTGAACTGCCGATCTGGTCCCGTCAAACATCTGTATTAGTCAATGGCACCAAACGCTCATTAATTCGGAGGCAGATGGGTGTGCTACGGTTAATTCGGACGGCAGGTGGCGCAAGCTATTGCCCGTTTTAAAGGGTATGACCACTATCCATCTAAAGCACACACGTGCTTTTTTTTTTTTTTGTTCCTCCTCTGTGTTTTGCACCAGTTTTGCTTTGGAATACCGCGCGTTCGACGCACTGGTTCGCTCGCTCCGCTCCTCACATGTCGTCACCACGTGCAGTAACCTCCATGGCGGCGCCGCCAGCGAAGCGGGTGAAATACAAAGCCAAGGATTTAGCTACGAAGGCAGAAATACTGAGGGCATTGAAGGACGGCGTCTCTCGACGACAAGTGATGGACACGTTCGACGTCAAAAGAAGCACTTTGGCCACGTACGTGAAAAATGAGGCCGAGATCCTACGGGCTTTCGAGAGAGAGCAGTTCAAGGTGAAACGAAAGCGGCTGCGGAAGGCGGCGCACCCAAAACTAGAAGAGGCCTTGCTGCGGTGGATCATCAGCGCACGGGACGCGCAGTTGCCTTTGAGTGGCCCTCTGATCTGCGCGCAAGCAGAGAAGTATGCAGTGAAGATGAAGATTGTTTCATTCAAAGCATCGGAAGGCTGGTTTGCCCGCTTCAAAGACAGACATGAACTGGTCTTCAGACACGTGTGCGGAGAGAAAGGTGCCGTCGACGGCGATGTGGTCGATGACTGGAAGAACGTCAAGCTTCGCGAGCACCTCGCTGCATATGAGCCGAACGACATCTTCAACGTAGACGAGACAGCGTTGTTTTACAAAGCTCTACCAGACAAAACCATCACACTGAAAGGAGACCCCTGTACAGGCAGCAAAAGGAGTAAAGAAAGGGTCACAGTTCTTCTCGAAGCAAACATGACTGGTACGGAGCGCTTGCCACTTCTTGTGATCGGAAAGGCGAAGAAGCCAAGATGTTTCAAAAATCTCAAGCAACTACCCGTGGACTACCAAGCGAACCGGAAGGCCTGGATGACGTCCGAAATTTTTCGAGCTTGGCTGCCCCAGCTAGACCGACGCTTCCGCGTTAAGAAGCGCAAGGTGTTGATGGTCGTCGATAATTGCAGCGCCCACTCCAACGTGTCGGGACTGCAGTGCATTCAGGTCGTGTTTTTGCCTCCGAAAACTACTGCTGCCCTTCAACCCGTGGATCAAGGGATCATTCAGTACGTGAAAAGCAGATACAGGAAGCACGTGTTGGAGCAAATGTTGCTGTGCACCGAAACTGCGAAGGAATACGAAGTTTCGCTCCTCAGCGCGATCCACATTTTGTCGCACGTTTGGAACAACACACCTGCTGAGGTTATCGCTAACTGTTTTAAGCACAGCGGCTTTGTTCGGTCCGAAGCTTGTCAGGAGGTGGAGACCCCAGACGTCGCTGAAGACGACGACGACGGCCCTTTCGACGGTGTCCTTCCTGCCCAAGTGCAACTTGCGGACTACCTTGCGATTGATGACGGTGTTGTTGGGGCCGGTCAGCAGAGTGACGATGAGATCGTCAGGGTTGCCCTATGTGACGAAGGGCGCGCTTCGGACGAAGAGGGAGACTGTCTGTGTGAGGAGGCGCTGCCGCGTCGCACTGTGCGAGAGGCCGCGGAGGCTCTTGTTGTGCTCGAAGAATTTTGCTACAATACCCCCGACAGTACGAGCGCGGTGCAGCACGTGACCGCGCTAAGGAAACTTGTCGTCGCAGCTCGAATTTCGTCAAGAAAGCAGGCGGCAATTACAGATTTCTTCCAAAAATAAAGGTCTGTCACAGAGGAACATTTTTGCACAGTTTTCTTTGTCCATCCGATATTTCGACTTTCGGATAATTCGGATATTTTTGCCGGTCCCATGAGATCCGAATTAACCAGGTTTTACTGTATCACAGATCTATGCAACGTACGGTAAACAATCCCACTCCCATACGACGCACGCCAGAACGTGAATGCTGCTCCGTCCGCATCGGCATCGGAAGCGGTGCTCTGCCCCCCATCACCCGTTTGTTGAGTTTGTCTCTGAGAAGGGCAAGGGAATGTAAGGGTCTCCATGCGCATCCGTGTAGGCTCGCGTGCTTTCGACACCCTGGACTTCTTAATAACCGTGGTTGCCCGCTGAAACACTTAGAATAATTCGGTTCAAAATTTTTGGTCGGCACAAGGTCGATAAAAACGACAATTCGAAAAGAAAAAAGCGATTTCATTATAACGAGGAATTACTGTATGTAGTAAATACATGAAACTGGGAGGTGCAGCCGCTTTCCAATTGCAAACATTCTTTTCATTAGTTTCCTCACATGCACAAAATATGAGAAGCATGACCCGATGGGGTATTTTTCTAACCCAAAACATTACTGCTGGGACAACTTCTCGCAAGGACGAGTTGTTGCCGACATCAATGCACATTTGTACTGTAAGAAAAAAGACTTGGAAAATGCGACCTGCGCTAGAATTGGTTAGCACGACTCTCACGCTAGGCATCCCAGCTTGCCAAGGTTTGAATCATGCAGACGTCAGATTCTATTTATGCGCCCAAATGCTGTAAGCACCGACTCGGCTTGTAAAAAGGTCGTTCCACTATCGAGTCGATACGGAAATGGCAGCCTACGGCAGTGTCTCGGAAGTGACCCTCCGTGCTTTCCCGGCTCACAAACGCGTTCCAGCCGGCGTTCGAACCCTGGTCCCGAAGTCTCTCACCGAGCGGGGAGGGAACCCTGCGAGGGTCCTGGGGCAGAGGCGACTGGCACGAGGTCCCCACCAGGGGGCCCGGAGCCAGCAGTCCCAGCTGCTGCGTGGGGGAGGGCCGCTGAGTGGTGAGCAGGGGAGGCTTCAGCAGGCTCTGCAACATCTCCTGCTGCTGTTGCTGCTGCTGTTGCTGGTGATGCTGCTGCTGACGGAGCATCGTGGCAGCTGCAGCAGCTGCTGGAACAGATACAAAAGCGAGCAAAAGTCAGCACTGCTTGGGAGGAAAAAGTGAGAGGGTGAAACAGTGTGTAGCAAGGGAAACTAAACCTAGATGCATAAGTGGGTTAACTGGTACAATGCAAATGCAGTAGAAACAAAATATTGGAGGGATTTTTTTACTGGACTTGGAGATTAAGGCTTAACGTCAGGGGCAATGGTGCCCGCGAACGAGCAGCATTCAGTACTTAAGCACCGGTGTCAACAGCAGCCCTGCAATGTTAACAGGAAAATTGGTCGGTGCATAGGTGTAGTATGCTGCAGAAATTTCCGTAGAACTACCTGTGGGTGGCACATGAGAAGGGGGGGGGGGGGGTTAACACTTCACCGGGTCATGCTTGAGAGTTGGGTGAAGTGCCCCTGCAGCAGAGGACGCGAGCTCGGCCGCTTAGCCACTGCCCAGAGCGATGAGCGAAGATTGTGGAATTACGGCTACCGGAGCGGCGTCTATCGCCGTTTTAATAAAATAGGAGCGCGGTCGCGTTGAAGCGAGCAAGCAAGCAAGCAGCAGATAAATTGCTGCAGAAACTACTATTGTGGGTTGCCTATAAATTACAATAGCATTCGCCTAAGACAACCTCAAAGACAATGTCTAAGACGACATCAGACAACCTCTAGATGCCCTCAAGGGCGATATCAAGGACCACCTCAAAGACAACGTCGAGGATGAAGCCCTAGATGACGACGTCTAGGACGACAACTGTCAAGTGCTACTCAGTGAAGCGTAACCCCCCTTAATTATTTTTTTACTCTGTAAAGCTTCCACTAGTTCTTCATAACCAAGGTTTGTTCAAATACAAATATGGTCAGAGTGCTCCTCAGTTTCCCAACCACCTTCAAGGCTGCTGAGCCGTTTTCTTGGCTCTGTCGCTTTTATCAAATTACCGCATATATCAAATTCTTTTGCCGTTCCGTTGACTTCCTTATAACGAGGGATGACTGGAGTTCTACGTCAAAAGAGGCACTCCCTTTCGTGCCAAAAGTACTCTCTCTGCACATCGAAGCAGGTAAAACAAATACTGAAATACCTCACGAAGAATGCGTTGTCTAGCTTCGTGCTTTTGTTTGAGCACTTCTTTGGCCGCCCAGGCACCCGGGCCATTAAAAAATTGCCCCGAAACTGCGACATTCCAAGGGCAGCACCCACCGGCCATGTGGTCGTGCCTGGCCACCATGTGGGGAGCCAGCGGGGTGGGGCTGAGGGGCGGGTGAAGGGGCAGGCCGGGGGACACGGGCCCCACCCGGTGGGCCCCCAGCATCTTCATGAGCATCTCGGGGCCCCCCTGGGGCTTGGGCTGCAGCAGCTGGGCAAGCAGTGCCGGTTGCGTCTGCTGTTGCTGCTGGGGTGCCCCACGATGGCTGCCCCCTGCAATGGTCAAAGCCGGCAAAGATTCAGCACTCCGCCCACGATGGTCCAGGGTGCATCAAAGTCAAAGCAACGCTGGAGCAAACAAAAATCCTTTACAAGAACCTGAAGGGGACGAAGACATCCACAGTTCAGTCGGCGGGCTATTGGCACTTTGCAAAACCGAAAGTATAGCAGCAGTCAAGCTCCCACAATGTCTCACTATGACACTTATGGCGCACCGTGCATTCACGAGGGCGCCTATCAAACCACTCTGCCAGTTTGGCCGCGCAGAAGCTAAGTAGCTGCTTCGCCTCAGACACGATCACATGGTCGTGTTGCCGCGGGGTCGATCGGGATCTCGAATTCGGCTCCCGACACGCCGCTTTCTCTCCTAGCCACTGGAGGGCGCTGCAGGCGCCCCCGTGGCAGGCAAGGAGAAACCTCCTCGCCCATCGATAGATATATACGCGGTGGGGCAGGGGGCGAGAGGCCTCTAAGAACTCCGGACGCGACCGAGACGCAGGCAGGCAGGTGGGTGGGTGGCGACCGGATCTAGGGTATCGCGGGACACGAGGATTGGGACCTTCTTTGTGTTTAGCTTTAGGCTTAACGTGCATTTGTAAATAATTGTGTAATGTAGCTTGTATTTGTAGTTTAGATTGAGTGTTTTGTAGTGTTGTGTTTTATTGTACCAATAAACTGGGAGCGGAATCCCGCTCCCGTGAAAGAACCAGGCTGGACTCTGGTTGTTGACGGACAACGTGGGAAACGGCGAATCTGCGGCGGTACGCGAATTCTCACACACTTCAATACAACGCCTCACTAAGGTGTCTTTAGTGGGATCTATTCTTTTTCTCATCAATGAAAATAAGAGCAATGTCGATAAGTCAAGTTGAGCATGCGCTACGACCGGCTGTGACAGCCACGGACTGGGTCTTTCTGGCTTACTGAAACTGCATTTCAGTTTGTACACTGGAATACAATGGTATTTTATTAAATACCCGTCAAAACCCACTTCCGCAGTTGAATTATCCGATCTCAAGCAAACACAATCGTACTAGCCGCAGCGAAGTACATTGTTCTTATGGGACGTTTGCTGGGAATTAATAAAAAATGTGCAGCTTTTCGCCACAGTGTGCCAAGTGACGGCGATTGTTGCTATTATGCATAGTGACACTCACTTTTCCGCGTATCCATTCTTCATTTACCCATTCACGTAAAACACAGCCTTGCGGTCACTGAAGTGTGTGTGGGAAAGTTAACACACACACACAAGTCGACGTACCTACCCAAGACTAAACAGAGATATTGTTAGGTTCCCTGTCGCTGGAGCGCTAACACCTTCGACGCGCGAGAACCGACGTCCTAGCAACTCTTTATTTCCCAACTCAATCGACTGTCACGAGCAGCACTCCTTTCTTGTCAACTCCGAGAGGAGCGCCGTCTTGTGTTTCCTTTGGGAACTCTGGGGGGGATCACTTGCGCCCTCCCTGGGCATAACTCAGTGACTAGGGAGTCCCTGCGTGGCTTCGATTGACGCCATACGCTCCTTACCACATGGACTGTTATGAAAGTTTGGTTGCTTTGCATCGGACAGTACACCCAAATAGAGTTCTCCGACGAGGAATTCGTAGCAGCACCCCTCGACAACCATAGAAAAAGTAGGAGATGCCGCTACCTGGCAAGAGCCCACGACGCACGCCTTGTCTGGCGTCACGGGGAAGTGCACATGCGAGCGGGTGCAAAACTTCTGTTTAGCACAACACCGACACCAAGGATGCAGGTGCACAGTCTCTAGGACACCTATTGCTGTAAAATTTATTATACTGAAAAACATATAATGCAGGATCACAAAAATGAGGTTCCACCATTAAACTGGAATAACGCCTAGGGGAGGAATTCAGTTGCACAAACTGAATATTACAACAAAGTCAAACACCATCACATGAATGGGACTCTGAAGGTGAGCAAAAACTGCACAAGCTTGACCATGGTGACAAGGTCCAGAGAGCATAGAACGTGTTCCGCACGAACCATACTCCATGGGTCGTTCGAGCTAAATTTGTCCAACTTTCTATTCTATATTTTTATTTTATAGTTTTTATTCAAAATGTGCCACTTTGGCTGGCCCATCTTCCTGCAAGTAAGACCATTTACTCTTCCAGGATGACTGAGCTACCAGCACGCTGGCAATACTAGTATCCGACAGCCACTGCACCGACCCAGGTTCGAGCCCCGCTGGAGCGTATTTCTTGCGTCAATTTTACCTGGCCATTCATAAGCTTTATACAAAACCTGAATGTCGCGTAATGCTCGCAGTGTCAGTAGTTCCCGACGTTCATTCCGGATGCTCGTCCGCTACACTCGTATCGCAAAGAACCACTCCTAAGACACATTCTGCATTAAAGGCACGAATTGTGGCTCACCAGCATGCATGGCCATGTTGTGCGCTGGGTGGCCGTAGGACGCCCTGAGCAGGTCCTCCTCCTGCAATGCCCTCTCAGGCACTGCCGGGATGGGCTGCTGAAGGTGGTGGTGGTGGTGGTGCTGCTGCGGGGGCCCCCCAGGGCCTCCTCCGAGCTTGCTCAGCAGGCCCTGCAGGTGCTGCTGACTCTGCTGTTGCTGCTGATGCTGTTGGCGCTGGAGCTGCTGCTGCATCGTCAGCTGGCCACCCTTGCCGCCACCTCCGAGCACCACTTGTTTCAGGTCGGCCTCCAGCTCGGCAACGCTCTTGGCCTTGCCAGAGAGCGCTGGGGGAAGGAGAGACGTCACCCGAGAGTCCAGTCGAGCAACGGACGCATTCCAACACGCAAGCAACGAGCAGAATTCGGCCCTCGGAACGCAAAAAACCACCGTCGCCGACAAGGTGAGAGGGCAGGGAGGAGCTTCGGTTGACCCGCCTCCGGCACGACCTTCTTGCCGTCAATAACGCTCGCGCCCTGCCATTCTCACTCCGTCGGCCACTAGGGCGTCGAGTCTGCAGCGATGCCGCCGCGAGCTAGGCGGTGCCACATGCATCTGCCAGCGATGACATTAAGGGGAGGAAGTCTTCAGGGTGGCATTGGCGCGAAGCGGAACCCTCCGGGAAGCCCCACCCACCGTGCTCCCGGAGCTGAGCAGTCTTGTGAGCGTCCCCGTTGAGCAGGTGCGCCTCCACGTCGATGTTGGCGTCCAGCAGGATGTCAAGGATGTTCTTCTGGCCCGAATGATGGGGCGGGGGAGACGGCCGCGCGGGATGCACCCCGTAGAGCGGGTGCAGGTCACTGCCATGGTCCCGAGGCAGGGCGGGGCTGATGGGTGTGAAGTACGAATCCGGGGACGGCAAACGCAGCCCACCCTCACCTGACCCTGGAGGAGGGAAGCGCGTTAGGACAACGATCTTTGCCCGTACTCGAAAGTGGAAAACCTCTTGTACGAGAAGAGAAAATTGTTTAATTACAACATGAAGAGGTCCACCTGCATTTAGAGCGGGTTTGCTACTTTCCATATAAACAAAAACAAAACTTTAAAAAACATTTTTTTTTAAAGGTAGGGTATATGTATGCAATTTTTTACACTATCCTTTATGTGCTTGCCCAAGTTGGTACAGTACCTGGACCAACATGGTTTGTTACCTTTCCAGTGTTAAAAAAACACTGCAAAGAAAATCTTTTTTTTAAGAGTATAGAAAGCACACTATTTTTTAAATACATTCTTTTACGAAAAAGATTTTTTTGCAACATTTATGTTGTCCGACGCAATTTAAGTGCAGAAGGTGGGGGTCGCAGCCCGCTAAGCCCTGCCTCGTGCTTACACCTATCACTGGCTGGAGAGAAGATTTGTAAATTTGTTTCTCCGTGCCGTAATAGCACTTCAATCAACTTTGTTTTTTATGTTTGAGAAGCAAATAATTAAGATAAAGCCATTGTTTTGAAATGTATTCAGAGACTGCTTCTACCCGCTTTGCTTTGGAATGTTGCTGCTGGTGTTTGCGGAGGGCTGAACAAACTAAGCTCGTTGAGCTCATCCATTTTTAGGAGTGCAAGTGGTTTTGAGTTCACTGAGGTGTTTAGAGGAAGATCCCCTCAACCAACGTAGTAAGCAACAAGCAACTGCCGCAAGTACGCGCCCTCAGAAGTGCTGCACGGATGCTTCTTCTCGTAGCAGGACTGACCCAAGTCTAGCGTCTCAGGTCAACTATTTTGATCGATCTAGCTTGATTTCTTTCTCTGCAAGTGTTGATGCTGCATAAAGATGTTGGTTCCCAAAAAAGTGGCCCCTCTACTCTGAATTGTGCAAGAGTCCTATTTGCGACCCACGCAGGTAAGAATTTGCGAGTCATTTGGTTGGAGGCAATCGGGCGTCCGGTTTGCATCTAGCTTGTCCAGGTTTGCTCCCGTCATTTCGCTTCGAAAGGAAAGTAGCTCCAAGTTTTGCAGTGCACATAGCCTGCCAATGAGAATATATTTAGGTTGTGTTTTAGTTGTGCGTCATGACGCACGACGCTCACCCACCTTGCTCGCGGATGCCATGTAAAGCTAGAAAGACTGCATATTTATTTTGTTGATATTTTTAGTTCTCTCGATTGCTTATTACACACATCGATAAATGCTGACAGACGCACGTATTGGACTGTCCATGATGGAATGCTAGAGAGCCGCTTTCATGGTCGGGTCTTTGGAGTGTTTCAGAAGTTTTTAGACGGCGGATGAATAGCAGACGGATGGAGGCGAAAACGGACGCCGACGCGCAACTTTCGTGTCCGCGTCTCACGGAATCGCAGACGACGATAGACAGCGATGAATTAGCAGACGATGCCAGAGGCTGCCGCTTGTCTGCTCGCACGGCTAGCAGGCAATGTTAGACTTCCAGACTAGACGCATCAGACGATGCGAAAGGGAGACACTATGCTTGTTAGCCCATTCGATCGCGCAGCCAAGCCAGTCCAGTAGTAATGGGCAGGGCAGCTGATCTGAGGGCGGGGCTCAGAGCGGGCTACGAGAGCTTCTCCTAAATAGACCTTTTTCCAGCAAGCTTCTGCGCAAGCGTACACCCATTCCCCTGGCCTTGCTTCCCGCTGTCGCAATTTTCGCAATGCAAAGTTCCGGTTGACCAACATATTCAGCACCTATCTTTGCATGTATTTAGTCTTTTTTGCCCATTTTTGTTCGAGTATAGGGTACAATGGGACATAAAAGGCAACGAAGATCAATACAATGGTCCAATGCCAATGTATTCTGACGGGCGGAGGGTAGACGGGGCTCGTTACTGAAAAAAAAATCCATTGCATCTAACGGCGTAAATATTGGGCAAAAGTCATTTTTTCATAAAAAATGTATCGAAAAAATGCATAAAAAAAAAAATCTTTCCCTTGCAGTGGGTGGATCGAACCTCCTGATTCGCCAAAAACTCAAGTTACTGAGCAGAGAATTGTATTGGCACGCTGGCAGAGTCACTTAAACGCGAGTCCCAGAACACATGCATCTCTTATTGTAGCTCAAAAAAGGAAAAGGTCAAGATCCCAGACTGATGCTAATAGGGATAAAACTACACCATTTTTCTCAGACTCACTCGATTCCCCTACAATTCCACGTTTTCCCCAGTTGAAAGGCACCTCGGGAAGGCCACAGAACAGTCACCGAGACGAACGAGGGAGGGGTCTGAGCCCAGGTAAAACCCTAAACGCTTCTAGGAGCTTCAGCTTTCCTTTCACAAAGAGCATTTCGGCTTTTTCAGCGAGTTGCCCGACAATCCTATGGCAGTCCCCCCGTCTGCCATCCTCGCACCCACCGGAAGCCAGGACGCGAGCCATGAGGTCGTCGTGCACCGAGGACGGCCTCCTCGACTCCCCTCCCTGGTCCCCCTGGGGAGGGGGGCTGTCCCTGCGGAACCACTGGCTGAATCGGCTGCCCCCCGTGGGGGGTCCTTCCAGGGGTTCCTCCTGAAACGCCGCAAGGGTGCACAAAAATCAAAAACGAATAACGTTGCAACCAAACATTGCAAGACGATTTCCAACACGATAAACGGTCTTTAGTGCAGCGGTCTCCAAACGTGCCCCGTAAGCATGTGGTTCGACCCCTCGCTGGATCTTGTGCAACCGCTCCTGGCTATTTATGGACCTTCCCCGGCCCGAGAAAAAAAAAACCCCGTAAGCCTCGGCGTGGCAGTCCAAGATTAGCGGAGTGACTTGTCTCCTTCGGAGACTGAAGGAGCCAATCTAGTTAGCGAAACGTCTGCTGCCACACAGAGGCTTTCAGAGGGTTCCTCTTCGTATTCTTCCCCCAGTTTCAACCCTACTCCCATCCACTTTCACTTTCTGGTTGCTTTAGACAAAAAAAACACTGAGACAGTAAACATTTTAAATGCCACAAACTTCTAGCATCTACGACATAGAAAAAGCTAACTTTGGACGTTTACTTGCCAAGCTGGCAAAACGCCCGAGCAAAGGACTAACGAGCCTCCATCGAATCACAGGCACCCTTTGCCAGGATTCGAATCCCATTGCAAGGCGCTTTGCCTCCGAGGTAACGAGGCAACTGCTCCTGTCCGAATTCCACCAACATCCACCCCCCAGTGCTTTGCCATCGCCCCCACGTGACGTGGCGAATGCCAGCTCCAGTAGTGTGCCCGCACCGAGAGGAACTGGGGGCACCAGTCGGCCCTGAAGATCTCGTTGAGGTCGAAGCCATCCTGCGAGGGCAGGGCAGGGGCTGCCAGGCCGTCCGGTAGCGTCGGGCTGGACGTCAGCGGCATGCACGACACCCCCTGGTCCGACTTGCTCGTGTCTAGGCTGGACAGGGCAGTGGCCACGCTGGACTCCTGGCTGGTGTCCGACCCTGCCAGGCAGAAGAACCCATCCGTGTACGCCACTTTACCACCGGGGTTCCCCGCTTTACTTTTGTTCCAATTGGGGGCTGCCTTTTCGAACTGATGTTTCTCAATGTCAGTTTTCGGTGCAAGTAAAGAAACAAATTGACGCTCACGTTGAAGAAGAAAGGACATTTGCATAGGATTCTGCAACCTCCACAAAAATACTTGGGGCTCGAATACTTGGAAAACATACCAGTAGCAATGAAAAAAGCAAGCGAGAGAAAGGGTGTGATACCCAAAAAAAAGAAGCAGCCTCCCAACAGTGTTCCAGGTCAACGCAAAATACTGAAAACAAAGATTACTCACGAAAAACTCGACTTTCCTTATTGAAGGTCAGCTCTAATGGTTTCCCCCAATTTCAATAAAATCAGCTCAGGAGTTACTTTTCAGGGTGGTAGAATTTGCGTGAAAGAGATGAAAAAACAGCTGTATCAACACATACGAATTTAAAAATCCCAGAATGTAGATTTATTTATTCATTTATTTAGTAATACTACCAGTTCTGTTAGGAACATTAACAGAGTAATTAAACAAGTTTGAAGATCATACGTTAGTTGGTAGTGCAGTTTAGGGACAAAGAGTAAAAGCGTGTTCGTTTCATGGCTCTCGTGCCCACTCGCAGCGTGGAGCGGGTTTGTTTCGGCCGGCACCCCACACGTGCATGCATTTGCTGCACCGAGAAAATCGAGCGTGCGCCAAAATGTAATCCTCTCATGCCTTGCTCCAGCAAGGAGCGGGAGCAGACGACGAGGGTTCGTCGGCTATGGTGTGCGATTCGTACACAGGGTGTCTACCAAGTTGACATTTTCAAATTCCCCAAGTTTTCCAGGTTTTCCCCAAGTACTTTTGTGAAATTCCCTGAATGACACAGAACTTTGTTTTAGGTCAAGATGGGCTGACACCATGTCGCCAGATGCTGTCACTCTCTAAAAAGCATGTTAAAAAATAAAAAAATAAAAAAACGACCTAATAAAGTTTTAACAGTAACGAGTAACTTTTATTAGATTCAGAAAGAAAACAGAATGGAGTGGTTAGTAAAATTCATAGCAAATAAAATATAAATAAAAGGTAAACTGAGGGTTCGTCCAGTTCGGAGTAAACGAGCGCTTTCTTTCTGCCAACGTCGTCAGTGAAGAGGCCACTTCCGGGAACTTAATGAAAACACGACACTCAACCACACGCTTCAATAACCGAATGGCAGCATGACCACATGGCCACCGGATGCACACTTTCGGCTACAGGCTTGGATTAGATTGGGGTCTGCGGCCTTTTCATTTGTTACTACATCTAGTAGCTCTAACTGGATCTAGCCTAGTGTCGCACCCTCAATCCAATCCAATGCTTGGACTGGATTTGTCTGCTGTTACTTTTGCATCGGGTAGCACACTTTACACCGGGTGAGCAAAACCCGCGCTCCGCTCTAAGCAGAATTTATTGCCTATTCTTCTGCTCCCAAGTCCTCGAGTCTTAGCCTAGGGCACTCGATGGTGTTTCCGGCTCATTTTCCCTTACTCTGCTCGCTTTTTGACAATATCCCCAACGATTCCCCGATTTTTCCCAGTAATTAAAATTTCCCTGACAACTCCCGGTTTTCCCGGTCGCTAGACACCCTGCAAATGCACGGTCGTGCGTTCCAGATAGGTTTGATTCTGCAACGCACTGTGCTGCGCGCGTCCTGCTGAACACGTGCACTGTTTGTAGTTTCTCCTCTCCTACAATTTTTATGAATTGCGACACGTATCAAATGTGGGCCCTGCCCCAGATAGTCTGGAATACCAGAACTATGCTCACCAGGGAGCACATCTTGAGCTTCAAGGCCTGAGAGACGAAACCTCACTGTCAGAGCTGCTCCACTCATGAAAAACAAGTAAGAAAAAAATGCCATTATATTGCGCCATTGACACTTTTTCTTTTGTTGAGAGCTAGATACCATACCTGACACAGTGAGGGAAGAGTCATTTGACCTTGTGCAGCAGCTTCCGTAGCATGCGAAATATTGTAATGGAGCAGCCAAAGACACTTTTGGAACAGATGCCAATGCCTGTTAGCGCATCACTTGTCAACAGATCATAATGATATTATTACATCTATAATGGGCTTGCTTTGGGCTTTCTATAGAGCCAAAGAAAGAAAAGAAAGGACCTGCCGAGGTTGACCAAAAATCAACCGGAGTGACGAGTTTGACATTTGTTTTAAAAAACAATCAAATTCCTAAAAATATTTGAATAGGTCAAGCTATCTTTATAGTACTTATTAAATGAAGAGAAAAAGTTAAAAGGGTGTAGGAAAAACACTAGCGTCAGCAGAGGGTGCCAAACACGCAACCAGCGACGGCAGGCAAAAACACTAGTTTCTGCCACTGCAGCTTCTACGCTTCGTAACTCGAGAACAAAAATCTGGGCAACATGCGGTTTGGGCCCTCCTTCATTTGAGAAATGCCCCCAAAACATATATCTTTTTCGTCAAAATTAGACCGTTTTAGCTTGCCCGATTTGAGATTAAACCACCATATATATATATATATATAAAATCATTCAGTATTTTGTTTGTCGATTTTTGTTCGTAGTTTGTATTTTGTGTACCGGCATTTCTGCCTCTGCTTTGTCTAGTTTTTTTTTTTTTTCTTGCTTCTTGAAGTGCGATTGTAATTAGCACTCCTACTAAAGCCCTCAATTTAAACTAATAGTATGTCAAACAAATAAAAAAAAAAATTTAAAATAAGGAAAGTCGACAGACACTAGAAGGTCTACTCACGGTGGAGAGAGGTGGACTTGGTGCCCCCGGTGGTGAGGGAGCTCCCTGTGGTGGGTGCAGGCCCATCTTGACCCGGTTCGGGAGATCGGGTGCCCCCGTTCTGCTGGGTGGGTAGTGCCTGCTGCTGCTGCTTGCGGGCAAACTCGCGGCTGCGGCGGGACCGCCGGCCGACCCTGCGACCCCCCTCGGGGTCCTCGTCGAAGCCCACCAGCTCGATGGTGTCGTGCTGGCTGGTGGGGCCGCCCACAAACCACTCCGGCTCCTCCTCCTCCTCGATGCGCTCGTCACGGCCTGGCACAAGGAAGAAGCAGAGGATGCCGACATTACGCATTCCAGTGTTCACCATTTTTCAGAAAGGCCAGAGTAGTTCGACGACTTTCCTAACGCAGACGTTCCAACTGGCGATTAATGGCAAAAGAAAAATAAATTTGAGAGAGTTTATGCATCAAAGAGATGTCAAGACAAGACCGAGGATTCATTTCGGCCACCCAGGGACACGACGTGCGACTGAATCTCCACAGCTCGGCACGGCACCTTCTTTGTAATAAGCCACCATGAACTGCGATTCCCGGTGAGAAATATTGCCCTAATATTTTAAAACCAAGTAGAGAAGCGTTTACAAAGTCTGGCAGAGTCCAATTATGCCTTGCATGACGACTGTTTGTGTCATTTTATTGTTGCTACTTTACTCAAAGTGGCAACTTCTGCCTTTGACTTTAAAGATAGAAAGGCAAGTTACCATTTTCCAGCTTTTAGCATACCAATGTTGCTAGTTTGAGAGGATGTTTCCCACCCGAAGACCAAGGACAACTCATCATTGTCAGTCTTGGAGGGTAAATACTTATGTGGCCCCATTAACAAATTAAAAGAACCGCATTTCGACGCAACACGACGACGGCATGGTCCCCAAACCCGCTGAGGCGCGGTGCAACAATTTCTTTTCTCACATACTGCAGAACCTTAAGGATGCCGGCTTCCTCCCTGTCCCCGTCCATTTCAACCTGGACAAGCTTCGTATTGCCATGCACTCTTGCAATCGCTAGTGCCCAAATTTACGTCGAAGACCCCCGGTCAGCAGTCTTACTGCATTGCCTCAGTTGCCCATCTGCAGCAAAAGTCAAGCTGCCTCACTTCAAAGACCGTAGGAGTTCATAATGTCCAAATATCTAACAACCCGATTTATGCTTGTCCTTATGCGAGCCCAGAGCCGTTTCTAATGGGAAAGTTTAGCAGCCATTCGAAGGTGGCAACAGTCTAGCTACCACGGCCTAAAATCTGGCAACCGGGAAATGGTACGCTCCATCGCCATCCTGTATCGTTGACGTACACGAGCTGAGAATGTCTCTCGATACGATTATACGCCAAGCCGCATTATTGCAGTCTGTTCTCTCGGTAGAAATGGCTCCGCGTGACCCAGTTACGCATCGACCGGCGAATAATCGAGGCGGCAACGTCGCAGAGATGAGCCCTAGCGGCGAGAGACAATGGCCCACCTCTGCGTCGGTCTCCCCCGTAGCGGCCGGAGTGTCCGCCAGCGTGGCCGGCGTCCTCGAAGCGGCGTCCTCCGTAGCCGTACTCCCGGTTCTCCCGGTCCCAGTCTCGCTGATCTCTCAGGATGCGCCCACTGCCAATGCGGCGGCTGGGCTCTCGGTGAGCCAGCCTGGGACAGAGAGATCGCACGATCGGTCAGTCTCAAACGATCCATAGACGTCGGAGGGGTGTGCTTTCGGACAACGCGGCTGGGACGTGAACACCCACACGGTGGCACTTCCAAATGGCAGTGGCAAAAGCTAGTATTCATCTCGGGCGCTCGGATAATCTTTCCTGTACCCACTGTTACGTGCAGGATGGGAAACTAATAATAAATACCAGAATCGTGCAGATCCACCCAGAGCCATTGTATGCAGCCAAGTTATGCACTCTGCCATGCCACCCTGCGGAGCTTGTTAAAAAGTACAACGTGAATTACCATAAAGATTGTACGTTCGGAAAAAATTAGGATATAGTCTACTTCCTCGATCGAATGACACCTTGACGAGAGCACTCGCCTGCGCACAGTGTGCAGTGGGCTGCATCCTTGAACTGCTCATCTGCTCCAGTCAACGATATGTGCCCATATTACGATTACCACCTCCCCAAACATAGATCAATGAGCTCAAATAAATGAGTGAGGTAAACTCTTAAACATCAGCCAGGTATCCCACTGCCAAGGCAATTTTTAAGACCGAAATGAAAATCCCCAGGACTGCTACCAGTGGAACGAGCCGAGAACCCTCACCAAATGTTGTTGTGCTTGGCACCCTTTTTTCCCCCCATTTAAAACGTGCATGTAACCATTCTTTAATGTTTGCTGGTTTACTTTGCACTTCACATCTTTGATATTTCCCATCATTCACCTTTCAACCAACTATTGTACCCCAAATATTGCCACTTATCCTCCTGCACACCCATTAAAAAAAATCAACAAAGCTGCCCCATACGATCTAAGGGTAAAAAAACTGGCAAGCTAGTCAGCCTAAACCCCAAGACTAGAAAAATAAAAAAAAAAATAAAAAAAAAAACAACCACGCCGCTTTTTGTGCAGGTGGTTCCGAGGGCCATACTGCCACAAAACAATTTGTATCAATAAACCAATAAATGGAAAGCACCCACACTTTTAACAAAGGTGTCTTTAGGTTCTGCATTTAACCTACTCAAACTTCACGAGTGTCAATTTCAGGAAAAAAATTTATCCAAAAAATCTTTTTTTTTATGCGCGGGGAAGAAAAAACCGTCTGCAGCGTTCCTCACAGATGGTGCATCCCACACACTTCAATGTCCCGGATCTGCTCGCAGGTCTTCATCCCAAAAAAGTTTTCACGTGTTTGCTTTATGTTAAGTCACCTGTGAGCAGTAGCAGCAACCAGACAATATTTTGTTTTCCTCCCTGCACATAAAAACAAAAACAGGATTTTTAGGCTTAAATTATCTCCCTAAAACCAATTTTTAGTTTTTAATTAATTTTAAAACTAATTTTAATTAATTTTAAAACTAATTTTTAGTAAACACAATTTTTAGTGGAGATAATTTGTTTAGCAAAACAAATTATCTCCCTAAATCGTAAAGTTTCAGTGCAATAAAGGCCCACCAAAATACAGCTTCGTGAAAATTGTAATCGCACTCTGTTCACTGGCTTACACACAGCAACCCTTTTAAGTACCCCGCAGGGAGCGAGAAAGAAAGGAAGGCTGCCCACCCGTCCCCGTCCTTGGAGGGCCCGTCCGGGGGCGCGCTGGGCTGCGGCACGTGGCAGCCCGTGCCGAAGCTGCGCCGCTGGGGGCTCAGCACCAGGTCGTCCCGCTCCTCCCGGGCCAGCCGCTCCTTGGGGTCCGCCGGAGGGTTGCGGCGCTTGGGGCCCCCCAGGGGCTCCCCGGAGCCCCCTTCCGAGTCCAGGCGCTCCCGCTTGGTGCGCAGAGCGGCCCCGTGGGCACCGGGGGCGCTGGGGCCCTGGGCCGGCGTCGGCCCGCCGCCCGAGGAGGGCTCGTCGGCGGTCGCGGGGGGCGTCGCGCCTCCCCGGCGCTTGCCCAGGAACCAGCGCTCGGGGTCCCACATGCCGGACAGGCTGCACAAAAGGACCGGCATCGCTTTGGGCCACTCTTTCGATTTAAGGAATGGTTTCTGTTTCGGCAAGTGCGCATTACGAGTCACTGAAAAACCATCTGGGCCTTGAACACTTTTTGCTAGGCTGGGCCCATTTTAATAAAACATTCGGACGACAGTCACCGATAATGAAAACGCTCGACAGAATCTTTTCTGGATCCATGCCTCGACATCCTCCGATATGTAGCGCCGATGCCCGAGTCCCACCAGAACGACCAATGGAAACTACCGACGAGCCTCGAGCCCGTGCAGCACGCACGCGAAGGCATCTTTGCAAGGTTTGCAATCACCTGTGCTCGCTTCACGAGCACCGAGGAAGTGTAAACCTGCCAAAGGTATACTCGCGTGCATGCTGCGCAAACTTGAGGCTTGTTAAGTGTAGTTTCTTTTTCTGTCTGTTGCATTAGTGGGACTTGGCATAACAGATTTTACAGGGAACAATATTGTGCGTTAGCAGACACGACTGCTCTGCTCAGAATTAAACCGTATAATACAATCTCCAATCTGTGACAGAGAAAGAAACAGAGTAAAGGCTGCCTGTATAATTCTTTTTGTTCTCACTCTTGCACCCTCCGATTATGCTTGGTTGCAAAGTGACTTGACTTCTGAAGAGCCTACACTTGGCGATGTTTCCATCCCCCCAGACCATCGCTTCCTACTATCTAAAGCCTACCTATCTAAAGTCTGCTACGAATTAATCCATTCCATCGGAGCGTGCCCAGACTTCCCGCACCCTCCCAAATATCTCCCAGCACTCACTTGTTGTAGGCAGAGTCCAAGCAGGCGGGCCTCTTGCGACAGGGTCCGTCGTGCCGAAACTTCAGCAGCTCCGCCTTGGAATACTGGTGCCGAGGTGGCTTCTCCCCTTTTCTCTTCGCCTCCTCTTCCCCTTTCTCTACATCCCCCTCCTCCCCTTCCTCTTCCGGCTTCCCTACCTCCTCTCGGCCCCCCACCTCCACCTTGTCGTAGACTTCCGTGGGAGAGGCATCGGGAGGAATTGACTGTTCCGCACCAATGACATCTACACTGGCAACGTCCGCCGCACTAGTAGCATCAGCACTGGCATTATCATTGTTGGTAACCTCCAAACTAGCAACATCCGAGCCGGCAACAGCCGTGCTGTCAACATCCGAGCCGGCAACAGCCGTGCTGTCAACATCCGAGCCGGCAACAGCCGTGCTGTCAACATCCGAGCCGGCAACAGCCGTGCTGGCAACATCCGAGCCGGCAACAGCCGTGCTGGCAACATCCGAGCCGGCAACAGCCGTGCTGGCAACATCCGAGCCGGCAACAGCCGTGCTGGCAACATCCGAGCCGGCAACAGCCGTGCTGGCAACATCCGAGCCGGCAACATCCGCGCCGGCGACATCCGTGCCAACAACATCCGCGCTGGCGATATTGGTGCCGGCTACATTTGCGCCGGCTAGATTTACGCAGGCGACATCCGCATCAGCAACATCCGCGTCGGCGACATCCACGTTGGCAACATCTGCGTCGGCGACATCCATGCCGGCAACATCTGCGCCGGCAACATCCGTGCCAGCAAAATTCGTACTGGCAACATCCGCAATGTCCACGAGAGCCTCGACGACCTTTTCTTCCTCCTCTTCCGTCACCACCGTCTCCCTGTCCTCCCCTGCAATTGAGCATAGAGAGAGCCACTCAACAACGGGTCAATGCAGCACATGGCTGTGCGTGCCGTTGAAAGCAACTTTGATTTAGAAGGCTGGGTGAGTGCCTCAAGTGCACACATTCACTTGACCCAGAAGCACGTTTCGCCCAGTGCTCAAGCCTGCAACTTTTTGCGCGCTTTGTGCGAATTGCAGTAATTGGGAACCCAGATTAGGCTAACGGCAGGCTCATACACTTACATTTGCTTGCGACCGAGTTCTTGTGATCTCTTACTACCAGAGAATGCACTATCTTTGAAGTTGGCTCCGATACTGCATTTAGCCTGAGGGAACGTTCTCCAGTATTTGCAAGATACAATGTACTATCAACGAGCTAAAAAGAAAAAAAAGAACAATAAAAAAGTGGGAACTGAAACCGCCAAATGGTTCATTGGTAGATGGCCCCAGTCTTAAGCCGGCTGCCAGGCAGCACAGCTGTTGGTCAAAACTGTCAACTTTGGGTAGGCCATGCCACCAACGCTCAAGGTCGGGTTCAATGACTGCAGCCGCACAGTCTCAGAATTAAAAGAACATTCCACATAAGGTGGGGCTACCTGATAAGATAAACTTGAATGCCTAGTCAGTATAGCGGCAAAACTACACACCACATTCCCAGTCAGATTAACCTCATCTGCATATGAATGATGGAAGAACTACTTTGTCCCACCACCCGATTCAATTTTGTACTGTGTATGCCATAGCACCCCTCTGCTATGTTACAACGTCCGAATTGCAGAGACTCTTCGCATTCGGGCCTTTGCAATGTGACGCCGCATCAGTCACGTGAAGCAATTTCTGCTACCCCTCTACAAAGCCTCATCTGCCGTTAGCTGTACTATTTGTCCACATGACAAGCCAGTTCAAGTCGGGCATTTTATGGTGTTCCCATAGCCCTTTATTTCGAAATGACAGAAAGATATGCCTCCATTGAACATTTAACCGAATGTCCTAGACTCGTATATTACGCCCGGTCCACAATTAAAAACGCAAACCTAGTTCCACTGGCCGAGGCTGCCACATACGTTGGTAAACCATTCTAAACCTGCCAGTACTTATTACTATGTGCAGCATCACACACAAGAAATGTGCCAGCAATACAATATGCATGCTACAAATTTTGTACACAATGCCCCCAAAGCAGTTGCAGAACGAGGTTTGTGGATAAACCGAAACCTTCGATGGACGCTCTTGAATGAGCATGCAATGTTTTCTAACAGTTTTGTATCGCACAGCGACGCTTGTAGTGTGCAGCTGCTGCTCTTCGTTTCACCATACAACAGACTGCAGCAAATGCTATGAGCCATTCCAACCAATCCAGCGCTGCGAACATACCTGCGACTACTATGCGCCATGTGCATCGCTATGCCCTCTTCTAAGGTTTCATGACACACTCCGAGATACGGATTGGTTCCAATGACTTGTAGAGTTTGCTGTAGTCCATCACAAGATGAAATGGAGCATACAAGTTTTGCATGCTCCATGAGCCCATTTTTTAAACATAAAACTAGTAAACGGTGGCTTGTGGGAGCAAAAAATGAAAACAGGAACAAGAGCAACCAACTTGCTAGATGTCTTTCCATTCTCCTTGGCTACAAAAATTCTTGTGTTCCGTTTTGTGGCCTCATTGAGCTTTTACCTCTGGCAAGGCGGCGTAGGCAGATTATCTATTGCCCATGTTTGTGACCACCGGATCAGGAGGAAAGTGGGTGGTTGAGATAGACATTCCAGGCCTCAAACATTCCAGGGTTCTCCTCACAGTGAGCGGCAGTGGTTTGCCGCTTACCAGTCTATTTTGCATCCGCTGAACAAAACAATGTTGACTTTGGAAAGGGGCGACACCCCAGATTGTTGTGTCTGGCAGATTTTTGTGGCACAATGGAACAGAACTGCATAATTCCTGCAAACAAAACCACTGATGTGCAGCAGAGAAGGTGCAGAAAATGCTAAAAGTTGCGGCAACTTCTCAGTTGAGCGTTGGAGATCTTTTGGTACCTCAACAGTGTGTCGGGAGAAATATTCAGCAGGTTCATACTGCACCTCAAAGTCACGCAGCTGCACCCAAAGCCGCTATCTCTCAATTCTGGTTTCATGCCTTTGTCGAGAATATGTTCGCCAGAGGTTTGGGATAACGTTACGACTACAAACGGTGCTCCATAAAGGGACAGGTGAAAATGGTCACACGCCCACACTATGACTAGGACCTTCCGTTCTGTTTGCGAATATCGTTGTTCGGTTGGCGTAAGCAAACGACTGGTGTACAGCACTGGTCTTAAACTGGGGTCATCACGACTGTTGGGCGAGTACTGCACCCAATCCAGCAGGGCTGGCATCAACAATCAGAGTTGCTTGTGCCTCTGGACTGAAGTATGCAAGAGTCGTTGCATTCCTGAAGGCTTCCTTGGTCTAGGAGGAGGCATCTATGCTCTTGGCCTCATTTGCCAAGAAGAGTTTTTGCGAAGCAAATTCTGAAGTGGTGCAGAGACTGATAAGTGCGTTAGCTATGTCGTCGAGTGCGAGTGTTAAACGTTAAAGCATTATTTCCAGCACAAGAATAATAGAATCTGTCCAAATTTCGCAAAATATTGCTACGGGTGACGAGTTTAGAAGGCGTTCATGAAATGTATAAATTAAAAAACGCTGTTCTTACCATAAAAACCCGAAGACAGAATCCGAATCGTACAGGAGAAGTGTCAGTCTGTCTGTCCGTTTGTTTTGTTTTTTAGAGCAACGCATGACGCTTAGGACTTTATATTACATGCATTGTTTTGCTGTTTGTCTATCATGATAACAATGTCAGCTTTTCATATGCTAAAAAAGAAAACCTTTCTGGAAAGATTATTATGGTTAAATGGTGTATTTTTGTGATTGCGGCATTTATTGGAAGCCTACGTTGCCGCAATTTGTATTAATTTTAATACATAGTTTTTCAAGCTCTAATATTTGTTGCTTATGATCTTATTTCAAATGCACAAATAATTATAGCAATCAAAAGTGTGCAAATTATCATCAGTGGTGCCAATTGCAGCATTTTCAATTAACAAGTTACAAAAAAAAAAAAAAGCCGAGTCAATGAAAACATTTTAGCTAATGCGAAAAATCTATGCAAATTACAATAATTATGGGTAAAACATGTAGTACTATCGAAGTTGCCACTTTTCATAATCAACAAAACTTCTAGCCTAAAAAAACAAAAAAAAAAGATTTTTTTTTTTGTTTTAATATTAGTTATTTTAACATTTTCTTTCATTTTTTCCATCTTGACAATCTCCGCCTTTCTAGTTCTAAAAAATGCCTACCCGCTTGAATGTCTGCCCACATCAGCACATTTCGTTACCGCTGGAAACTGGTGAAACAGTGGCAACTTTTAGTATTGCGTATACAAGCGACTGCAAGCACAGTGCATTAGCATTAGTGTGGTGTGTTCCACACTGCGCGTGAGCGGAGCCCGAAATAGCGGCCCTTGATTGGAGGATGGCGACGACTCGCATGCGCAGCGTGGGTCAGGTAACTTACGCAAATGCACAGCACTTGCATTTGCTTCTATAGAAAGCACCAAAACTCTAATAAGGTGCAATCCCATACCAGCTGCAGCACTACATTGGGGCAGTGAAGGACGTTTTCATTCGAAAATGACATTTCGCGAGCCATGATCGCAAGCAGTTTCGCTGAGCAGGAGAACCGGGTGACCCTCTCTAGAGCACTTCCCGTTTCCGCCGTGAGAGGGCGAGCAACGAGCTGGAGACGCGAATACTCCGTTCACTTAAGCTGAGACCACAGCCAAAGCTACAAGCGCAAGCTAGCCCGGGCTCCTGGCTTCGAGCCATGAATTTCTAGCGAGAGCACTCGTTCTGTGGAAGAATGCTTCAAAGCAGCAACCTCGAGCTCTCGTGCTTGTGGCATTGATTGCAGTCTCAGCTTAGGGTGAACAGAGTATAGTGGTCCTTTGCTCTTGACATCTGAAGACAGTTTGACACACGAGTGGCTTTGCGGTGTCAAGTCGGTATAGGAGAGTGTGGAAACTTTATAATAGGATCAAATCTACCCACTTTTTTTTTTCCTAGAAATTTTAGGGAATATACTGGCATAGTACCTGCTGAAATGCCCGACATTTTTTTTTAGATTTCTTTCTGCGAAGGTTACTGACATAACCACCCATTTGCTATAAGTTGAAACAGGCAAGTCTTAAATATTTGCTAATTGAGGCAAAATTGCACAAATGTCTGTTTTAACTGATGCAGCCCTGACCATATCTCTTACCAGAAACGAGATATCCTTAAAAAGATTGCTGTTGGGGGCCAACAATTCAGTCGAAAAAAATCCAGTCAAACCTACGATGTAATTTTCTGCGCAAATCACAAGGGGTATGTTTGTTTTCTTTCTCAAGGTGACAAGACTGCAAAGATTCTGCACTGGCAACTAATGTAAACGCGAAAGAAAAACACATGAGAATGGCAGCACTAAGGAACGAACGAGAGACAACACCTAAAGTTCTGCAATTTGAACTCTCTGCAAAACGAGTCCCACAAAATGCTTTACACCACTTGCACACGTGAATTCCTAAAATAATAATAAAAAAAGTAAAGACGAGGAAGCTAAGATCACCTACGTCACGGTTAGGACACCAAAAAAAAAAAATATATATATATATATATTTTTTTTTTAAGTGGTCGAAACGCAACCGCGTCAGATTACGTCTACCCACTCCGCTTTTTTTTTTTTTTTTTTTTTTTTGTCTTATCGCAATGAGCAGATACGTGGGCCGACCGGCTACAAACAAAGTTGCGCGCGCCTAGCGATATGAAACGAAGTTGCGATGACAGAATGCTCGACGTAAACGCACGCAGAAACGGTAAAGGAAAAAAAAAAAGAAAAGAAAAAAGGCACGAAACATCGTCTGGTTGCAAGGCTGGCAAGGCAGACAAACGCGACGAATCCTGACAGCACAGAGGTATCTCCTTCAATCAGCACGCTTCTGCGCACGGTTCAAGTACCGAAAGGTCTGTCTCGGGCCGCAAGTCCACCAGCATCTGGTATTTACGCCCAGCTATACGAGGCACTACCTTGAGCAGCAACGTCGCAAAACTGCTCGAGAACAAAAAAAAAAAAGAAAAAGGCTAGAAATGCCAAAAGGAAGTGCATAACGCATTCGGAGACATCACTGCATTCGTGGGGGAAGTCTTATTCTCCAGAAAAACCCCACGGAAAAACTAAAAGGGCTTTTCAAGCAAGTCGGTGTTTTTGTTTGTTCCGTTCTTCGGAGGAAGACGAGAGCGGGGGGCTCCGGCGGCACAAAGGCTTTTTTCGCCCAGCTGGTCGCCGATGAACTGTGTCATCGAACGCGCAACGAGACAAACCGGGGAAACGATGAAAGGGACACAAGTCACCGAGCGGTTCGTACAGCGGCAGGACATTTTGTTGCGAGTTTGTCGCTCGTTGCCTCTCCGCATCTCGTCCGGACATGCGTACTCGGGCCGATATACACGTCCGAAAACAAACAGCATAAGAACGAAAACGGGGAAGAAACGACGGGGGAAAAAAAAAAAGAAGAAGAAAGAACAACGGACGAGAACGAAACGAACAAGAAAGGCTCGGCGCCGAGCTCGGGTCCTCGCAAGCCCAAAAGGAACGGTGTCGGCGAAAAAAATAAAAAAACAGAGTTTCGGTTTGGGGTTGAAACTGGAGCGGGGGACGTCAGTTGACGCGAGCAACGTCAGGAGCATCAGACGACGCGGCGACCGCGGCCGCCTTTCCTGGTGACAGGGCGGCCCGGGCCCCGTCCGACGCTGGCGACCCTCGCTTCGCGAAGGTTCCGAACGGAGCAGGCACTCACCGTTATCCAACGTCTCTTGACTGCCGTCATGCTGAACCATGGCCATGTTCGTAGCGGCGAAAAAAGAGCACTGGCACCAGTCCGCAACGGCCCTTTCGTTTTAACGGACTGACGACGAATATTTATGCTTGTTAGTATTTACAGGCGTAACTTGGTCGGCTATATACACTGTACAGTAACCTCGTGCAGGTTACAGGGGGGACTACACACGAATCATCACTAAAAGACACAACAAAGAAAAGCACACATAATTCCCAACTGATGCAAAAATAGAAATGGACTCGGACGCAAATGTCCCGGATGCTGCTGACCTCACGGGCGCCGCTGCGAGCAAAAATCGGACGAGCGTTCGCAGGCAACCGAAGGAGTGAAAAATTACTTTAAAAAAATATTTATATATATTTTGAAGTTCATTTGGCAGAATTGCTTCAAGTTATAGATAATGTCGCAATAAAACCCAATAATTTATAAAACAAAAATGTAGGTGATCTTGGCAGCGTTGGCAGCGCCACACGCCAGCCACGCGCCACACGTAAACAAACAGCAAAACCGCGTCAAAATGGCGGAAAAACGAAAACACGATGATGGTGAGGCGCCGGCGGATGACGGCTCTGACGAGGATGTCATCGGTCCTCTACCGTCCGAGGCGGCCAAACCGAAGAAGGTCAAGTTCCTCCCGTTCGAGCACGTCTACTTGGACAACCTGCCGTGCGCCGACGGGTACGAGAAGAGCTACATGCACCGCGACGTGGTGACCCATGTGATCGTCACCAAGACAGAGTTTGTGATCACCGCCAGCTGCGACGGGCACCTGAAGTTCTGGAAGAAGAAAGACGACGGAATCGAGTTCGTAAAACACTTTCGGACTCACCTGGGGAACGTGCAGGACATCGCCGCCAACTCGACGGGTCTGTTCCTTTGCTCAGTCTCGAACGACAAGTCGCTTAAGGTGTTCGACGTCGTCAACTTTGACCTCATCAACATGATGAAGTTACCCTACACCCCAGGTCGCTGCGAGTGGGTGTACGGCTCCGGGGATGCCATCGCCGCAGTGGCCGTCTCGGACGCTGAGTCCGGCAAGATCTACGTCTACGACGGCCGAGGCGACGAGAATCCGCTGCACGCGCTGCCGTCCCTCCACTCGGCGCCGCTGTCCGTCCTCAGGTACAACGTTAAGTTCGAGACGGTCGTGTCGGTCGACAAGAAGGGCATCCTGGAGTACTGGACGGGCCAGCGCGGCGACTACGGCTTTCCCAAGTGCGTCCGCTTCGAGTCCAAACTGGACACGGACCTGTACGAGTTTGTCAAGGTCCAGTCGTACCCGACGGGGCTGGCCTTCTCGCCAGACGGCACCCAGTTCGCCACGGTGAGCACAGACCGCAAGGTGCGCGTCTTCCGCTTCATCACGGGCAAGCTGACGCTGGTGCTGGACGAGAGCCTGCAGCACCTGTCCGAGCTGCAGCAGATGCAACAGCAGCTGCCCGACATGGAGTTCGGGCGCCGCATGGCCGGCGACCGCGATCTGGAGAAGTCCGAGGCCTTCCACTACTGCAACGTGACGTACGACGACAGCGGCCACTTCCTGCTGTACGCGACGCTGCTGGGCATCAAGCTGGTGAACCTGCGCACCCACGCGTGCAGCCGCCTGCTGGGCAAGAACGACAACATTCGGCCTCTGCACCTGGCCCTGTACCAGGGCGTGCCCGGGCGGCAGGCGCCGACCCTGGAGACGCAGGCGTCGGAGAACCCGACCCTGCAGGCGGCCGAGGCGGACCCCACGATCGTCTGCACGGCATTCCGCAAAAACCGCTTCTACCTGTTCACACGGCGCGAGCCGGACGAGGGCAAGACGGAGGAGCGAGACGTGTTCAACGAGCGGCCGTCCAAGGAGGACATCATCTCGGCCACGGAGTCCTCGGCCCAGCAGCGCTTGTTCCCCACGGCCATCGTCCACACCTCGATGGGGGATGTCCACGTCAAGCTGTTTGTCAAGGAATGCCCCCGCACGGCTGAGAACTTCTGCGTCCACGCCAAGGCGGGCTACTACAATGGCCACATCTTCCACCGGGTCATCAAGGGCTTCATGGTGCAGACGGGAGACCCCACGGGCACGGGCACCGGTGGCGAGTCTATCTGGGGAGGCAACTTCGAGGACGAGTTCCACCCCACCCTGAAGCACGATCGGCCGTACACACTCAGCATGGCCAACGCGGGACCCAACACCAACGGTAACGGTGTCGAGCTGTCTCGATAGAGCGGCAGAATTGTCCATCGCTATATGGTGCCTGGAACGCGCCTCCGAGTGTTTAACGTCCTATAGCGCCATTGCATTCCAAGTGGTCTCCAAGTGGTGATGACATCAGAAAAGCCGGAGTGTCATGCTGTCAGATGTCGCAATCTTGGTGGTTGGCAGTGGCAAAAAGTATGACCGAATGCAAGTGTCGCTGTCATCGTGAGTCCAAACTCCTGACTTCCATGGACTGTCAAAAGAGTGACCTGCAGCAGAACAGGCGTCTGCCATGTCCAGCATAGCTGCTGCGACACCGCCATGGCCAGCGACAACATGACGCTTCTGTGATGTCATTAGCGGAAATCGAGGGACCACCTTGTTTGGCGCGGTAAACACATCAGTCGGAGACGTGTTCCAGGCGCCCCAATCACACAGAGCTGGGGTATCTCTCCGAAGTCACTCGTCGTAAGTTGTTTTAAAATTCTCGATGCTGCAAGATAAGTTTGGAAGATATCAACCCAACCTCGAGAGCCAAGGTTCTCCTCAGGGCTGCATCTTGGCGGTCGGTCTTGCTTAGAGAAACTTAAATACACGAGTTCCTCTACACTTTCCAATTCCTGTCAACTAATCGCTGCGTAAAACCAGTTTGGTCGACGAAAATAGCATAATTAAGCTTCGCAATATTGCCGGGCAAACATAACCACGGAAATAGATTTTCAAGAAAAATGCGAGCTTGCTAAGTTGAGATACCAATTTCCAGGTATCACATAGCCAAAACACTCGACAAAACTACAAGTTCCACCGTGCTTGTTTGTCCAAGTTGCACCTAAAGTATAATTTTCTTTCTCTTCTCAGTCTAACCAGTATCTCCTGAGAGCATTTTCAATTCACAGGCATTGCTAGGGCAGATTGTCGACAATACAATGACTGTTCGGTCAATTCAATTGATTTTTGGCATTGCAACATTTTTAACGTCGGGTGCCAACGCAGAAGACAGAGTTGCCTGAGGGTTGCAGTTGTGACACCATCTCCCGAAAGGCACAGCAAGCACTCGGTTGAAATCAGACGACAGTTACCGAGTCCTTGCCGCGTCTATTGGGAGATGGCGCCACAAGCACAACCCTCGGGCACCCACCGTCGAAAATGTCTGGATGTTCTCTAATTGCGTGCGACATGAGCTATGCTTTAAAATTTCGCAGACTAAAATACACTACTACATGGGTTCTCAAACTGCGTTCCTAGGAGCCCAGGGGTTCTAGCACCGGGTCGGTTCGGCACTAATTTTCGGGGGCCACTAAGGCCCGCTCTATTTTCGCCCAGTATGAATAGCTCACAAATCTTGCAGCAGCTCGCTTGCGACTGCTACACATGTTGACTGCGGTACCCGATAGTCAGTGCAGTAAGCATCCTTCTTTTCCTTTAGTGGCTGCTATTAGTCAAACCAATCTGTAGACCTAAGCAGCTCGTCAAAAAAAAAAAAAAAAAAAATCACCCCCATTGGCTTTTTTTGCGACCAAACCCGCGTATCGAAAAGGACGGAAAAGAGAAATGGCAAGCAAAAGTAAACAAAATCATGTGCCAAAGTTGAAAAGAAAGAAAAACGCCGCGACGGGTTTAAAGAAAAGACTGGCAAAGTTCCAAATTGCCCACTCCCGCTGTGCACAATAAAAAAAAGATATATAAAAAAATATTGCCGTCTTTTGCAGTGATCTGCAAGATGTTGTTTAGGAAAAGCACCCCCGAGGAGAACCTCTTCACCCATATTGTGGATGCATGCACTGGTACGCACAGATGGTTTACGCTTGCGAGGGTGCATATTGTGTAGGCGCGTGCCTCTTGATGGAGAGAAGCATGTATGACGCCGCCCCCGCCTGTGACGAGAATGAACGCCATGACGCTAGTGCTCTGGAAGAGCATTCAGTGCACACAGACCGAACTGCGTAAGCACAGATGCACACACAGACACACACACACATACATACATACATGCATACACACATATGCATGCACACACAGACACACACACATACATACATTCAGTACATTCAGCATTTGGGTCTCCTCCCACTGTGTTCTGTCCCCATACTCCCTAAACAAGCTTCCAAAAACATTGCTGATAAAAAAAATAAATAAAATAACGGCCAGTTTGGTCTGCTTTGGCCCATCTTGTAGACTTTAAAGCAAGGCCCGTCCTTGGTCCAGGTCCAGGCCCTTCATGAATGTAGCTGTGAAGCTCGAGCCCGGCCCACCGGCTCAGGCTTCACGGCCCATGCATACCTCTAGTCCCCCGGCTATAAATCAAGAGAGATCTCGTTCCTCGAGATAAAAAACGTTTGAGAACCCCTGCAGTACTAAAATATATGTTTTGTGGCAGTTGGAGCCCGTTACATGCAGGTGCCGAGTTTTCCGGCTCGTTCTATAGCGTGCCCTTCGATTCGTAACACCTTGTACATGAACTGTAAGTTCGCTCCGCTGTTCCTTGGAGATGCGGAGTGAGCCCTTGCATCTGCTTCCACTGCAGGCTCCCAGTTCTTCATCACAGTGATTCCTGCTCCGTGGCTGGACAACAAGCACACGGTGTTTGGACGCGTGGTGCGGGGCATGGAGGTCGTCCAGAACATCAGCACGGTTCGGACGAGCCCCAAGACGGACAAGCCGTACGACGACGTGCGCATCGTCAGCATCACTCTGCGCTGAATCGGGTCGCATCCCATCGTTGGGGACATACATCACATGGTTCATGCCATCACACGCAACTTCGTGTACATAAGACACACGGCATAATGTGGAACGAAAGGCGGAATGAATGATTGATTAAAGTCTGTTGAGCTGGGGCCCTAATCTACACGGCAGGACCGAGGGACAGAGATATTGCCGCTTGCTGCAATTGGACAACTCTGCGCCGCTGACCAATCGGAGCAGGCGGCGATGTCCCGGTCCCTCGGACCCGCCGTGTAAATTAGGGCCCCTGGAGTTACTGAATAGGGATGCATCTTCGGAAGTTTGAATGAGGGAATGCTTTTACCAATTATAAATGTTTCTCCTAGTAAAACTGTGCCGATTTATGTGACATTCAAACATCTTTATTACGAACTCTATTTGGTAAAAATGTTGGATGTACGAACCACCTTGGGGGCGGGGGGGGGGGGGGGGGGTTATGAGTTTAGCGCAAAAAATTAAAGATATGAAACCAAGGTAGGTCTACAGTGTAGTGGCACCTCTGCGCAACATCTGAACTTTTTTTTTTTTAACAATGATGCCGAAGCTAGTACAGTAATTCCTTAGTAGCTCTAGGTTAATTATTTCGGAACAATATTCAAAAGTTTCTGTCATAAAATAGATTTCCGTTGCTTGCATGTTATTTGAATTTTCGTGCCATTAATTCCTTAATTCCCTAAATTTATAACTGAAAAAACGGTTAGAGTACAGGCAAGCTGGTGGATGTTTGCCGTGTTGCAACTTAACATAAAAGATTTATTCAGTCCCACCTGTTTATATACTCACAGCTCCAAGGTTGCCAACCACACAACTTGCCCTCTGCTAGGACTCACAAAGGAACAACCAAAACAGGACAATGGGATGCCCCCTCAACAAACAAAAAGATAACAGCTATGACAAACCTTCTTAACTTAACCTTCCACTTCTACAAAAAAAGAAGGTTTATTTTTTGGCGAAAATTTGACACTACATCCGCAAATACAAAAACCAACACCCTAAAAAAAAAAAGTAATGAATAGAATTGGGAAGAAGCGTCTTCAAGTCTACCAATCTGGAACATCAACTTCAAGGGGGGTATTGGTGGCCAAGTGGGCTAACGTATCTCAGCTCGGAGCGTGGAGCGAAAGCTTGCACTGAACCTCCTGGGTTCGATTGTGTGTTTGTGTGATCACTACTGTGCGATGCACATTAAAAACCCCAGGTTAGCGGTTGTATTGCTGTGGCTACATTTCTGATCTGCAGCTAAGAGACCAGTCACCCGTTGAGGCGTACCAACATCGAGGCTGTATAAGCATACAAAGCAAGACAATTTTTTCATCAACTTCAAAAGATAGAGACTTCTGGGCTCACGCTAACAAAGTACTATTGCACTCCCCTTTGAGATACATTAAAAATACACACACATACAAAATTGTTTACAGTCTCAAAAAATGCTCTGGCATTGTTCCCTGTTTTTCAGTTCCTTCTATGTTTATGTTCCTCTTTCATACCTCAGTCTCGTGTCAAGTTGCAAGATTGTAATAGTGGTCGTTTACATCTTGTGAGGCTGTGTATTTTATTTGTTGTACAGAAATATTCCTTATGGTGGTAAGGTGAGCACCTCAAAAATAGCGGGGAATTAGCGAGAACTTTGGTTTACTTTGTCAAACGAGCATTTTCTTACGAGAGGTGCTCGTTAGGAAGGCTTTTGACTTGCACGACTCAATCACTAGGCTTGTTGATACAATGCTGTTTTTTGGTGGCACTTCTCTGCATCACAGCTGTAAGCATAGGAGAGAAGCATTGTGGTACTTTCAAAAGGAGTGTCTCGAATAAGGAGGTCAAACTCAAAGTGACGCAATTGGCAAGGCAGCTCTAGATCGAACTAGCATGAGCAGCACATCGTCCTTTTTATTAATTTTATCAGGTGTGTTGCAGTACGTAGTGGCTCTCTTGCCAGGCCACTGTATCTGTATGTATATCAGATGTCATAATTCGGCCTTTCATATATTTTCGATGGCAAGTCACGGAATAACATGATGCAGTGATGTGATTTCTGCGCCAAACTGTGCCAAAGCACTTATCCTGCTACATCCTGCTACATTTTGCCCAAATGTGAGAAATTTGTGCCAACCTTGCCACAAAACTTATTTTCACTTTATTAGTACTCAAGATATAATAAATCAAGCCCATTTTATGTGGCCAGAACGTTACAGTAGGCTAGTGGGAATTTCCAAAACTAGGATTCGATTATCGCCTTAAATAACATCATACTCAATTTGACCTTTGCATCAAACATTTACGGTACTCCGAAGTTCCGCAATATTTCTCATGCCCGTATAGCTAGCATCGTTGTGGGTACTTGTCGCCGCGTAATAGGCGTTGCAATTTTGTGCATCTTGCTTTGTTGCGGTGCACCCACGTGCTAACAAAAAACACTCCACATTTTATGGGGAAAAAACAGTGTTTAGTATATATGGTAGCGATAGTCCGACAATGCCTTTTCACTATCATGACTCGTCACAGATACGTGAGTATTGCAAGAAAACTTTTATGAACAGCTCTGTACAATTATTTTTTTTAGGGCGCAGCTCTTGGCGCTTCTCTCCGGCTCGAGCGGCGTCGGCGTAACTGCGCGTTGCATTATGGGATGTTTCCCATAATGACGTTACACATGACACCACGTGTGACATCACGAGGGTGACGTCGCATGGCGTCTAAATCTGGCGGAAAAAATTGCCCGCTAAGTTTGGCGAATATTTTTCCCCTCTAAATTTGCGAGAAAATTTTCTGCTAGATTTAGGGGGAAATTTGTCTGCTAAATTTAGCGGAAAAATTTTCCCCCTAAATTTAGAAAAATAATTGTTCCGCGGCAAGCAATTATTTTGCTAAATTTAGCAGGGAAATTACTCCTCCAATTTTTTCCGCTAAATTTAGGGGGGAAACTTCCACCCAGATTTATTGGGGAAATTTTCCCGCTAAATTTAGCAGGAACTTTTTCCGCCAAACTTAGCGGGCAATCTTTTCCGCTAAATCTAGCGCAAAAATTTTCCTGTCAAATTTAGCGGGAAAATTTTCCCGCGAAAATTTTTCCGCTAAACTTAGTGGGGAAATTTTTCCGCCAAATTTAGCGGGGAAATTGTCCCACAATCCCACGGTGAATTCCCTTCCATACCCTTCCTTCCCCTCTGCACCCTTCCCTCCTCCCCCTCAAGAGCTATGCTCTAATTCTGCACTACAGAGAATCGTAAACGTTTCATTTTTTTTATGTGAACTCTCATTTAGTTATTACCTTTATATAAGTTCCATCTGTGTGATGGCACAGTGGGTACAGAAAATTAAAACTAAATTTGCTGGAGCAGTAAGTGGAAACTAGAAAAATTTTCAATATGTTTAGCAAGATTTTTTTTTTTTAATTAAGCATTTTTATTGTTTTTGTTTTTTTGCTGATTTTGGGTATCCTGTGCTTATAGAATTTCATGGATGCTCATAATCAAATGATAAAAGCTTTGTATCCTATTGAAATGAAGAACCACAGTTTTATCACAACCTCTATAGTAGGTTACAAGTCAAGAAGGTAGCGGCAAATGCCCCTCAAAGGGAATCGTATATCCCTCCTCCACCTCCGCATCCAATTGCGTCCCATCGTTTCCGTGATGTCGCAGCCAACGCGCGAGGAGGGTCTTGCCTTTCTGTACATATTTTCTTTATCTTTTGACTTTGACTTAGCATTGTGGAAGCCACGAGAGGGAGATGAGAGTTTTCTCCCTTCGATGGAAACAAATACGACTTTGTGGGGTTAGGTTTCCCCTCCGATGGATACAAAGGCCGCTTTCTTGAAAAGTGGAATCGGAGGCAAGTTGGCATCACTCTGTAGCCAATATCTATCCATTGAAGCGGAACAAAGAGCATTTCCAGTGAACTCTTCTTTCGACTGCGGAGGGATTTGAAACTGGCGCATCACGCTTTTGGAGGAGCTTCTCCTACCTTCTTAACTTGTTAACGACTATAGAACTTGAAGAAAACATCAATTTGGGTGCTCGAAATTATTATATTGTAGCATTATTTCATTGGACTACACTGTTTGGGTTATGTTTCATTTCATACCTAAAATAACCATGCATATCAATCAGCATTTTGTTACTGTGCCTTGTTCTTCTATGCGCAATTAAACTGCTAGCTAGGGAATGAAACCTGTCATGTTGATGCCATCAAAAGTTTGCACAGAAGCACGAAAGCACAGTAGACATAAACATAATTTAATGCAATATTTGCACAGGTATGAATAAAAATGAAATGTGTGCTTATGCTCCAAATGTACTTTTTGCTGCTCCAAAATTGACTTTTGGCTGCTCCAAAATCCCTCGAACCAATCGCATCACTGATGATGTGATTGGTCAGTATCCTTTTGGAGCAGCCAAAACTCCACATTAGAGCACAAGCCCATTGTTCAATCTCATTCGTTCCTCTATAGATACTTGAGATCCATGCCTTGGGTCGGTCGAATGACAAAAACTTCTTGGCTTTCTAATCTCCGTGCAACCAGTTGGCAGCATCCACTGTGCTGCAAGTTTGTTCTTTCAAATTCTTCAGTAGTTGCTTGGCTCGCACATGACAATGGGAATGTTGCAACAAGAGCCATTCTTTTTAACAAAACCACTGCAACAGCCAGTTTTGAAACATGCTGAAGTCAGCATTCAGGCAATGAATAAGCCTCACTAGAAATTCAACTGAACACTTTGCTATCAATCTACTACTGCCCTTACATGGTTGGAGGCATACATACATATGGGTGGTATGTACATGTTTTAGAGCGCATGCTCAGAACTAGCTCACTTTAATAGGCTGCTAGGACCGACACTCTTGATGGTGTGGAATGCACGCTCCAAAACAACTCCGGAAGCTCGCCGTCAGCACGCACTCGGCAGCCGCGGACTCTGCTAAAGCCGCCAGTGAACACTCCCTACACCCAAGTATTCTTAGGAGGACTCCGGCGATTTTTTTAGCTACCCCAAGTATATTTTCTGAATTCCGAGCCTTTACGCTTGCCGGTATTTCTATTTACTATTTAGTATCGCGTAATTGAAAATAGTTGTTGTGAAATCGGCAAATGAAGGTGATGCTGAAAAACCAACATTCAAATAGTCTCGCGCTTTTCAGTGCCGTGGCGTCACTGGCAGGCAGGTTTGCAGGTCAAGTGGGCAGTCTAAAGAAACATAGTATGCCAAGCCTTTGTTTCGGGCTTTTGCAGGAGTGCTGGAGCGAGCTCCCAAAGCGCTTATTTGACACCATGAAACTGCTTGAAATGAGTTGAGAACAAATTATACCGTCCAAAGAGTGAACCCCTGCTTGCTGCTGGCATCACTTTTTCATTGTTGCCTCTAGAGATTTTCAGTTTGAAAAATATAAGGACTGAAATTTTAAATTCCAAAATTTTGCAGAAAAAAAATAATATTTTGGCCTAATATTTGGATCTCTAGTTCAGTGATGTTTTCTGGCACGTTTGGTAAATTTTGAAGCAAATTGGGGACCATAAAAAAAATGCCGGAGCATCCAATAAAACCTCAAAATTCGAAAAGAAAAAACAAAAAAAAAGATTCACGACTAATCAGTGTGTTGAACCGAAAAAAATACGGGTTCGGTTACGGTTCAGGTTCAGGTAAATTTATTTTGTTCCGGTTCGATTAATTCGATCCGCGAACCGGTTCGGGGCGCTGAACCGGTTCGCGAACCGGTTCGGAAATTATAAATGACAAATTGCAACATCAAAATAAATTACAAATAAAACATCTGAAATCAGCACATACGAAACGGGATACATCGTAGTGTAAGGCTCAGGGATTTCTACCAGGAATGGTTTCTTTATGTGCACTTAAAGGTTACCTCACCGACGTTTACGCATTCGGACTTCATCTAATTGGGTCCGACGCAGTAGCTGTAAAATCCGCGACCTCCTTACAAACCCACTTACAAGTAGAACTCGCTAACTATCCCACCACCTCGGCGTGTAAGCAATTGAAGGAACAGTGGGGAGAAAATACAGCTTTCTTTATTTGAACTAGCCTTCGGTAACTCAAATCAGACCCTTAAAGAAGTTTTCATTAAACAAGATGCGGTATATGAAAAACACTTCACCGAACGCAACGCCAGAAGGACGTAATAGGATAAATATTAAAATAGAGGAGTTCGCTGTCTCACAAATATGTTAGCTTCTAAGTGCCTATACGAAACCGAATGCATTATTATCAAACTCCACAGCCTTTTCTTTTCTCATTCCGATGGAAGCAAGCTTCAAGAACTCGCGCGTTCTAGAAACGTGTTATGAAATGAGCACACAGCAGCATTTAGGATTTACGAGATTGTAAAAAAATAAAATCCCGTGACGCGATTTTTTTTTTTTTTTTTGCACAGCCTTTCAATTTTTTTTCTTCCGTGCTGGCCGCGACCAGCGCAATACTGGTTCCTATGTCAAGATTCATGGATGCAGCGTTTGTCAAGATTCATGGATGCAGCGTTTATATTCGTAAGACTGAGTGGAGAAGAAAAATATGTAAGCGAGATGTGTGTCAGTTGACGGCACTTAAAAAACAAAAGGCATTGATAGCACATTCATTGTCAACAGCGCGTGGCCGAACCGTTTTGACATGAGCCGGTAACCGTTATTTTTTTTCCGGTTCAGTTCCGGTTCGGGTTCATCGCGATAACAATATAACGGTTCGGGTTCGGGTTCAGTTCTGGAAAAAAATACCGGTTCGGTTCCGGTTTTCGGTTCGGGTTCGACACCCTGCGACTAATGATACACATGATACGTATATATGATACACATGATATATATGGTTGCTGCTGTTTTGTTTGGCTGCATATTTCGCTTCATGCAGCTGCACTGCGGCAGAGCGAAATATGCACTAGTGTTGCAATGGCTGCTCTGTGGATGTTGCTTCCCTGCACCGCATCGGCGCGCAGTGAGAAACTCGCTTAGCAGAGCTAACCGAACATCTGCCTGCAAAGGCCATGGGTAATGAGAAATATGGCACAACTTCCAAGTAGTGTTGGCATTCGATGCAAATATCAAATTGAATGGTAGGTTATTTGAAGTGCGGTGAAGCCTCAACTAAGTGAAATCGACCCTCGCTGCGATGCTCATGTAAATTCCTCAGATTGTGGGATGTACCAAGAAAACCCAGGGAAGAAGACCATGGTGCTTCGCATCGCCTAAGGAGGCGAATATGAGGCACGAGTGTTGCATTGGCAAGTGCACGAGTGCCCGGCGAACCCCGACGCAGCACTCAGCTCTAATCAGAGCCCCACGTTAGGGCAACATTAAAAATTCCGCACGGCGGTCTTCTTATCTAGGAGGTGTTGGAAGTAGCGAAGTGAGCACTTTGACACCGTCTGTTGCAAACGACACAGCAGTCGCATCGCCGCACCAAAGACAAAAGGCAAACACCGGGTGAAACGTTTTATGACCTCCTCGACCCGAACGACGGTCGACGGAAATACGGAACCGCGGTTTGCCGGCGGCACGCCTAGAAGGCGCGGGTGGGCGTCTCCACGGTCGGAATGTGCGGGGGGCCCCGGTCAGAGGCGCTTCTTGATGAGCTTCTCGAGGCGCCGTATGCGGCTGGACTCGTGCTCGGGCGTGGCGGTGGTGACCACGGCCAGGGCCGAGAGCAGCTGGGCGGCCGTGCCCCCTTCCGAGGGCGCCGCCGGTAGGGGCGCCACCGTCGGGATGCGCGTGCGGAACACCTCCGTCAGCACGTTCTGCTCGCTGCGCTTCAGGCCCTGTGGGTCAGCGAGGGAACACCTTGGAGCCGCCGAGTGACTTTTGGCACGACTACTATAACCTTTATATGTTGCCAAAGTAGTCATCATCATCAGTTCTTTCTCCTCCAGGGCCCGTTGTGGGGTGTTATACGAGGAAGTGGGCATACGTGTATAGAAAAAAATAACAATTGTCGCAACGTGAACACAATATATATTAAAAAACGCCGTATAATCTAGTCTGCCTAGAAAATCTGGAAAATGCTTCCCGATCTCGGCGGAATTTTAGAGCATAGCTCTTAGGCGCCCGTTTCCGGCTTGAGCGGCGTCGCCGTCGGCCTAATTGCACGTTGCATTATGGGAAGTTTCTCATAATGACGTCGTGAGGTTTACAAGGGTTGTGAGAGTTACCTTTTTGTCACCCCCCTGAAGTCACGTGCCCCCCCCCCCCCCCTCCCCCCGAGGTCACGTGACCCTTGAGGTCATGTGACCTCAGGGAGTCGCCTATCCCTCAGTATTCTTCCATCCTCCTCCTCAAGAGCTGCACTCTAATCCGGCGTTACAGGGAGTTGTAAACGACTTTCATTTTTTCCTCCAAGTTTTAGGAAGGTGCTTCATATTTTAGGGTGGGAGCCAATGCGGCACCACGGCTACGCAAAACAGTACTCTTTTCTAATCGCCTGGCACAAGAGTTTCGATCGACCAATTATTTTATTCATGGCCTCGAAGCCAACGAAGCACCTAGACAAAAAGCTGCCTGAGGTAGCTTGACGTGCTGTGGTGCCTGTCCCAAATTTGTCGGCAGGATATCCATTGTAGGACACAAAAAGCAAACTACATACAAAAATGAAGATACACCGTAAAATTGAGTGATAATCAAATACTAAAATCGCATACATTCAACTTAAAGGAGGACCAGCAGAAATATTCTTCCGCCTGGCGGAAAGTCCTCCTCGCCCTCTTTCTTCTTGTATTGTAGCACGGCGAGGCGAAGGGGAAAATCCTTTTTTGCGCCGGCTTCTTCTGAGAGAATAAGCCGAGGAAATCCCCTTTCTGAGCGACGGACGATGGGTGCGGCAGCAGCGACCTCGTGACTTACGGGTATCTTCAGTTCCTATCATGTAATCTGCTTTATTTTTTGGCTCTCGCCAAGCCTAGTACCTCGGGTGTAGGTTTCACGGAGCTGCAAGGCTGCGCCCTCGCGGTCACCGAATTTGAGCTATAGAAGGTCTTTAGTTTAGCCCGTGGCAAAATAAACGCATACTTGGGAGCTGCGATGCATCCTCGCACCCATTGAAAGAACGTTTTATAGATATTTTCGGTTGATCAAGGAGCTCAAAACACATGCGCGAGGTGTGGTGACTTGAATGTGTAAGGATGACTTACATCTTCACAAAACATTCCACCTTCAAAAAAACGGCTTATCACGCTCAAACCTGCCTCAGATTGGGATCGAAGGAAAAGAAAACGATATACCGGGGCGCGGGCATCTTGTAGAAGGTCTCTGTTTTCTAGCAGCGAGCACAAATTATTGTGTGCGTATCTCACACTACATGATGGCCAACGAATGTAGATGACATTTATTACGCATCCCAACAACCACATGAGGTGAGAAGGCAGCAATGGTGTGTGTCGATACTAAGAAGTTTTAGTGGATCGTCTTTAGCTCTTGGATAACCGTACCCTACAACAATATATAATCTATAACCTTTCTGAGAGCATTCTTTATTGAGTGCGGCTATCGAAGCGTGTCGTGTTATAATTCAACGTTGCTCAAATCGGTGCTATAGCACATGCTGCCCCTTTAAAGTAATTTTAAAGCATTAAAAAAAAAAAGAATGTAGCCGATCTTTTTTTGACATGAAACGCGTTTGTAATTTGTCATTGCAAAGACATACATATTAGGTATACTGCCACACAGTTAGCACGGACAAACTATCGCCGGTCTTTGTAATTTTGTTTTCTTAAAAGTGAATGATGTTTAGAAAACTGATATGGAACTATCCAGCCTAAGTGGCAGAGCTCAGTGCTAGAAAATACCTGTTGCTGGCAGAAATAGTAAAAAACGCCGATGTCGCGTTCGGGCTAACAGTGCCACGTAATGCACGCATACCGCTAGAAGATCATCGCAAGCATAATATGGCAATGGATTTATTGCACAATTTGTTTTAATAGATGAAAGGTTTCAAGGAATCGTCGCAGCGCCTTGATTATCACAGCTGACAACGAGTCACACTTATTAACGGCTTTGGCTTGCTTTATCAAGTCGTCGAAAGCATCAGCTCCGCGGTTTCAGAAAAAGTGTGGTTCAGGCTTGGTCGGAGATTGCTACGGTTACACTCGTATGCTTTTTCAGTCCCCCCCCCCCCCCCCCCTCATCTCGCTTACGCTTCTTGCTCAAGTAAACAGGGGAATCTGACTTGTCGCTCATCTTGGCCTTTAGCGGGACTGTTAACAAATTCTGAAACAGACAAAGCAAACGTGATGTAATTAACTCAGAATTATAGGGTGTGCGCAATATTTACAGAGTTCGAGGTTCCCTAGAGTCATCTTTTGTATTCAAGTCCGCCTCCCCTCACCACTGCTTCCTTTCCTCCAAATAAACAACGTAGATTATTTTATGAACCACCCGTAATAGAGTGTAGTCGCAAAATGTCTATTTGGCGTAAGAAAGGCCTAGTTTAAATGTTTGAGCAATGAACTGGTCTTCTTACTGTGCGTGAAACAGCTAGCACGAACGCAATATTGACATTTTTACGCAAGGCCCATGCAGAATTTAGTGTATTAGAACAAATTGATGCCTCGTAAGTTGGTGCCCAATGGAAGCACTCTTTACCAAATTGCTTGTATAAAAATAACAACCTTTCAACCATAAAAACAAAACAATATAACACCACTTTTTTGGGGGGCCACCAAATTTACTGATTCACTCCGTTAGCGTTGATTGTGCAGCGGTATGCGTACATTAAGCGACACTGTTAGCGCAAACACGACATCGGCGCTTTTTGCTATTTTCCCCAGCAATGTATCGACTCGCACTAAAATGTACCGCTTAGGTTGGATACTCGCATTAACAGTTTCCTAAACATCATTCACTTCTAAGAAGAAAAAAAAGTGGGAAACACCGGCGATAGTTTGTTTGTGCTAACTGCGTGGCGTAGGGTACCTAAAAGTTTTTTACAATGTTAAATACAATTCTGTGTCACGTTAAAAAAAATTGTCTGCTTTTGCTTTAGTTTCTTTGAGACACCACAAATACTTCGAAGTGGCGGCCCGTGCTATGGTACCAATACAAGCAACGTTGAACCATAACACGACACGCTAGACTCGCCAAAAAGGGTTTTAATATTGTCTTTTCCGCTCCATAGCCGCACTCGATGAAGAATGTAAACAGCGAGTCTAGCTTACATTTCGTTGTGGGGTACGGACCGTACGGTTATCGAAGTGGCTAAAAGCGACCCACTAAAACTTTCTAAAATTGACATGCACCCTTGATGCCCTCTCACGTCAGGTGGTTGTTGGGAATGTGTAAATATGAATTTCATACAATTTTGCTGGCCATCATGTTCTGCGAGTTAGGCACACAACAGGGCATTTTAGTAAATCGTTTTCAAAGGCCCGCTGCCACTTCAGGCGCGCGCTTCAGAGAATGCATCGAAGTGGCAGCGCGAGCTCCCGCTAAATATAGCGTGGCCTGAAAACATAGTCTGCTAAAGTTCTCCAATAATTTGTGCTCGCTGCTAGAAAACAGAGACCTTCTATACTTCTTTTCAGCTTCGGTCCGAGCGCGGCCGATGTTATGATTCAAAGGGCCAATCAAACAGCAAAAGAGGCACAACGTCATGGCGTGCTCTCTGCAGTTGATAGGACCAGCCGGTATTCGCCGTCTCTCTGTGCGTGCTCCTCCGCCGGCTAGTCCTATCAAGCGCAGAGAGCACGCCATGACGTTGCGCTCTTTACGCTGTTTGATTGGCCCTTTTGCTCGTAACATCGGCCGCGCTCGGACCGAAGCTGAAACGAAGTATAAAAGGTGCCCGCGCCTGGTACATCGTTTTCAGGGGAGGAAGTGGCCGAGTAGGCTAACGCATCTCAGCTCGGAGCGTGGAGCGAAAGCTTGCGCTGGGAACCTCCTGGGCTCGATCCCCGCCGCCCCTGCCCATTTCGATCTGGACGAGTTTCGTACCGGCACACGTTCGTGTGATCACTACTGCGTGATGCACGTTAAAAACCCCAGGTTAGCGGTTGTACCGCACTGGCCAAATTTCTCATCTACAGCTAAGAGACCAATTACCCGTTGAGGCGCATCTCCATCAAGGCTGTATAAACATAAAGAGCAAGCCAATTTTTTTTACATCGTTTTCTTTTCCATCGATCCTAGTTTGAGGCAGGTTTGAGCGTGATAAGCCGTTTTTTTTTTTTTGACGACGGAATGTTTTGTGAAGATGTCAGTCATACTTACATATTCAAGTCACCACATCTCGCGCATGTGTTTTGAGCTCCTTGATCAACCGAAAATATCTATGAAACGTTCCTTCAATGGGTGCGGTTATGAATCGCAGCTCTCAAGTATGCGTCTACTTTGCCACGGGCTAAACCAAAGACCTTCGACAGCTGAAATTCGGTGATTGCGCGGGCGCAGCCTTGCAGCCCCGTAAAACCTACACCCGAGGGGCTAGGCTTGGTGAGCGCCAAAAAATGGGGCAGATTACGCGATAGGAGCTGAAGCTACCTGTAAGTCACGAGGTCGCTGCTGCCGCACCCATCGCCCGTCGCTCAGAATGGGGATTTTCTCGGCTTATCCTCTCAGAAGAAGCCGGCGCAAAAGGGGACCTTTCCCCTCGCCTCGTCGTGCTACAATAAAAGGAAGAAAGAGGGCGAGGAGGACTTTCCGCCAGGCGGAAGAATATTTCTGCTGGTCCTCCTTTAAGGGGAGACACTACCCAGAAAAAAATTTCTGTAAAAAAAGTTGATTTTGAAAAGCGACATATTTACATCCACCAACACCTAGATAGTATTCCCAGAAAGTTTAATTTGTTTACACTGCGTAGTTAATTTTTTATAAATTATTTTCTCTCCACGGAATTTAAAGAAAAGGTAGGGTTTGGAGCACTTTGAACGCATTTTTCTCCGTTCCACTTTTTGGTATAAATTCCATTTTAGCAAATCTATCGTTTGGTAATGGCAATACAGGGAAAGCTCGTTCTTCACTTTTCCTGACTGAAATTTAATGAGGAATGCGGCTATGGAATTTTTTTGTCACTTTACGGATGACTTTTATAAAGAATGTTAACATTTTTCCAAGACACAGAAGACCAAAAAGTTGATCAATTTTCAGAAGAGAAAATTTATAGAAATAAATTACTTTTTTACAAAAAAACTCCATAGCCGCACCCCCTAGGCATTCTGCTACATATCTAGCGAATAAAAATCTTGAATATTGTGATAGTTTTCCGACGATAGATTAACTAAACAATGTAGGCGTATTGCTGATAGAAGCTGCTCTAATTTCGTTCCTATTTAACCGACAGAGCTGAACTTTTGTTATGCACCATCTCGCATGACCACCAACGTACCCTGTAAATTTCATTAATTTTAAGCCAAGGGTTTAAAAGTTGACCCTCCCAGGGTGTGTGTCCCCTTAAACGAAGCAAAACAAAAAATCCATACATGCAACTTTGACCCCAAAAGATGCAACTATAAACAAAGAGAAAATTACGTCAAACAGAAATTGTACATATGCCTCGAGATCGACCTAGAGGTGGCGCTACTGTCGCACTATCATCATCATCAATGCGGGTATGGCCACATGGCCACCCCATGGGCTCTCCACGTTCGCAAGTGAGACTGTGTAGAATCTTGCGTTGATTTTGTCGCAAAGTATCGGTGGGAAAACAACTTTAGCAGGAAATGGTGCAGTATTGTTCGGTGCTTCAGCGAAGATCGAATCGTGTTACCAGCGTACGGCCTAAATTTAAATAATTGCTCAAGTTGATGCGTCGTCTGCTCTAGGCAGACGTTGGGAAGCATGGATCAACGTGATGGATGCCAGTCTCCGGGGGAACTGCCCTATTTATGTTAAATAGGTAAATGGGCTAGTTGGTACATCACTGAATGGAAAGCACCGAATAAACAAGGACGAAGAAGTGGCTTTGTCTCTGTCCCCTTCTTCGTCCTTGTTTATTTGGCGCTTTCCATTCAGCTATTTATGTTAAATATTTGTTTCTTTTAAAATAGATTTATCGGTCCACCAGCGTGGGAATTCAACAAAACGATGAATTCCAACCCGGATAACATAATACGGGCACTGTGGGCTATGAAATTGCAGGTTCTATGCATTCTTTTGGTAACTTTTAGCTTTTGCAGCAATATAAATATTTCACATGAAAAGAAGTTGGTGCTGTGCTGTATTTGTGCCATGATGTGGGTAAGTGTTTCGGAGCCGGAACAATTCTACTATGTTGCGATTAGGAGAGAGTGCCTCTTCAAGTTGCCATCCGGAAACTTTTCGTTGGCAAAAGAACTGAAACAAACTATTCTAATATATCTGCCGCAAGTGGAATAAATGAGTGTTCTTAGATGCTTTTGTCAGTACTGTGGGTTCACTCACTTCGATTTTCTCGGTGAGGGCCGCGGATGTCAAGAGGCTAATATCATAAATTTCTGGCTAAATAACCTTCTATTCAAACGCAGTAGACTCTGCAGCTCCAAGAAACGACCCGCACACGACGCAGCATTGGCCGCGGCGACACTCTTTTACTGATGAGGTCTAGCGACTCTCATGAGACTTTCCGATCGCCCTCCGCCCTCACCTAACACATATCGGGACTGGGCAGTTCATTGATTAGCCTTCAGATTACTCGAGTGATGCCTTAATTGCTATATTTCTTTTTGCCGTTTAGTTGGAATCTTGCACTGGAGAAAGTCAAGAAAAAGTTAAAAAAATGCCTGCTTTAATTTTTCTGACGTTTTACTTTCTTTTAAGACAGGCTTGCACGGTAAACCGCTTCAGCATGCTTGTGATTGTCATTGAGGGTGATTATACTGTTTAAATAATAACTTAAAAATTACCTCACTTTAAAAGTCTTCCCGTGTTCATGTTTCTGTAGGCGTGACAATGTGAAGTTTAAAATGGGAATGCAATATGCCATTTATGACATATAATAATAGTAAAAAAATGTGTAGTTCTAACGCCTTTCATGCATTATGACCGGTGCAAAATAAACTAACAGATTTATCAATTGATTAGTCAATTAAAGGGCAGCGATCAGTCGGGTTAATTTTTTAATCGCACCACAGCTCCAGTCAACATTCAATGTTTTATGAAAGCTAGGGTTTGTGCGAGAAAACAAGAATATGTGGGACCAGCGGTTGTACACAAACCCCAGCACTAAGATTATGAAAGCATTCGACTTAATAATAATCGCATTGGTCAATATTTACGCGCATGAAATGATACAAGATATCCTTTAGTAGGAAGAAACGACAACAAAAACAACACGCATTCAATGAGGAGGACTCAGCTCAGCCGGAAACGAGCTTGCGTCGTCGAGATCCATGCTTCTGAACGTGCGCTCATAGTAGACTACGCATGGCGGTCTCCCCGCTTTAACATGTTTCCAATTTCGGCTGCACAGTGGCGACAAGGTTCGATCTCGAGGCGAATAGTCAATCGCCTTCATAACAAAGTTTGTGGGACCGGCAAAATTTTTGTTGTACAGGTAACTACGTCGTAGTAGTTGAGCACGAAAAATTTATCATGCGAAATCGAATCTGTGCTGTCGCATATTGACGTATCTGCGCGACATTTGAGGTGTTTTAGCAAACAGCATAGCGCCAAATATAGTACAAGCGACGTCAAGAATTAGATCTTGTACGTTGGCGATTGACTTATCAAAAGGGCGAGCGGTAGCCGAATGTGCTAGCGCACTGCAACTCAAAGCTTGTAGGACTTTTTCTTTTTTTTTTTTTCTAAATGAAAATAGTATTGACACGTGTTTGTGTACTCACTACTGTGCGATTCAATTTAAAGACACCAGGCTAGCAGTCGTACATACTGCCTGTACCGCCACTGGGAAAGTTTGTCATCTACGGCCAAGACACCAGGTGCTCCTTGCTACAGACTGTTTTCCCGCTTTCCACACAACAAGCTTCACCGACTTATCAAAATATGAATCGCAACGCCGCCACGTGCCATTCGCAGGATGCTCTGGAAGCGGCTGCGCTGATCTCGATTGCATGTATAGTCACTGGATGGCGTAAGGGTAGCTGTGTACGCAACGGCTGCAGCGCACAGTGCATCGAGTATGGGGAGAGGCACGTAGCCGGGCCGATCGCACTCTTTCTCCGTCTGTCTGGCACAAGAAAGGGGGTGCATTTCTTTCTGTGCGGCCCTACTGATTTCGTTTAGATTTTGGCGTCGCGGGTAGAGTCGCAGATCGTTTCCTCGCCCGCATATTATCGCCCCAAGGCGGAACAATTTGGGAGTCCGATACAGCAAGACTGGGAATCTTGGATCCTGACGAAGATTGGCGCGTCGGTCAAACAAATGCTGAGACAGCATAAAAAAAAAGTTGCAACTGCCGATGAAAATGCTTTTTCTTTATGTACTCTTTTTCGCGCAGGTCCTTTCAGATGCATCAACACACAGGCACAATAAGAAAACAAATCCATGCGTTGCCCGGATGAAGCGTTGAAAAAAAGAAAAACTCGTTTTAGGGCGGAGTGGCGCATACTCAATGGCATAAGCAAAACAAAAGTGTGCGTGGCGGAGGTGCGGCGCCACCTCTGCTGCGCTGCCTCCGCCGCAGCCACGCCGCACATTCTCAGTTTTGGGTGCAAATAATTTATTAGCGTGCAACCTTGTGTCTAGACCAGTGGTTCTCAACCACTGATGTTTTGCGGACCCCTTGTGGAACGGCGCAGATGATGAAGGTGGTGGGGGAAGAAAAAAATATTGGTTGGTTGTGATAATGATGTAATGAATGGGTATAACAGAGGACTGAGTGAAGTAGACTTGTCTTATTGACGTACACTCGAGGAAACTAACCCGAAAATTGGAACGTTTCGTCTCAATCTGAAAAAAGACAACTTTTATTGCCGGGCTTGACTGATGAGGCAGGGCTTCGCGGACCCCTAGAATGCCTTCGCGGACCACGAAGGGTCCGCAGACCCCCATTTGAGAACCACTGATCTAGACGGTGCCACCCGACTATGCTGCAGCGTACAGGGTTTCTAAGCAACAACTATGTCCTGTAGCACCATCTAGACACAACGTTGCGCGCTAACAAATTATTTAAACCCAAAACCGAGAATGCGCGGCGGCAGTGGCGGAGGCGGCACGCCGGTGGTTTTGACCGTCACTGCTGCCGCAGTATGTATTTCTCTTCTCTACGCGCGTCACTTAAGAGCGACAATTTACGTGAGATATATTAGTTTTCAGCTAAAAAATTCATAATACCGGTCATTCTTGCTTCGTGGGGCAGTGAAACTGCTTCGTTAAACAGAAATATTTGTTAAACGGGAATTTGTCGTAGTAGTTGGAGAAACATATTCAACACATAGGAGGTTGGCCAGGACTTTATTTTACTGCAATAAAAACGGGCGTTTTTGTAGTAGCGGCGTTCGACTGCAAATGCAACTTCTAAAATAAATTAAAAGTAGGAAAAACGAAAATCGTGCAGAACGGAAGTTGCGTACAAACAGCCTCATTATACGAAATGCAAATGGTATGTCTAAAAGTAAGGGGATGCAAAGCCAAGAGGACAAAGGGGATGCAAAGCCAAGAGGACCCACCTTCATGTCGAGGACCTTCTGGAACTCCTGGGCGTCCGACTCGGGCAACAGCTTGGCGTAGTGGTCGACGAAGCTCTCGGCCGGCTCGTGGGGTGCCAGCACCATCTTGAGCAGCATCTCCGCCTTGGTCATGCCCTTCACCACTATCTTGGTGTAGCTGAAGTCCACAAGGGGCAACCCCCAGTTAGCAGAGTGCCGACCCAACGGCCGTCGGCTGCTTCACACACTCCCCACCGGGCGCCTCAACATCTGTCACGAAACACTGGCTCCATCCGTCGAGTGGGAACACTTAGCATTTCTGTATATATTGTTTTTTTCTGCACGGTTCTTTTTTGGCTCGGAAAACTTCCAACAATGTTATAAGTAGGATTCTGTGTTTTCGGAGTTCATGTTTTTACGAAAATTGGGAGTTTTAGGAGTTCATTTATGTTATATTTCAAAATTTCTGAAATTCAAAGCTTAATTTCCGCAGTGTTTTGTACGAAAAATAAATAAATATTATCCGGGTGTAAACGTACGCTAGACAGAGAAAAATAAAATGCGCTTATATCAATTAATATTTCCTCAGCTGGATTTCGTGTTGGTGCAATACTAGGTAATTTGTCCACGGCAAAAGTTGCACACATTTGTGGCTTGGATAAACGTCGATACCTTAAAAATAAACTCCTGGAGGTAGTCGCTGGGAAGCACGTATATTCATCCCATCCCATTCCATCAACCTACTCCGCGGCCGCGATAGGTGGAGTGGTAAAGCATGTAATAGGGAAGTTTCAACTGCCCCTCTTCCCGATTTTATGCAATCTCTATGGTCCATAGCTTTCACTGTTACAAAAACAGAACCTCTCCTCCCTTTTAAAACATAAATAGTATGGCCCAAACTGGAAACCAATACCGAAGCTTTTGTCGCGACCCGAAAGTACAATGGCCTGTCGTCCTGAACCTTGACGAGATAAGCGGTAAGACCCTTTTTTGTCACTGATCCGAGATTTGAAAGATAACTGTGGTGGCGTTTTCCCTATGACCATTGACCCTGTGCACCGATCAAACTTAATTGTAAAATACCGTCTTTATTTAGATTTTTTTTTTTTTCTGGGGGGGAAGCATTGGCACATAAAAATTCAAAGTTTATCGGATAAATCCGAATTGACCGAAACTTTACCGGCGGGTGTTTTTCCGAGTTTTTCAGAGTTGTCAGAAAACCTGGAACCCTAGTTATAAACAACCATTTGATCTTGCAAATCTAGACGGAGGATTTGAAAGCGCAAAAGACTGAGAAGAGAAGGAGGGGACAGGACAGAGCGGTTTGTCTCCTCCTTCTCTTCTCAGTCTTTTGCGCTTTCAAATCCTCCGTCTAGATGTTCAACCAACTAGCCCCCCAATTAATTCTGATCTTGCAAATACTGCAAAACCTTTGCTCCAGTGAAATGCAGTTCAAGGGTCGCCTCATAAATGGCAACAGCGTGCCAGTGTTGTCTCGCAACTCGTAAGAGATCGCGAAAACTCGGTTACAAGCAATCGCAAGGGTGTGAACGGGCCTTGATGCGTAAAACCCGAGACTGTGGCGAAAAAAAAGGAGAAATTTTTTAGTTGAAAAAGACAAAGAAGGCAACGTCTCAACTAAGGCGTTTGCCTCCCGTGTCTGTTTCGTCAGACTCGGACGTTTTTTTCTTTTTTCTCACCACAGTCTTGGGTTTTACGCATTATGTTTAGGGTTCAGTGTTTTCAGTAGATACAGATAAACCCCGAAAATTAACTCCCGAGCAGGTATTATCTATTATCAAGATCAGGGAAAACCGAAAAACTCTGAATTGGAGCCCTTGTCAAGTAAGAAAATTCCAAACTTCACGGGAAGAAAATATTTGCCTACAGATTTATTTTGTTTTCCGCGAGGCTTCTTGCTTCGAAACCACACATCTTACCTAGTTCTTTTTTTTTTTTGGTGCGAGAATGTTTTTTTCTCTGGAGGTTCAGGAATCCCAGACCAGTTTTCTTCGACACAAGCCCCGACAAACCCCAGTCTTTCGTCAGACACTGAAAATTGCTACCGATAAATACAGAATCTGCGGGAAAAACTAAACCCCGATAAAACAGCCCAAAATTGGAAGAATAAATCCCCAACAACACAGAAGCCTAGCTACGACCGGCTACCCCGGCAACGTGCAGTTTGTTTTTGGGGTGTGAAAAAGGAGATGTGCATTTAATAATAGAAAAATAATAATAATATCTTAATTCAACGCTGCAGGGTTGCGGCACCACAGGATGGCCATTGGCCCATATATGAGGCCTGGGGTGCCGCACTACTACAATGTTTTACAAAAAAAGAAAAGAAATGACAATGGCACGCACAGTTTTCAGGGAAGATCACTGTTGAAGGAAGCCTGATGCCTCCTTGCACCAGACTTTAAAGGGACACTGACAGGGTATTTATGCTCGCCGAGGTTTTTAGTTGTACGTGACATATGAGAGCTCAACTACCCAGAACAGAATTTGCGGCTCAAAATTCGGTTTCTTTCCGCCCGAAAACTGCCGATCAAGAACTGACCGGTTCGAGTCTCGCTCACTCTCTTTTCCGCGGTCACGGGCCGTTTTCTAAGGTATCGATGCGACCACCAAATTTAATCAAAGTCGTGGGTCACTGAAGGCCCACACTCAGTATTAAAAATAGAAAAAAATATAAAACCCATTTTTTGTGGCTTCTAAAAAGCTGCAAATACGTTGATTGAAAAAGAGTTTCACAGACAACCGGAAGCATTCTGTGCGTTCGTCGTTTCGCGTATCGTGGGACTCGCGGGAACGGCGATGGCAGCGGACGACGGGCGTGGGACCTCTATTTCAGAACTGTCGTTCGCGGTACCGGCGAATTCTGTCTACTTTTAAAAGAGAAATTTGGGACTGATCAAAAGAATTGGTATTATCCCGTACGACACGCCCGACCACCAAGCCGATTTGCACGAAGACGTCGCCGAGCCGTCGTTCCATTCTCGTGGCTGAAGACATCGCTCACGCAAACACCAAGTACGACGTGTCTACTTCAAGTTGAATATGCACGCGTACGATTTCTTTACTAGGTGCGAATGTCGCCAATCTGTGGTGCTTCCCGACTTCGACCCGGGAATGCTTTTGCTAAAGGAAAATCGGCAGCAAACTTTACAACTTACAGTTTACTGGCTGAATTATTACTAAGGAAAGAGATCCACCAGTAAAGAGATGCCCCAGTAGCTCAGTGGGAAAGACGTCCGCTTTACACGTGGTAGGACCGGGTTCAATCCCCCGTTGAACCTTTTCTTTTTTTTTTTTTTTTTTTAACATTTTTCGATGTTTACATATCTTTTTTCTTTTTTTACAATTATCACTGAAGAAACAAACAAACAAAATAACAAACAAACGTTGTGGACGACACTTCGCTGAATTAAATGGTATGGAATTTCCTTTTTGACACCTGCAAACTCAATGTAATCACTTTCCACAAAATGCAAGGAGCATATAAATCTGGTAGGTCCGCTTTCCGAAGTGCCCGTAAATGGTCTACAGGAATTGCAGCCAGCCATTGGTCCCGATCCCGTTGATCGTTCGGAAACTCTGTCGCACAATGTCCCTTTTTTTTGGGGGGGACGCAGGACATGTGAGCCAGCTCTTCACGCAACATCTTGGGTGTATTCTTTTCGGAGCCGATCATGGAAATTCACCACGGGCACTCACTACTCATCTCAAACTCCTCAATGTACAAAACAACTCATCTTGGAGTACAGAACAACGAGCGGAACAAACATAACTGCAAAACAATCGCACGGCGAACAGTTCCCGTACGCCGCATGTCGTGTCGTCTACTACGGAGAGGAGGAAACAAAAAAAAAATAATAAAACAGCACGGTTGGGTGTAGCCACGTGACTTCCGCCACTCACTCTCTTCTCTCCACTTCTCCGATCTCCGTCGGGTTTCGGTTTCGGTTTCGAGCAGTTGCGTCTTTTGGCTTTATTAAAAAAATACGCTACTCTGTTGCAAAATATTATTTGGGTAGTCCTCCGACACCATAATGAAGCGCCTGGCAAAAAAATGAAAAAAAAAATTTTGGAGGTGTCAGTGTCCCTCTTGGAGTGGACAGTCAGTTAGTGTCTTTAGTAGCCAAGTGCAAGAGGGTTACAGATGTCACGTGGAAAGAGTTCTGGTAATGCACAGTGCAACCAAACAGTAACTGTAGCCCACCAGATCTGGTAGGGCGCAAGGTTTTCACCAGCGGGAGTTACTGATCTCTTGGGAGGCGGCTGCCGGCAAGGAGCCGGAGCGACTCCGACAGCCTCCTCCCAAGACATCCTCCTTCCAATTCGTGGCTGTTTTTTCAGAGTTTGGTTTTTCCCGCAGATTCTGTATTTATAAGTAGCATTTTTTGGTGTCAGACAAAAGGTTGGGATTTGTCGGGGCTTGTGTCGAAGAAAATGGGACATGGGTCTGAGAAAGAACATATACGACTTCGGGCGCGGCGACCCTCACCTGGCCGGTGCCTTCCTGGCCACCTGGGACTCGAGCAAGGGCAGGTCCAGCAGCACCATCTTCAGGCTGTGCGTGTCCAGCAGGAGCTGCAACGAGGCACAGCACATCCTTCAGGGACGTGCTGCCACTATAGTCTGGTGGCAGAACACTGCCATGGACAAAAACTGAACCCAACTTGTTGATACTACTAAATAAAAGTGTGCCTCAAAAATCTTACAAACCATCTGAAAAAAAAAAACAAAAAAACGAGCAGTTTTAAATTATACTAAGAAACTTTCAAAAACTACTTCAAAAGCTATAGCAAGTAACAGCTCAAGAAGGTAGGGCGAGGGGAAGGAAGGCCGGGGAGTAGAAAGCAGACGGAATGCTGGAGAGAGAGAGAGAGAAAGCAGATGTGCTGACCTGTTCAGCACCAATGGGGCTCACGGGCTTGCACTTGAACAACTGGTTTATCAGCCTCGGAATGAAGGAGCTGAAACCGAGTCATGCCAACAGTTCATTGCCGAAACACCAAATGCAGACGCTCACAAAAAATATCTTGGCAGCAAACAAGTGCGGAACATCCCCTAAGAGGTGCGTATCGTGAGGGAACTTTCCAGACCCTCCCTGCAAAGTTGCACCCGGGGCAAATCATCTTGAAGATTTTCAAATGCTGCACGCGTGCAGATTTCCCTAATAAACCTATAAAACCTGCAAAGGTTCTCCCATAAGTCAACTCTTAATGGTGATGAACAAAACCTCCCAAGTCCAAAGACCGCACACCCACTCATGCGCTAACCAGGGCCCCAAACTCGAGGCCTCTATGGGTGTTTGTCGTCCCACATTTGCATTCTAAAGCCACTCTCTATTGAACGGACATTTCAATGAGAGACCTACTAGCTTCTACAGGATTACCATAAAATACCGGACAGGCACCCACTCTAAATTGGGAGATAATCGGGGAAAACTGTGGGATGGGCACTTGCTAGGTTAGAGAGCAAAAATGCAGAAGGTGGACACGGTCAGGCAGACTTTTGCTTGGTCCGACCACTGAATTAAGAATGGCCGTCGTCCGCAGCGCTAGTCAATCGTGCCAACGAGGAAAAACAATGTCGGCATTATTTTTGCCAAAGAAAAAGTGCTCTATACGGTAAAAAGTTTATGAAAAAAAATTAGAAAATGGTTAATTACGCATTGTCTCGTCTGTTACTAAAGCCTTCGAATGTCTTCTGAGTTGGAACAAAAGAGCAACCCCCTCTATATCGCTGTCTACCTCCTCTCGACTCTGTACCCCTTGTCCCCCTTTCTCCTACTTCGCCGCTTCACCGGAGCTATTTTCGTGCTGTCTGCCGGTTGCGGAGAGGACGGCCGCCCACGGCGACTGGGTGCTTGATGTCTTCCACATATTTTCGAACTTGCTTAAAATAAGGAAGTGGGCGTTTGATATATCCTTTGAAGAGTTCTGAAATGTCGCAAAAGTAATGGGTGAACGCTTACTGTAACATGAGCACAAGCTCGGTATCTTACGGAAGCGCAAGCTCGGTATTTCTCAGCGGAACGTTAGCGTCACTTCAAAGCTCCCAAGATGTTCTTCCTTAGGGTCCTTCTTGCCATCATCAAATACCTTTGTGAATTGTTTGTGCTCTTGATTCGTAACACTCAATTCCTAAAATCACTCTTTCTTGCCTTTCTATCGTATACACGTCTCCAGTTCCCGCGACCCGGAAAAAAGCATCAGACCGGCGTGTATGGCCCTCCTGCACATCGTAGTAGTACCTGGCAAAGTGGACGCAGAACTGTGTGAAGTAGCGGCGCGAGTTGGCCAGGTTGTCGCGCAGCAGGGGCAGCGTCTGGCGCAGGTGGGCGGTGATGGCCGTCACGTAGCCGCTCTGGTCCCCCACCGCCTTCACCATCGACCAGTGGGTCTGCACCATCGAGCGGAAGGGCATACTTTAGACCCGGGGAGCATCTGGGCGTAGGCTCGTGGGAGCCACGAAGCATTCCCACCGAGCCCCCACCAAAAAAAGAATGCGAGAGGAGGCCAACCTTGGTGATGGTGGAGAGCGCAGGTTCGCAGGCCGCTTCCAGATCGTGCACCAACAACTGGATACAGTTGTTGATGACCCTGCGTCAAGCGTCGACCAGTACACATTTTAGATACGTTCATTCTAGGTACGTCAGAGTGAGACTGCGGGTGCGGAATCGATTCCCGAGGCTCACCCGTTGAACATGTCCTGCTCTGCACTCAGGTCGATCTGCGACGCAAGGCCAGGCTCTATTTTCTCCTTCAGTTTACCTTCCAGCTGCAAACAGAGGGTGCTAACGTCAATACTTGTCTTTTTATGGTAGGACCTTTCTGTAGCAAAGACTGATCTAGCAGAGATATGCATTGAGCGAATCAAAGTTGAGGCACTATTTTCCCCTCCCCCTCAGGTACACTAGCACCTTTCTGATAACGAGCCAATTACTGGCTGCAAACCTAATGACAATGGCTCTGCAGAAGCCATTGTCATTAGGCTTTATATCGGAGAGATATAGGCTTTGCACCCCAACACCATGGTGCCACATATTCCATTCGACAACAATTCCCAAAATTTTTTTTTTTTTTTATTTACAAGGAGGGTGCAGGTTGCAAAAATGACGTCAGAAAAGTGTGTCCCCCAACTTGAAAAGTGGGTATCCATTGGAGCAAGCAAACGTTTTGAAAAATGTAAGCCGAGACAACCGAACAAAAGATACCAGAGGCCCCAGCCTATGCAAGAAGTTGAGCTAGTGTGAGCTATGCAGACAAGAATGCGCTGCCACCATGACTTGGCATGTCCCATTTTTTGTGTTTCGAAGTGCGCTACGCCGCACCTTGCCTCCACCATTCTTCGCTACCGGTTCACTCGACACCCGCTCGAACTGCAGGTAACATCAGTAGTGCCAGCTAACGCATTCTTTGTGTTACCGGGATCGGACAGCGAAGCGCAGGTCCCGGTCCCCGAATTGTCGAACGAGAGGTAGCGGAGCTTTGCGGGGACCGCAGGTGTAGCGAAAGGCCGGATCGGACATGCCCCTCACCTGCTGGGTGGTCTCCTGGCAGTACTCGGCGGTGCTGAGCACCCCGCAGATGCGGCACAGCTCCGGGGGCGTCAGCCGGGAGCTCTCCCCTTCCTTCAGCAGGCTCTGGAAGTTCTGGATGAGACCCGCCGCAGGGCCGCTGCTCCCGCCCCCGGCCCTGCAATTCCGCATCAAAACTCGGTTCTTGGACCTCCCGAGGCACATCTGTGGTGGCCTCAAGGAATATAACTTGTTAAGATGGAAGCTCGAACGAGTTGGTGATAACAGTTCATATTAGTAGCAACTCTGCATTACAAACAAGGACGTAAGAAGAGCACACATAGAAGAACAGCACTATGTTGTCCTTCTACCGTAATATCCCGAGTCATCGCCCACCCCACGTTTTGGGCGAATATCGATTTCCAGAAAAACACAGAATGGTCGCCCACCCCTACAAATACCTCAACACGGACTTCGCCACCCCAAAGTCGGAGTACATGCGTGCGAAAGGAAAACGACAGAGATAACAGAATTAAACTTGTTTTGCTTACGAAGAAATATTTGTACTGACAAAAAAAAGAGAAAAAAAAAAGTTCAAGAAAAGTTATTTAGGGATCGCGAGGCCAGCAAATGCCCCATATCCTGAAACGCAACTGCAGAGCGTAAGGTCAAAAATGTAAGGTCAAAGTCTGTCTCCACCGAAATAAGGTCACTGCAAACCCGCTTCTCCCGAACGTCGCGACCGTGATTGGTAAGGTTGTGCATTGTTTGAGACAAAGGGGGGGGGGGGGGTTGTCTCATTTATGTGTGTAGTAGTCAATGTTCTGTACAATTCATGGGCATGGGGACACGGCCGTCCCCAATTCCCCGGTTGGCTAGATCGATTCGGAAGTCATTCAATATTTGTTTTCCTTTACTAAAAAAAAAGAGATTTTGGTGTGTGTGTGTGTGAAGGGGGGGGGGAAGCTGATTCTTAAAATTACCCCCCTGCCTACGGAGCTCAGGGAACCTCCGAGGGTACCCCAAGGCACTCCTGGGTTCCTAGCAACCCATCATGAACCTCCTAGAACATGGTGTCAAGACAGAACCCAATTCATTTTTTGCCAGATATTTTTGTTGAAAACATACAATGTCAAATTAAGACTAAAGGAGCGTGACACGAGACTTGGAGAGCCATGCGAGTTGTCCGAAGACTGTGTTTCGGTGGTCCTAAGATCTTAATCATTTTAAACATCCCAAATGGCTCGCTATTCTTGTTCAGGCCTGTGTGTCGTCACCGACCAAGACTCACTTGGGCAAGGAGCCCTGCAGGACGCGTGTGGCGTAGTCGGCCAAGTGCCTGCGAAACACCTGTGCCAGGGCGAGCAGGGGGGCACCCCTGGTCAGCTGGCTGCACTGCACCAGGCATTTCTTGTAGTACACAAACAGGTCCGCACAGCTCGGCAGCACTCCCGCCGTCTCCACGTCGGGCTGCGGCAGAGGGGCACGCTGCGCCGCATCCACAAACTGGTCCAGCAGCTGCCGGAGACTCCTGCGCCGTCCAAGCAGACCTCTAGGCTGCCGGCACATGGTAAAGAATTCGCCCGGTGCATAGAATTCAATCGACGGACTTCCAGGATGAGGGAAACACTTGTGGGCAATCTGGGGATCCAAAGCATTGCACCAGGTGGCCCGCATGGCAGATCGTCAATAGTCATTTCCACCGCGAGGGGGCCAAGCGAAACTGGCCACGCTGATCAGAAGACGTCGCAGCGTGTGAGCGAGGGCTCTTGGGATTGCAACGCAGGCGGTAATGGTTAATAAATGACAATATGTTCTTGAACCAGTGCGTTGTGTCAATCTTCGAGACGGATAGCAGCGAGAATTCCTACACACCAAAAAGGCCAGTGACACACTTGCGTTTGCTTAGGACGATAGCAAAAAAAAAAAAAAAGAATGAGTATGACGAACGTCTACATAGGACTTTTTCGGTGAAAAAAAACTACCACATGTACGAAAATATTCAAAAAACAGTATTTTTCGGTTTTAACCGATTTTTTTTTTTTTGACACCGCCAAGTGTTTTTTGGAGTTTTTTTTGGTTAAAACCAGAAATATACGGCCTATTCGTAACATTGTCATAAATTTTTCGCACTTAAAATGAAAAAGAGGATGCTTAAAAAAAAAGTTGTAGAGCCCATCCACTTTACGTGAACATGGAGTATGATTCCTAGAGAACGACCTCAAGGACGACTTCTAGGACAACCTCAAGGACGACTTCTAGGACGACCTCAAGGACGACTTCGAGGACGGTGCCTAGAGATGATAACAAAAGATCAAGACCTCACTATCTAATACTAATGCCAAGGAAGGCTGACTCACGCTGGTTGCCCCCTTTTTATTTTTATTTATTCATACTTGCCACGACCAAGGGGGAGTGTTCTGTTGACATGTGAGGATGCATTTTTTCCCCAGACCCTAGCCCATAACAGCTTCGCTGTAAAATGGGAAATATACGGATATGCCAAGTGTTCCACCCGATGCACCGGTGTGTTCTCTCATTGCAAGAGGTTTTGAGGCACACGGTCACAAGCAGTGGCAAATGTGTGAACTAGCCACTGGCGCAAACGACGAGCATCCAATATTGTTGCCGGCTAGCCAATCGGCTCTTAGTCCTTTCTGTTAGAATGGAATAGTCATCGTCGTTAGACAATTCTGATGGCACTCAGCCAAACTGCTGATGTTTATCAAATTGCAGTCTGCTTTCTGCACGCACACAAATCACAAAGATGGTCGGATCTTGTGGGAAGGGGCCTGAAAAGGACCCTCGTAGAAGCTTCAGTAGCGGATGATGACTTGGCCTTTTTAAGCTGCCTCGAGTCTAAGTCTTTTAGTAAAACATCGACTGCGACTCAGACTTTCGAGCACTTCATTTTGGTGTGCAAATGCATTAATTTGTTTATAAAAGTTTGTGCACAAATTATTATTTGCATTTCTCGACGTGCGTGAATACAACTAAGGGCAATCTGAAAAGGTTTAAGCGAGCACAATTCTACAGTTGGTTCGATAACTAACGAACGTAGCCAGAGTGCACAGCTCATTTGTTGCGGGTTTCAAAAGCGTCTTCGCTCACGAGCTTCGTGCCAAGTGCAACGAGCACTCCTTGTTTATCAACGAATCGACCCACCTGTCCTGCGACTCCACATAGATGTTGAGGTGCCGCTCAAAGCAGCTGGACACCAGGCCTTGGAAAGGGTTCACATTGGCCAGTGGGACCTGAACAACCGACAGCACAATTAGGACTGAGATTCTCTCCAGGCAGAAAAATAGAGAACACAAAGATTGTTATCGAGGAAACCTAAGATTTGTCACAATCGAAAAAAAACACTGAAAACACGGAACTTTAGTCATAACCCACTCAATATCATTAGTATTGGTCATTATTCACTGGTTTCTTGGGACAATGAAGAGTCACAGGAATAATAAGAAACAAAACTGCAGTGTTCTGAAATTATTCCAAGTCTCTACACTGTTTCGTCTTCTCTAAAGTCCAAACATACGGCAGTGGCAATAAAAAGAAACAAAATCTTCGGCAAAAAAAAGTGTCGATTTTTGTGATGTGCAATTCTGAACGGGCCCTACCTGAGGCGAGTCCTTCTCGGCTTCCATGTCCTCGGCAAAGGGGTTTTTGTCCTCGGCCCCGTCCTCAAACGGGTTCTTGCCCTTCTCCGCCTGCGTCCAGCGAAACCCGCCAGCCACACCCGGGTCACGTCGTAAACGTGAAAAACTTTAAAACATGCACACGCACACTCCATACTGCCTTAAACGCATATTTGACTGGCACGTGTGGTGTCCCCAACCGCCCCTGTATCAAAGTGTCCTCGACAGGGCGACAAAATAAGTCGCAGGGCCAGAATCTTGTCTATCGGTCGTAAGAGCCTTGGCAAAGCAGACGAGTTGCTAGAGGCACCCCTGTTGTCGTGGCGTTCCAGCCTACGACTGCCAGAATTTTTGTTAACTGACCAACTGGAGAGGAGAATTTACAGCAAAATAGGTAACCGTTGAATTTACCCCCCTCCCCTTCCTGCTGCTGCTCTTCGAAGTCCAGGATCACAGCAAGTGCCAATATTACGAAGCTGTGTCGTCCCCAACTGAAAATCGAGAAGACGAAATAATAAAAGTTATATGTACAAGCTCAATCATTCTGACAGAGATCGGTAAGCATATACAGGGGTGGAACTCATGAAATGTACTTGGGAGCAGCCACGGGAGCAGCTGAAACAGCTGTTTTGGAGCAGGTGGGGAGCAGCCAAAACTACATTCTGGAGCAGGCTAGGAGCAGCTCAGAACACTTTTCATTGCATTTCAGCTTGTGTCTTAGATGAGCACGGGCACAATTTCAATTGTGCTTAGCAGCACAGATGAACATAAGTGGTTAGGGATCTAGGTAGATGGGATAACAGTGCAACAGATGCAAAAACTTGAAACCATATGTTTCTGAAGATAGTGTCCCTGAAATTTTCTGAGTGGCTTTCAGCTGCTCAAAATGCAAACCAGCTCTGCTTATTGCACAACCCACACGTGCTCGACAAAGTAATTATATGTGTGAGCCATGTGACGTGCGTAAGCAATGGATGTACGTGCAGTTGTGCGGAGGCACAGGGTAACAAATTTCAAGTTTACCTTTTGTGCAACTCAATATCGAAGCAGCAGACTATGATTAACGGAGTTATCATATTCTAAGCGATAAGCAGGAGCAAAGTTAAAGTATGCCAAGCAGATCTACCGCTCGCGTGAGAGCTGCTGGCCTGCAAGGTTTCGGATCGGACCGCGTTTCAGTTCTATCAGATCACGATTTATCTTGTAGGAATGCGGTTCCAACTTTTTTTACGATGAAGTACTAAAAGAAAATTTTTGCTCATATGTTTTCAACTGGCTGACGTCCGGATCCCGGGCCGTAAAGCTCGACCTCACCACGGCCGACTTGCTTAACCGTTGATGGTTGAAGAATAACAATCCAGTCGCAGGTGGTGTAGAGCTTGGAATCCGACCCCCGAGTTTTTTCGCGCACTTCCAACTTGGGATACACAGGGAGAATAAAGAGAACAAAGGATTGCTAGGCCGACCAAGCTAAACGCGCTCGTTGTTGCCAATCCAGTCGATAAAAACCGAAACCAAGACAAAATACAATTTATTTGGCTGTGAAGCAGTTTCCGCAGGATGGCGCAGACAAATGCGTCTGGCACAAGATGGCACAAATGGCACAGCCGTTCCACCCCTGCATATAATCTGCGATAGGCCTTCCATCTGAACAGCACCGTCTGCCGGAGATTGCTCCCATTTGTGACACACGCCGCGGAATGGCGCAGAATGACAGGAAAGGGTGTAAACTGCGCAACCGCCAGCGAGTTTGTTTTTGCGAGCTACAAACCACGAACCACAGCAAAGCACTTGGCTCACTATCTCAAGGTGACGAGTTGAACCTCTGGTGGGGACTGGTGTTTTTATATGGTTCCCTATGGGCGTAACGCTTTTCAGTGTCTGTCTTTCGTAACAGCCAGCCATTACATCCGGCTGTAACAGCTAAGGTCCCTCGATTAACGCTTTGCTAAGTAGCGACAGTGACTGATGTGCTGACATACTCTCCCATTGGCCCGCACCTGCGTTCCGTTTCTGGTTTGAAATGACATGATAGATTTCACTCAACCTCACTCTCGAGTAGCAGTTTTGGTACCTTGTTGATCGAAAACCTACCTGCGTCCAGCGTTGTTCTATCCGAATCGTCGCGTGAAACGGCCCGCCGGAATAACCCGGAAGATTTTGAACACGGCCACGGTGGGCGGATTAGGAAGAATGCAACGGACCGCGCACTAGCAAACCACAGGAGCGAGGAGAGGAGGGCGGGGGAGGTTGACTTTTAGTTACCTCACATAGCGTTCATCTAGTCTAGTCAAGTATTCCAGAACTTCATGAAAATCAGCTGATAAAACACACATTAAAAGCACTGTAAACAGACCGGTTGCAGACGTGAGTCAGGCACCGAAATATTGCATAAAAATTAACCATTGCTAGATGGGTAAACTTAGATCCACTTCTACTTTTCCTCATCTGGTGCAGTATATCTGTTCTCACCGTAATGTTGGTCTAAGAATTTCCAAAGTACACGTCCGTTCCGAGACATCAACATCAGCACCGAGCGTTGCATCCATAAAGCGAGGGTGTTTCAATCAACACGACAAGTTAAACACCGAGAAACGGAGAAACAAAAAACGAATGAGACTCGTCCGTTAATTATTTGTCTGTGTCTCAGGGTTTAGATTACAATGCTTCCTAACCAGTTCACCGCATGCTTTCGCTTTTTGAGTCTCAATCGAGCCTGTTCCTTTCCGTGTAAAAACGCGAGACATGCCTACCTCCGCGCCCTGTGGCTGGGCTGGAGGCAGGCGGGGTCCCCTGGCACCCTCCAGGGTGGCCCCCGTGAAGCGCCGGCCCAGCAAGGTCTCCCAGTTGGTGGTCTTCTGAATAGCCACCAGCAGCAGGCGCACCTCCATGTCCTGCACCCGCTGGGCCATCAGCTGACTCAGCTCCTTCCTGGGACATGCCGATGTACACATCACGAAAGAGGCGTGGCACACATGGGAATCACCAAAGTCAGCGGGTGGTTTTCGTAATAGGCTGGCATTACCGACAAGAAACGTTTTCCGAATAAATAAAAAAAGAATGAAGCCTGAAACTAGTTCCGAGCAGGCAAGTCAGGAAAGACCAAGTTAGACCATATGTTGCCTTTGCCCCGCAAAACATTTGCTAAACACAATAGAAAAGATTTACTTTCTCCTGATCGTCGCATGCCGAAAACAGGCGGATGTCATTCAACGATCAAAACCGTCCTGACGTTTCTGCCGCTGGCAGATAGAAACGTCAGCCAGCAGTTGACTATTGTCCTTCCAGAAGCCCCAAGGACCTACAGCCTTTTGCAGACGCAGACACGCACAATCTGAGCACCATGGAAGCTTCTCCTAATTGTACACGGACTGTTGTTCAGCAACAAAAACGAAATCGGCTCGTTGGTGACCCAAGCAAATCCTACACAGTACTACCACTCACGCGTGAAAAGGTTCTTTTGTGGCCACTTGGCTGCATTCAAAAAAAAGAAATCATAGCTGACAATGTGAATTTGGTGTGTTTACAAGAAGTGACGGCCACCATAAGTGGGAATAATGACCAGAGTGAGGACAGACTATTTGCAAAATTCCCAAGTACCAAGGAGCCTGCTGGGATTGTAGTTACCTACTCTGCACATGCTCGTCTTGCCTAAAAAAAGATAACAAGTAAATGACTAAAACAAGGCAGTAGCAAATGCATGTGTGAAGTGCAGCTTGTTTTAGGTGTTTGCTTAATAAAAAGGTCAAAGTTTTCACCCGCTTCCCTCTCCCCGTGGAAAAAGGAAAGGGAAGAGTTTTTTTTATTTTTTGCACACACGGTGATGACGGGGCACGAGGACAAAATCTCTGCAAACTGTCGCCCATAAAGCTATCACTTTAGAACTATCGCTGTAGATGCCAGACTGTGCAATGGGTGCAACCACAGACCCAGCGTGCTCCTCGGTGCTCGCGAATCTGTCTTCTTGCTGCCGGTGCTCGAGTGGAGCACTTGCCTGGTGATGTGGCAGAACTCGACGGCGATGCGCTCGCTCACTTCCCAGTCGGCCGGGAACAGCTGACCAAACTTCTCTTCAAACTCCAGCAGGTGCTTCTTGATCCAGGTGTAGCGCCGGTCGATTCGGTCCAGCCAGGCAACCTGCCAAGGACAGGAGGAAAAGGAGTCACTGGCATCCTCGGACGGTTCAAAGGAGGGTACAACGTGGGTTCACAGACGGGGTCTCTAGAAAACCGGGGGTTGCCCAGAGTAGCCCCCCAGGTTCCCCGAGCCCCCACATTTCCTCGACCGTCTCCACCTCTACCTGAACGGTTCTTCTTCTTGTAACTATAAGCCAATAACTTCCTAGTGTGTGAACGATTGTTTAGACCAGGGGCTCTTATCTACACAACAGGACCGAGGGACCGCAACGTCGCCACCTGCTGCGATCGGTCCTCGCCGCACCGTCGACCAATCGGAGCAGGCAGCGATGTACCGGTCCCTTGGTCCCGCCGTGTAGATTAGGGCCCCAGGGGTCTCCAAAAATAAACCCATGGAAGCGTTCTAATCAGCCCGCCAATTGACGCAGTCTTTCGATTGACGCCCAGCCCGCTGCTACGAACGCAAAAATAAGCAAAAAAAAATAAAATGGCACCACATTGAGCACAAAAAGGGCCAACAAAGTTATAAAAAAGCCTGAAAGAAAACTGCATCAAAACACGGGATCTCTAGCCATAATATTTATCGTACGTTGTCATCCCCAGAATTAATATTCGTAGTTCTTTGGTTTATGTCTGTGTAACTATGTGACAAAATTCTTTAGCGTTCTCATGAATATCGGGCTTAGTCTCCTGCATCATACATTTTCATCAGCAGATCTACCATCTCATTAGTCTTCTGCCTTGTGTGAATATGCCAAAAATTCCAATGAGCTTCGATTTATGTTTGGTGAGTTTCTTGGGTTACAATTTCGTAATGTCATAATTAGCAGCATATTACATCTCAAGAAAGAGTAGCGTAATCCCTCGTTAACTGATGTCAACGAGACGGCAGCAAAATATGACAGAAGCGGTAATTCGATAAAAGCAATAGCCACAAAACAGCACCAGCAGCCTTGAAGGTGGACACGAACACTGCGGAACACTCTGACCGTATATTTAATCGAACAAACCTTGGTTGTGAACATTTCATGGCAGCTTTAACGAGTAAAAAAATAAATAAGCGGTGTTTGCTGATAATTTCCCCCGGGCATCAGTTCTCCTCGAACTGCTCCAGGCATTATAAGAACACTGTCACCGCCGCTGCACTCCACTTTGTTTCGAAGCAGCCGTAGGATGTTTCGCGTCTCCGCAGTCGTCGGTGTTTCCCGAGGTGCCTCTCCGACGTCGCTTCGTGTTTACTCTGGCCACACGCAAGGTCCACAATTGCATCATCCGTGGCAGGAGCAACACCGGGAACATCCGCATTGACAAGGACAGAAGAATCAAAATTATCCTCGGTGGCTTTGCCAACATGTTTTCACACACTCCTGTACAGATCGTTGCAGCTCTGGGAATCGCGCGCCGGCTCGGCAAGCATGCTCGCAAAAGAAAATCCGACGTGTGCAAAGCAGTTGGCAATCTTTAACCTTCAAATCGCGGGCACACTTTCTCTTGCATGAAAAACTTCTCAAACCCGTCCAGTATGCCTTGCTTGTTCTGCAAAATGGTAAACACTGTCGAACGGCCGATGCTGGAATGTCGAATTCTTCGGCGATTTCGGACTTGGGCAGGCCACTTTTCTCAACCTCGCGGATGTAAGTGACTTTCGGTAAACACTCCCATTCCCTTATTCGACGCACATGTGCGTGTAATATGCCACAGGCCAACCGTAGGCGCGCATCTGGGGCAGTGTCGGCCGCGGGATGATCTCTTCCAGGCTCCATCGCTCCCTTAACTCGATTCCGACACGAGTCGGGCGGTGTCAATTGCAGGCGCCGTAAGTAGCGTCGGAACGTGGGTGCTGCTCCCTGCCTGCGTCAGCGCATCGGCATCGGAGATGGAAGCGGTGCTCTGCCCTCCGTCGCCCACTTGCTCAGTTTTCTTGTTTGCCGTTTTCCAAGTTTGCCGTTTGCCTCGGTGGAGAAGGGGGAGGGAACACAAGGGTCTCCATGCACTTCCCCGTAAGCTCGCGTGCTTTCAGCCCCTCAGCCTTCGTAACAAGTGAGGTCGGCTGCCGATACACTTAGAATAACCCGGTTCCAAATGAGTCCATTTTGGTCCGAACCACATTGAACTTCAATAAAAGCGATAATTCGAAGAAAAAAAACGATTTCTTTATAACGAGGAATTACTGCATGTGTATTCATCTTACATCTTTCCTCTACTTAAAACGTTTGCATTTATAAGCAGTGAGAGAGTGCAGGCGAGCTGGTAATCAATCGACATCTTGTAAACCCTGAGATGGGGAACGACAAAAAAACGGACGAACACGAGCTGCGTTTGAGATTTTGTTGTGTTCGTCTGTTTTTTTATCGTTCCCCATCTCAGGGTTTACAAGATGTCGATGTGCATTTATATGCTTATTGAGGCTTATTTATTTAGTATTTTCTCATTTATATTGTCTTAACTATTTTCTGGCACTCAAGATTGTGACAGGTCCCCAATTCGGTCCCTTAGTCAAAAAAAACTTTTAGCCTTTCCACTTTGGTGAAGAAGGAAGACCAGCGAAGCTGTACTATGGTGGGAATGAAGTAATGGCCGACCGCAAGTCGGCAAGCCAGAGTGGAAAGGCTGGAAAGGTTGCGCCATCTATGAGCAATGGCGGCAAGCGGACAACTGGCAAACAGAACACTCTGGACAGCTACCGCCATCTATGAGCGACGGCGGCAACCAGAGTTTTGTGTCGACATTTCTTTGCGGGGGACACAATCTTGGAGAAACTAGCCCTTAACAGCTCTGCTGTAAAATTTTAGAGACCCCTGGTTTAGGGGGCCTCCAGACTTCGGCACTGCTTTATTGGATCAATGCCAAGAGCGGGAAGGGTTCCTCGGCCGTCTGGGAAAAGTTTGAGAGCCCCTGCAGTAGCACCTAGATGCAGTAGTACGGCGATCGGGATGCGTCTCCAACTGGCGCGATTACTCCACCATTATTTTGCCCTCTCAATTTCCACGTGAAACAAATGCTTCATGGTGCAGTTTGTGATAACCCCGGCGGTGATACAGCAGCGGGGGTGGATGCAACAGGTGCCTGTTCAGCCGCAGCTGACCAGCTGCACGGCCGGCCAGTTGACGGAAACTCTGGCAACTGCGGCTTGGGACGCCTGAATACCGGTGTCCACTCGAACGTCTCCATGAGAGGCGCTTCTACGACCGACCACCAGGGTTACATAAGCCTGTAGCGTTTCCGGGAAGCTCCCGCGACGCAAAGTTTGTCACGGTTTCAGAGAAAATCCCGAAAACGCACCAGTCAGTGACCCATTCCAGGCACCGTATATGCTGGCTGCAGATCGGGAGGTACCGGTCCCCAAAGAGGAGGAGAGAAACCTGTCTCACGTCTTGGTTGGCTTGGAAGAGGTGGGTGTACTCTGCCAGCTGGAGGCTCACAAACCACTTGAGCAGCTCCTGCCTGCAAAGGGAGACGGCTCAAGCAACAGCTGCTCTCTCAGCCTACCATAGTCACTGAAAATGGGGGATTAATGCCTAAAGAATCTAATGTGTGTCCACAGAGCTCCAGTGAAGAAAAGTTATTCATACTGGCAAGTCAGCTGCAAATGATTCACTTTTTCTCGTCGTTACTTGGGTCACAAAGGTCTGGGTGTAGTTTTTGTACTCTCTAGACCTTTCCAGTTTCTCTAGACTCGTCCAGGCTTCGTCCTGGTCCAGTCACAGCTGTTGTGATACGCTCCCTGGGTTAGAAAAATGCGTAGCAAATTGCTGGGCACTTTTGTTGCACATGGAGTCTACGCTTTCAGCGCTCTTCATTTGTTAGTTTAGCGACTGGCTTAGTGCGTGGCATGTACATTTAATAGCAATTCCTGGAATGGCGATACCGGTGCTAAACCGGGTTTTAAAAGCGTGCGACAGGGTGTCAAGTTGCTACCTGGCGGACGCAGAGCGGTCGCCCCGCGGGGCTTTCCCGCCAAATAGCACCTCAACTCACGGCGATGTGTCGTGACGTGCTGGAAAGATACTTGCTCATTAACCTAGATGGTCTCGGTTCAATTCCCGCCTGGCGCAAACAATTTTTTACTGCGATGGCCTCTTCCCCCCATTCAAAACCAATCAGTGTCGAGCCTCGCGGCCACGCTTTTATTCGGGCTTCAATTCTGGGCATCACTTTTGGGCTTCATGAAATGCTGGACACCTAGCAAAGAATGTTTCACAATAAACTTTTAGCAGTGGGTTCACAGTGTCATAAAATGTTGTGACAATAGTCCATATTTGGCAATCTTTCTAACTTTAAAACCCAGCTTCTCCTTTAATTAAAGTTGGAAGATATTTTTACTAAAGTTCACCAATGAACAAAGGCAAATTAAACCCTTCACAAAATAGTCTACACTTTGCATAATTAAACAAAGTAGTGCAAATGGTTTCATCTGGATAAATCGGCGTACAGTGGAAAGAAAAAAAAATATACTCTCGTTCCCCCTTCTAAGCAAAAGTGAAGCCCTTTGTCAATCTTCAGGAAAGCTTACTTGACTTTGTTGTCCAAAAGAGACACCACCAGGCATGCATCTGCCAACTGCTGGTTCGGAGTGAAGTGCTGCAGTGCAAAGATGTCCAGTCAAGCCACTGAGTTGTAATCACGTACTTGTGGTCTCAACGAAAAATCCTGTACCTCTCAAGCAGTAGAACGAAATCAGCACTTTTCTCTTGTATTCCATCTTACCGTACTTTGCAAAAGCATAGCCATCCCACTAATATCTAATGTAACTAGGATTGTGCAAATATTAAAATGATAGTTTCAAATAATACGCTATGCGATATTCTCTTCGAGGGGAACTGCATTATTTTTTAAATGTTGTTTGCGGCAGGTTAGCCCTGCTGAGCATATTTTTTACCAAGCACCAGTGCACTGCAGAGTAGCAACACCCGCAGAGCTTGCTTCTGTGAGCGTGGCTTCTCCACAGCGCACAGGTGCTCGGTAAGAAGCACGCTCAACGGGACAAACTGACAAACTCTCAGCGATTAACACTTCGAAAAGCATAAGTGTCGCAGCCGCATGCTTAGGAGAAAAGCACACTTCCAAAGCGAGATGGTGCACGCACACACCTGGTGAATTAGAAAGAAATGGACACTTTGTGAGTGTTGATATCTACATTGGAGTAAAATTCTCAAAATTAAACTGTGGCTATTTATACGCGAGACATATAGATGACCTGACAATGTGCATCAATCTTTCTTGATTGTCATTCGTTTTTTTTTTTTTTTTTCAAACTCTTTGCATACAGCAAGAATATTTATTAATTCCTTCTATTAGGTATAGCTGTGAATCCCTGCAGGCTTAATTGTACGAAAGAGGTTGTTTTCCTGCTATCCCAAAATAGAACATGGTTAAAGTTGCGCACAAAAAGACCAGAACAGGGGATAGAAACACGTATATAACAGACAAGTGTGCATGCTTCTCTCTGTTACTGTCATTTTGTGCACAACCTTAACCGTGTCCAATCGATACCAACTCGCTCGACTGACCACCTTACTGCAGTTTATCCCAATGTGCGCATTAGACCTTCAGAGGCCACAGTCCATAAATAGAGTTATATGTTAAAATTAGCTTAGCTTAGGAGTGGACAAGTGGAAGCTTGGGAACAACATTCAAATCGAAAATATTCGGCCAAAACAACTATTCACTTCGCATTTACTTCAAACTCAAAATCCACTATTCGCACATGAATGTGACACTTTGGACTAAATATCAACGCACACAGAGCAGGAAGAAACCCTTTGTCTCGTGATGCAAGGCCAATTACCCGGCAACCAAAGAAAATCACTAAGGTGCAATCTATCTCTTGCATGAGCTCAAGAGGCTCGCAGAATATTTGTAAAATTCGCCATAGAAGCTGGACTATACAGGCACGACAAACTGGCGGAACGGCAGCTCGCTGCACCGGCCGATCTGCCGGCGAGATTTCTCTGCTCGCCGGCAGATCGGTCGGTGCACTATCTCTGCGGCACCGCGCAACAGAATGGGGCCAATCATATGCAGTGCCAGCAGTTGTGAGGATAGTAATGCCATGACAACCCTCGACACGTCGCCAACCTCGCTGCCGGCACATTCAAAAGAAGAATAGCTCAGCGAATCAGCGTGGTCGTTTTTGCACCCATGAGCACTACCACACTAGCGGAAAAGTGGCTTGCGATACGCGCGGTTTGCCAAACATCAAATGCCACCAAAATCGGTTTTGCCGCAGGACGGTGAGATTCTCCCGTCATAAAGAGAATGCTTTGTGCGCAATTTCTGGCTGCCATGCCCCCCAAAAAAATATTTTTTGGGAGGCACAGCATGGCAACTGTTCTGAGCTGCACTTTCACTTTCAAAACTAGGGTGACCGCAGCCGCTGCCACGAGCTATCCCAGCCAATCCAGCGTCAAAAACGTGCCACGTGACCTCGCGTTCTGCAACTCACTAGGCCACACCGGAAAGTGACGTGCTCTCAGCGCTGGTTTGGCTTCGATACGGCTCGTAGAGTCCAGCTGACCTTTCGGCAGTTTTCTGATCGATCTCGCGCTTGCAAAGTGCACACGCTGCATCACTCAGCATGAGCATGACGGCCATTGTTTGTTTCACCGTAAGTGAAAACGAAGCCAAACACACGAGTGTGGTGTTTCTATAGCACCACTCAATGTTCCTATTCCACCAACTTGGCCGAACACAGAACCTTCATTGCCTTGCCATTTGATCTCGGCGATTTCACAGAATGAGAGCAGAGTAGGGTGATCACATTAACGGTAGTTACACGATCATCATTAATGCCCGCCATGGTTAAGGCAATGAATGCAAAAAACAGTATGGCATTTACACACGGGTAGATGGATTTCTATAATATTTAATAACAACATTCGTAAAACATGTTTTCTAATGAAATTGCGAACGCAGAATGGCCCTTCTTTTTGAAATACCGAAAATCAGAGTCCGGAGTGAAGTCGCTTCCCGACTTGTTATCCCCACCCGGAAAACATGGCGGCGCTCGGCACATGCACTCAAGATAGTCGGTGAGTCGAGGAATTGGACGAAGTTCTCTTTTCTAGGTGCCCGATGACGATCTCAGACTTTGAAAGGGAAATTGTCAAACAGTCAAAACAACTGGGTTTGGTGTCTCTTTATCGTAGTTTCTGTAGCAACTCCTCCGGGGCAGACTTTCAAGCAGAACCGACGCAACACGGCCCCTCACGGCGTTTATAAAAGTCCACTGCGCATTTTCTTTGTCCTCACACCGTTTCAAAGAATTTGAGATCACAGAACGGGCCCTAAAAGAACTTCAAACTCGAAAGTGTGGTGTCGTCTGCTCACAGTGATAGGCGGCACACGATGGAGAGCGGTTGATCGCGGGACACGGGCGAACATGACACTTGGGGTTGGGACGGTTCGTTTGCGTGAAAGAAACTCGAGTTGCAGGACGACTCAATCTTTGACGTCGCTGCACTGGCGCAGAACGCACGGGAACTTTAATATCGGCTTTGGGAAATTGTTTTTTTCTTCACAAATACTGAGTTCCCAAGTTTAGAATTTTGGGGGTAATGTACAGGCATCATTTCCAACCGTTTCGGATAATAAAAAAGATATGATTTTCACCTGACAATGCCCCTTAAAGCTGAGAATGTAGCCAAGGCTACAAGTGCAAGAACAGGATAGCTCGGCTTTGAAACACTCTTTTGCAGAAGGAGCGTTCGCGCTAGAAAGGAATGTCTCAAAGCAAGATGCGTCGGCTAGCTTTCGTTTGTAGCTTTGGCTGTAGTCTCAGATTAAGAGTGAATGGATTATAGATATATGGCTTTTCCCCCAGAAAGTAGAGGCATTTTGCAAAGAAGAACCAGAGAGGCAACCCCCTGACCAGAGTACCTGCACAGTCTCTGCTGAGGGCGGTGCAACTAGCGTCGTCTGCTACGTCGGTCGCCAGCTTAGCTCCAACCCTCCGTTCTTTTGCTTTCCTCCTAGTCTCACATAGGTACTGCTGCAGTAATGTTGGGAGTAGCATTCTTTCCCAAGAAGCACACACAAACCTTGAGGAACTTCAGCATGCTCAGCACTATGGACCGTGATCCCTGTTAAATATAAAGTCATAATGGCGTGGAGGGCATGACTCATCGAGGCACCCTACCCTATTCGCGACTCCAGCGACCTATAGGGGGCGCCGCCACCAAACAAACATGGCGGCTGAGTCCAGGTCGCGTCGGCTCGGCCAGGCTGCCTGAACAGGTGGCGCATTCAATTTAACAATTTTCTTTTGTTTAATGCCCAATTTTATAGGTATATGAACTGAGGCAGTTAAGTGTAGCTGATGCACATAAACTTGCAAAGCATAGTTTTGTTTTCCCGGTGTTTTTTGTTTTTTTCGTGTCAAACTTTCGTTTCGGAGATTTCGTTCAAAACCGAAACTATAAGCTCCGGAGAGACGGTAATATACTAATCAGTTTTGATTGTCTAAGGAAAGCGGCGGTGACTACAGGGTTGTTCCACCGAGAGTAATTTTCAGCTAACTCGCATGCCTCGACCATGTGACTTATCTGCCCGCGAAATCGAGCTTTTGTGCGTATCCGCGTTTAAGAAGCAGTCGTCTGCTCGGTCAACAACACAGGCTGCAGGAAAATTAAGAAAATTAAGCAAGCGCTTCTTGAGCCAAGGACCATGTTAACCCGCCAGCGCCCCACTAAGCAGCTGATACTCGTATTTCAATTCAGGTTTTAGTAGCAATCGAGAAGTCATTTTGACGAGCGGGTTATGTATTATATTACGTACTATGGTCCCACTAAAGCAATATTAGTATATTCTTTGGGTTGAAATATGAGCTTAGTTGACTAGCTATTAGGTGAACTGCTGAATAAAAGTATATTTGACAGACAGAGAGATACTACTTAAACTTAGCCAAATGGTTCTAGCCGGCAACATGGAGACAAACTGAAGAGAGTCTTCATCGGAGATTCACGCAGAACCTCTCTGCATTGAACTTTGCTTCGAATCCTGAACGGAGAAAATGAGTATTTTTTGTGGCCGGTCAACCTGAGCAATGTAGACATATATTGCGGCTGGCTTCGACGGGGGTATAATATAAATATTGGAGGCGCGATAGATCAAAATGCCGTGACAGCTTCTAACGTTACAAGACTCGTCTACCACCTTTTGATAACAGATAATTTCCCTCATTCATCAATTTCAGCGAGCAGGTTTTCCTGAATCAAGTAATTGCGAAATCAGCCCAACTCCTTCAGTGTGGTCCAGAGGCTTTTTCGGCGAAAAGCAGCCAAGACGAATAGCCAACGCACCGAGTGGCATGGGTGGCTCAAACTTGAAGTTAACCGAACACAACCAAACTCAAGAAAAGCAGCTATCGAACCTTCCTATTCACTTGACTGCAAAATTGGTGTTCCCTCCAGTGAAACACCTCGTCTGTCGTCCTCAGTCCACTTTTCTACATCCTTACAAAGAAACCACTAATCAGTTACCAAGCAGTCGTCACTTTGAATGTGATTCGAGAAAGACAAGAAATCAAAATGTTTTTCCGTGATTCCTCTCCAAGAAATCGAAAGCACGTGACCGTGTGTCATGGAGTAAACGGGCTTTCAAATACGTGATGGAAGGAAACAATCTACTGGGGCTTCAGCACACTAATGAACACTCAGGCAAACTTTGAGAAATTTTTGGACCTTCGTGAAAATACATCGTTCGCCACCGCGCCGACAACACATGTCCGCGAAAGCCACCAGAGACGCGGAGGGGCGCGGAGCGACCTGGTCCGGCTGGTTCCTGGTTCTCCCGCTTGGTGGCGTCCGTTTTGCTGGAGTCGCGAATGCCTAGGGTTTTGCATTTTCAGATAAATCTGATAAAATCTGAAAAATGCTTGCCAGCGAAATTTTCGTCAATTCAGATTTATCTGAAAAACTCAGAATTTTTGTGTCACAATGGCGAGAAAAAAAATGGTATTTTATGAATAAGCTTGGTTAGCGCACAGGGTCAGTGGGGATGGAGGAGACGCCCTCTCCAGTTTTTTTTCAAATCTCGGACTACTGACTAAACGGGGGTACACTGTTTACCTCGTCATGTTTTGTTTGGGATAGTGGGTCACTGTAATTTTGGGCCACAGCAAAAGGCACTGTTCTAGTCTTCAGTTTGGACTTCTTAGAAAGAGGTGGGTTTATGTTTTTATAACAATCAAATTTAAGATCAAGAAGGGAGTAGGGTAGCTAAAGGTTCCATGTCACCACTCCACCCCACGCAGCCACAGGGTGGAACAGTGGAATGGGATGGGGAGAAAACAAACTTTCCAGAGACTATGTCAAGGATTTCAGTAATTTAAAGTATTGACATTTAGTAATTTAAAGTATTGACATTTAGTAATTTAAAGTATTGACATTTATGAAAGCAACACTTGTTTGCAAGTTTTGTTGTTCACAGATAGTATTACCAATGGCAAGGGCACGAATACCCAATCCAGCTGAGGAGATATCAATTGTTACGGTCGACTTCTTACCAATGGCGTGCCTCAGGGAACCGTGCTTGGTCCGTTACTTTTTCTCATCTACATCAACGATCTTCCTCTTCATGTATCTTCGCCCATGTGCCTATTTGCCAACGACTGTGTCCTTTACCGAAAAATAACATCCCCTCATGACTCTTTAACCCTACAAAATGACCTCGGCCTAGTTCAGAGCTGGTGTACTAACAGGCAGAAGACGCTTAACGTCAGCAAATGTAAATGCATGCGCTTCTCTCGTTCCTCTTTTCCAACCTCTCCTGTTCATTTTCTCAATGGCATCCCTCTTCAAACCACGGATGCGTATAAATACCGCGGTGTTCTTCTAACTTCAAACCTCTCCTGGGAAAACCATATTAATTCAGTTGAGTTCCGCTAACAAAAGCTTGGGTTTCCTTTGTCGCAATTTCAGATCCGCCCCTTCTCAACTAAAACGGCTCCTCTACCCTGCCCTAGTCCGGTCTAAATTAGAATACGCATCTTCAATCTGGCACCCTCATCATGCTACATTAACAGACTACATATTAAATCTGTTCAAAACCGTGCTGCGCATTTTATTCAGTCTGATTACTCCAGTTTTTCCAGTGTCTCCCTCATTAAGTCAAATCTCTCTCTCTCTCAATGCTTTTCTCCCGTCGAAAAAATTTCCGTCTCTGCCTTCTGCATAAAGTTTTTTATTCACCACTTTTAAATCAGACTCTTCTTTCCCCACCGGCTCATCTTTCCTCCAGACTCGACCATTGCAATAAAATAGCCCGGCCAAAGTGTTTTTCCACAGACAATCAGCACGCCTTTCTTCCTGATGCAATTGTGGACTGGAATGACCTTCCCGAAGACATCGTCACCATCCAGGACCCCATCAGATTCCGAGAAGCAGCATCAAACATTGTACTTTAATACCCACTCCCCTCTCTAACGCCTTATGGCCCTGAGGGTATTGTAAATGAATAAATAAATAAATAAATTCAGAGCAGGTTTCTACCCAGATATTTGTTTTAGAGCGCAGCTCTTAAGCACTCGTTCCGGTCGCCGCGAACGTCGGCATTGCTGTCCGCGTAACCGCATGTGTTGCGTTATGGGACATCACAGACCTGTACACCAATTTAATTCCCCGCTAAATTTAGCGGGGAAAATGACATCACATGACTTCGTGTCAAGTCACCTATGAACAAATTCAGTGGTAGATTTAGTGGGGAATTCAATTTGTGTTGAGGTAACGTGACGTCAATTTTCCCACTAAATCTAGCAGAGAAACTGAATTTGTTCATAGGTGACGTGACACAAAGTCATGTGACGTAATTTTTCCCGCTAAATTTAGCGGGGAAACTGAATTGGTGTTCAGTTTACATGGCGTCAATTTTCAAGCTAAATTTAGTGGTGAAACTGCGGGAGGAAGGAAGGTTATGAAGGAGAAGGAGGAAGAGGAAGACAAGGAGGAGAGAAGGAGGAGGGGAGAGGAGGAGATGATACTGGGGATCCTCTCCCTCTCCTTCTCTTCCCCTCCTCCTTCATACCCTCCCCTCCTCCTCCTGCATACCCTCCCGTCGCGGTATATTGCAAAATCAAAATACCTCAAAAGCAGCACTCTAATTTCGCATTACAGAGATTTGTAAATGTCTCAATTTTCTATATTGAACTGCAAAAATCTGGCACATAGTAAAATTAAATTTTGAGACACAAAGAATTGAAAATTTATGGTAAATAAATTCCGAGGAACTCCGAATTTCGGGCAAGGAATAAACAGCGAGAAAAACCCTCCGATTTTCACGAGAAACAAACTTCGAAAATATGAAATCCTATCTGCACCCACTACTCGCTGAAAAAGTACCACTGTTCTGTAATGAAGGACCCGCATCTGCAGTGTCTGCACTTAGCTAAATCCAGTGCTGGGAAGTACTTCAAGTACATTGTACTTACAGTACTACTTCAAGTTGGTTTTAAATAACTTGTATTTTACTTGAAGTACATTATCTGAATATGTACTTGTAGTTTACTTAAAGTATTTTGTTCTGGTACTTTCCTCGACTCCCGACTTCAAAGTGGCTTTATGGCTTTGTTAAAGTGGCAATATGGCTTTGTTAAATTTTTATCACAAAATGATGCTTTGTCAACTAAAAAAAAATGCAGGGAGGAATACTTGACTCTCACCAGAAACGTGAGCAGACGACGCATCGCTCCCTTTCTTCTGGATCGGCTTTCTCGTAGCTTTTTGAACTCTCGCTACTTCTTGCTCGGTCAGCGCGAGCGAGGAGGTTTAAAATATTAGGAGAGCGAAATTAACCATAATGCAGCACCCGAGACTGTGGCGTGGAAAAATTAAACTTTCAAGACAAATAAAAAGACAACAGAGGAGAACGCCACAATGTTTTGAGACATTCTCTTTTGTCTTTTCCTTCAACTTTAAAGTTCCTTAATTTTTTCGCACCACAATCTTGGGTGTCACATTATGATTCATTATCACCAGCTCGCTTGCACACTCACTGTTTTTTTCATTAAGTAGAGGACACTCCTCCACGAGAGGATTGCTTGCAGAAGCTACGGGGCTGACGCCATGGTCTCTTTTAGTAGTATAGTCAACCCCCTTGGGTGCAACAAGCCAGTGCAAGCGGCACCAAATTTAGAAGACTTTTGAATTCGGCGCCATTTCTGAAAGTAACTATCTCTGTGGCCATTTGACTTTTTCCAATATTTGCCGCCGTTTCCGAAAATAGGTTATGTACCCCCGATTACCCCTGGGGCAATGGATACCAGTTAAAAAATCACTATATAGGGAAATGAAAGGGCACTGTAAAAGAATACTTGTACTTCACTTGGAAAGTACATTGTCATTCTGTCTTGTTTATTTTTTCATGTGCCACTGCTGTTTGTGTGAGAGGGGGGCCAAGGACTCGTCAAGCTGCATGATGCAGCTTTTTTTCCTCTTTCTCCCTCCATCATTTGTTTAATGGAAAAATAAACTTTGTTATTATTACTATTATTTACAGTATGTACATTGCACCCAGTATACTGGGTGCAATGTACATTACAGTACATTGCACCCAGTATGCTTACTACTCTAGTTGAAGTACATCACCTCACATATACTTTGTACTTTACTCAAAGTACTTTATAGATGTACTTCCCCCAACACTGGCTAAATCACAGTGTGCCTATTACTGCGGTTATGTTCACATGCTGATTGCCTCAATTTTATGAATGTCCATCCCCTGGATAATGCCCACACGGGCCTTGAAGAAGAAACAACTTAGGGTGACTATGGTGTTGACGCACGTGATTTTACATGTTTGCATATGTCTGGGGCATTGTGTTCTTTCTGGAAGTGCCTATGTCCCCGTGGAAAAGCAAGCTCTGATAACCAACTTTTGCATTGGGACCCGTGAAGGCGTCGTGGAAGTCTGCCGTGATCTGCTGGGCCAAGTCAGAACGGATGGTGGCCACCCTGCAACGAAGAAACGTCTTATAGGTGGCCTATTCATTACACAGAAAGGCATTTCATTTAGAACAGCAAATTTTGATTTTGCCAGCCAACATGATCAAAGAGCAAAATGGGTGATAAGTTCTAAACCTGCTCAGTTCTAAACCTAGGTTTCGACTGGATTCTCTTAACCCTACGTCAGTGGAAGTGCATGCAGAGGTGTAGACACTTTTAAAGGGGTACGGAAACAAAAATTGAAATATTCAAATTTCGTTCGGAAATGAGTCAAGCATGACACATAATAACCGTAAGTGATAATCGCATGTTTGTATTTTGAACGACTGGCTATATTTTTCGTTCCAAACGGTGCACTCGAGCACGCGCTCGAAGTGAAGCGAACGGAGAGCGCGATGCGTCATGGGATATCCGGCGCAAACAAAAACAGAAAGAAAAGATTCCCGCATTCGTGACGTAACAAGGCTAGCGTGGTTATGAGCCTTGCCCTTGGTGGCATTGTCAATAGCGTCAGCGCGTTATAACCGAGCCGTTCGAAGTACCCGCGGGGTGACGAGCGTGTGGCTGGCCCAAGGAGCACGTAGCTTCCACAACTGTCAGCTTAGGGCTGAACGGGGTGGGGAAAGCAACTTTTGTTCAAGGTTTGAGCGATAGGCTAATCTTCTAGGGGGAGAATGGCTGTTTCCTGTTGCACTAACAAGGGTCCGAGAAAGAGGGGAGTCCTTCCTTTCCGTCTTCTTCGATCGTCTGGTACAATGCGCGATTTGTGAGTTGTGCTAGGAGGAAAGCTAACAAGGAACATGTTGAAATTCCAAAAGGCAGCGCTGCTCCGAAGGAATCTGCTACGTCACGACTACATAGCAAGTTCCCCAACGTTGCTAGATTGCCTCCCAAATAGGCTCCGCATGCATCCACCAGGTGCATATTGAAAGATCGTTCATTTAGCTTGAAAACTTATTTTCTTGTGCCTTTCAACGGAAGACTGGTGTTTTGTTGAGGTTAGGGTGCAACATGCAACACATTCAAGCTAGAAAATGAGAGCTGGAATTTCGTTTCCCTACCCCTTTAAAAGAACATGGCACAGATTTGAAAAAAGAAACTTCTGTAACATGGGACACAGTGCAACATATGCCCTTGCCAGGAGTGGTTAGATTGCAACCATTTTGACATGTTGCGGGCCCATGATGAAAAATATTTAATATACTTGTGGCACAACCATTCTAGAAAACTGTATTATATAAAAGTAAATTTTGGCATATTATGTGCGAAATAAACAAAGGGTATTAGCACAGCCCAGGGAAGGATTGAGAAACAATGCAGTCCACATGGCATAAAGCAGACTTTTCCATGCCATGCATCCTCACCTCATAAAACAACAAACAGGAGGTTAATGAGTTTCATATTGAGGATTAGAGCTGTAAAGGTATAGCCAACAACTACACAAACACTGAACAAAAAGCAATGAGATGTGCCACTCACTCGTCTGCCAACTTGCGTATCTGTGGGATGGCCATATAGGGCTGGAAGTGGTCCAGCACATTCATCACCCCCTGAAGCAGGTTGGCAACCTCACCATACTGGCGCTTGCGACTCAGCTTTCTGCGGAACAGGCCACCATCACCCTCACACGCTGCTAGACAAAACTGCAAAATGCATCCCCTCTCTTGGTTCGAGGTGCTGTCGATTCCCACAAATCACTATACTCCGCGACAACTTTTCTTGGCAATGCAGTGAAAGGTACGTCCCGCATCCCCTCTCCCATTTTGAGTGTACGCAGGCTCTCCTCCTCTCCCCGGAAATGGGGGAGGAGGAGAGCCTGCGTACACTCAAAATGGAAGAGGGGACGCGGGACGTACCTTCCACTCCATTGCCAAGAAAAGTTGTCGCGGAGTATAGCTGTTGCCAGCTGTCAACGTGTCATCTCGGCTGACACATGGATTTGAAGCAGTGATCTGTAGACCTAACATGAACAAACTACTTAGTTCAATATGAATATGCTCATATTACAATCAGACTTGCGTGACACCTGAGCTAGCTAATAAAGAATATTAAAAAGAGTAAAAATCACTGTTGTTAACAATCACTGTTTGAATATAAGGCTCACCCTGGGGCATAGTTTTCTTTATCAAACAAAAGTCAATATCATATGGGTGTTGCATCAAGTCGAACTCGTGAGACTCGATAGTACAGTGACACGAGCCAGAGGCAGCAAACAAAAAGGCAATTAAAGGCCCAGTTTGTTGTATAGATATGCGCACAGCATCAGTTAGTCTGCCTCGAAACAAAGCCTTACGACTTCCTTTCAGTTTGACTTAAAACGCAGCATCATGCAGCATAGTGACTACACCAAGATGTGCCAATGCAATGCCTCGTCCAAACCAAACCTGCGGGGAACGATATCTGGCTATGTGACCTACAAATCTGTGGCACAAGCTTCTAGTCTATTTGGTCCAAGCAAATGTATGCCTTAACATGTGCAGCTCTCCAATTTCTTAATAATATTGTGAAACTGTCGACTGGCCCGCTGGTCGGTGCTCCCAATATATTATTCAAAATATTGAATAGCTGTACACACAGTCACAAACCCTCGAGTTGTAGTGCATGGATCAGTTTGTTGTGAAGTGTAGTGGACGTAGTTTCCCAGAGGAGCAGCAATGCACCCACCTGAGTGCAACGTAGTTTCCCAGAGGAGCAGCAATGCACCCACCTGAGTGCATCAACTCCTTCCACCAGCATGTGCAGGTGGTTCAGGGTGGTGATGGAAGCCGTCAGGTGGCGCTTGGCATTGTCCAACTGCTTGATGTCCCGCGTTATCTCCTTCACCTGATGTCGCACGGGAGGGGGGACAACACGAGGTCTCACGTTGCGCACCAAACTATTTCATTGTCTCTGGCTCGAAGACGTGCAGAGGTCACGAAACTGATTCAAAGTTTTTCTCCATCCCAAGTCGAATTCCAAGTTGTTTGTTTTTGCTTTGTCGTCATTCTACGCTGTACGCTGCCGAGTTACGGTAGACTGCTCTTAATTTTACTTTTCCCAAATCCAATTAAGTGCCTACATAAAAAGCGTCTCTTATTAAAGGGTAACTCCGGTCGAAAACGAAACTAAAATAAATTACTGGTATCACTTTAGTGGCACAAAATATGATCACAGCCGAAATATTACATCAAAGTGGAGCCATGTACTCCACTAAAAGCGATTTTAAAGATGCAACCAGCTGCTCTTTAGCAGGCGGCAAGAGGGTTAGTTTCAGTCGAGGAACACTGGCGCAGCACCCTTGCGACGTCACATTGCGGCGGAGCTGCGGTTATTTGGTTGTATCGCGTACCGCAGCACCACGGTGACTTCTAGTCGCAGCCGTATGGCTGATGATCACTGTTGCCATCAGTCTAGCAGATAGCTTCGATTTTGCCGTAGACGACCGAAACCAAATTTTGAGTCATGATATTTATAAAACTACGAGCAATATCGGGAAAAAAATAATCCCTTGTAATTCAGTTGCACTGGCTTAGCTAAAAACAGTCGTAATCCCAAATTAAAAAAATATTGACCTGAGTTGCCACTGACAGGGTATTTATGCTCGCCAAGGTTTTTATTTGTGCATGACATATGAGAGCCCAACTACCCAGAAAACAATTCACGGCTCAAAATTCGTTTCCTTTCTGCCCGAAAACCGCCGATCGAGAACTGGCCGGTTTGTGTCGCGCTCTCTCTTCTCCGTGGTCAATTGCCTTTTTCTATGGTTTTGACACAACCACCAAGTACAATCAAAGTCGTGGGTCATCAAAGGCACACACAGAATATTTAAAATAGAAAAGAAATGTGATACCCATTTTTTGTGGCTTCTAAAAAGCTTCAAATACGGTGACTGAAAACAAAAAAAAAGTTTCACAGTTTCATTTTTTGTGACTTTCACCAACTCTCTCCTTCACTATACTTCTTATTCCTCCCTAGTCCAGTTTCAATTTCGGTTTCGAGCAGTTGCGTTTTTTTTTTTCTTCTCTTTATTACAAATAAAAGTGACGCTGCAGAAAAATATTGATTAGGTAGGAAGAATCATCCGGCAAATCCATCCATGAAGAATAACCCGGCAAAAAATAAAAAATTAATTTTGGGGGGTGTCAGTGTCCCTTTAAGGCACATGGTTGTAAGCAGTTGCAAGTGTGGAAATCGGCCTTTAGGTCTTGAGGAGCGCACTTGGAAGGCTGGGGCTTACCATGTGCTCGGACTTCTCTGCCTTGTCCTTGATATCGCGGATACAGAGGAACAGCTGGTGGATGGCCCTCTGGGCCTCCTCCAGGGACTGCTTCCCCTCGCAGCCCACGTTGCTCTGGCCCCGCACCACCGTCCGGATCTGCTCGTCCAGGCGCCTGGGACAAGCCCCCGTGTCCAATCGCGCGACGTGTCGCCTGCTCGGGCATTTTATGAGCCTGTATTGTGCGTTAGCTCGCGCGCACTGACATACCGTAGGAGACGCCATTGGAGTCAACTTTTGTATAGTCATTGACAAGGTGAGAGGGAGGAGCTTCGGTTACCTTCAAGGCAGGCTTCCTGCCTTTGACAACCCTTCAACGTCTCGTGCACCTCAAGCGCGTGTGCACGTGTGATGGAGGCGAGGCATTTGAAAGACACGCCCTGAAGTTCCCGCTCTGTCAGTGACCACAGGGTTTCCGCTGGTACAGTCACTCAGAGGATAAGAATGTCATCTCCAACGCGGACTCATTGCCTTTTGCCGTGCCTTGGTTGCGCGTCCACGCCCGAGATTCGCGAGACGCCGTTACCGAAGATAGGATGGTTGCAGACGGGACAACTGAAGGAACTTCCTGCTGTTCTCATGCAGTCAGCGACTCCGGTAGTTTTGATGACAGCCTTCCAACTCTAAGAGGTAATAAGAAATGCTGGCAGTCATTCGTTCGTGCTGCGTCACACTCTATAGATAGTTTTCGAGTGATTTTTTTAGAAAATGAATCCTATCCCTAATCAAATCAAAGAGGTAAAGTTGGTAAAGTGGGCGTCTATGACGGCAGAGGTCTCCCGTCACGCCAAGGCGCACTGCGCTGGCTGTGAAACGGATGCTTGGCGGCTCCGAAAACTGGTGTCAGCGTACGAACAGAGCCCATCGCCTCATGTGGGAGAGCGCGTTCGTTGCTCATGGCGGGGTTTCGCTAGCCCCTAAACGGCAGCTTTTCATTGCGTGTAGCGCAGCGAGTACTCTGTCATTTTGGGTCGTATTTGAGCTTCGTCTTTTCCGCGACATCCACTTTCAGATCGATCCGTCGTCAGAGGAAAGTTCGGAGATTACCTTATTTTGGTGTTCATACGCGCAATGACCTCGTCGACGTTGGAAAGCGACTGCTCGGTCGGGAACAGTGTGTTGATGTAGTCCACGGGGTTGAAGTTGGGATTGTCCAGTGGATCAGTGCTGGGTAATACCTGAGCGGGAAATTATCGTCATCAGTGGCACCGGCTGAACGCAATCATTGGGGACCACTGTGTAGTCAACGAAATATTAATTAACGGTACCTCACCTGTTCGATCGCATTCTGGACTTCGGGAGGAAACTTGATGAACGAATTCAGGAGCTCTTCGTCCACGGCAATATCATCGTCTAGTTCTAGCCCCATAGCGTTTGCCATGGTTCGATTTTTTTCTTCGGTGGTACTTCTCTTTCCTTTGCCACCGCCAACTGTTTTTATAAATTATAAATGTTTAATTCATTAGCCTATCGTATGTTTGGTGTATAACCTGTGTCCCTTGCGAGCTAATGTTGTTGACACGCTGCATCTAAATAAAAAGAAATTAGGAAGCACTAGAACCACAATTGTAAAACGTAAACACACAACACACCGTCAATGAAGAGATGAAGACATTACATTTTCGGTTCAGCCCTGTAGAGTATTTTAAGCTAGTAGGTTAACATGTTGTCCTACGTCTGGACCCTATTTGTTGTCGCTGAGTTTCACCATTGTACTATAAAATGCAAAATTCTGCTTCTCATTTTGTTTAAAAGTATTTTTATCAAAACACGCTAATTTATATTGTAGTACGTTTATGTTTTTATGGCATATTTGGCAACCAACAAAATTTCGAAAGAGGGAATGGAGGGAATATTTCTTCACCATAAAAATCTGACAACTACGCCTACCAGTGTAGTTTTCTTTTTACGAAGCATTATGTTCAGGCCTAGCGAAATTAAAACAATTTTTTTTAAATGGACTTTTGCCTATTTGTTTAACACCGTATAGAATAGTCTTTGTTATTAAGTATGACGTTAAATAGCTTCTTACTACACGCGTAAATAACACGATCAATTGATTTTTTTGCAATCAACCGAATCCACTGTACAAAGCCAACCACAGTGAATCCAACAATCCAAAAGGAGCGAGTACTCGCGAGTCGCGGTCGTCGCGGTGTTGACTCGGGCTGTTCTCGCAGTTGTCAACAAACCTAGCTACGCCGCTACGCCTGCTTTGCCCGTTCGATTTCTTCGGAATCCAGCTTTACTCGAGTTCTGCCGTCCCGGGTTCCCTCAGCGAGCAGACATTTAAAGGCAACTTGGCGAGAGAACCAAAGGGAAAAAGAGCAGCCATGGAAGTGGACGAGGCTCCCAACAAAGTGATGGCCGCGTCCGGCACCACGGGCAGTGTCTGCGTGTCCCTGCATCCGCTGGTCATCATGAACATATCGGAGCACTGGACGCGGATCCGGGCCCAGGAGGGCAAGCCACAGCAAGTGATCGGGGCGCTGATCGGCAAGCAGAAAGGCCGCAACATCGACATAATGAACTCGTTCGAACTGCTCTTTGACACCATCGAAGGGAACATCGTAATTGACAAGGACTACTACACCATCAAGGAGCAACAGTTCAAACAGGTACTGCCTGCACGCCTGACCAAACCTAACCGGTGACTTGTAGCGGTGGCGGTTTTTTGCCACTCATAAACGAAGGCGAGACCTGCAGAAATGTGATGGACCAAGTGGTGTTTAAGGTGTCTCAGCCTATCTTCTCAAAGGGCAGGCCAAGTATTGCCTGCCCTTTGAGATTTGAGATATTAAATATTAGTAATATTTATGTTTATTTTGGTTCAGGAGAGCCGTGGCGCCGCAGAAAGGCAAGCAGCCCGTACCACGAAGGCCTGCGGCCTCGCATCCAATGATGATATGATGAGATAGTGTATAGGTGAGGGAGGTGCTGACGATGTTTAAATATGGTTTTGGATGAGGGTGAGCAGATAATAATGTGGATGATGACGGTAGAAGAATTTATCCAGTTTTAGGGCGTTTACAAACTTTAGGAAAGAAAGTGTTATATGTGGCTTGTGTTGACATCACGTCAGCGCCCATTATGGTGGTCTTGATGGTTAGCAGGTGCCTTCTGCAGCATACATTTCGCACTATCAAATTTGTTTCTCTCGATATGAAAAAAAAAGGGATGGCCATGGTGCTACATCGGCAAGTGTAAGCCATATATATGTTTTTCCTTCACCCTCTCCCCCCCCCCCTTTCCCCCATTCTTGCTTATATGCGTGCAGGCACTCGCTCTATGCAACAGTGTCTGAATAATTGGTATAACATCATTAGACGTGAGTCATGAGATATAACTGAAAGCTTGTTGCAAGGTGCTGAACATGTGTGCCAGCCTAATGGTTGTGCACCATTAGGGGTGTTAGAAGTGTGTTTCTTTATTCTAACCTAGCATTCAACATTTAACTAGACATTAACATAAAGCCTTCAATAAGGAGTAAAACAAACATTTTTATTGATCGCTTTGTTAGGTGCTCTTTGAACTCTAAGTAAGGAATTAGTTGACACTAACAGCAACAAACTTCTTCTTTGCAGACAACAGTAATGGCACTTTTACATGATTTCCCGCATCCTGGCCGCATGACTGACTTCAAAAAGTTATAGGTACTAATCAGCGGTAACCTGACGTTCAATTTGTTTTAGAAGTCGATGTCAAAAATTTATCTTAGTGCTGACCACATTGTGCTTGTCACGAGCAAGCTACTTTACTATGTCATGCCCTAGTAGCCTTCCTTTGCTGTGTCTGTTTGTGTCTCAACGGCATTCAGAGAAGACAAGATATTTGCGGGCAACTAGTATTTGGTTTAAATATGTGTGAACCTAGCGCATGTTGCGAGCAGCACAGAAAACTGGGATGTGCAAGACATCGATGCACACAGGGTCCGCTGGCAGCGGGCGGGGAAAAGCCTGCTTACAGACAAACATTGGGGAAAGAGACTACGTCTCCTTTATGTCAGGGAGGTGAAGCAAATTATGACCACTGACATAATTGGTATTGAGAAAAAAATGAGGAAGTGCGACAGGAAGATCGGAAACGGAATGCTGATGAGAGGTCGGGTGTATTTAGCTTGCAGCAACACGTCCTATACTCCGTTTTACCTTACAATGGACTGCAGCGGACACTACGAGCAGTGCCTTGAACGTATCCTGCGACTGCACGTCGCTGTGCCCTTCGTAAATGTCTAGTGGCACTCGCATATGTACTCGATTGGCTTCGTTAGTTCATAGCTTACTCTGCGGTTCATCATATGATGAAACAAAGTATAGTTGTTCGGTTGCTTCTCAGCTTAGTTTTCCATTATTGCACAAATAATTCTTGGTTTTTTTTTTTTTTTTTTTTCTTTTTTTCACAAAATAAAGTTGAGGAGAGACTAGGTACTGACTTCGCAAGTGGTATTTTGATGTTTTTTTGTGTTTTTTAAAAATTGTCTTATCTTGCCAGCAAGATCACCGATGTCTGCCTCAATGCTCTGCTGTTTTAGAGCAGCCGAAATGTCCGAAACGCACAGGCGGATGGTGGACCTTTTCCTCTAGATCATGAGTTCTCAAACTTTTCAGTCTCAAGGAACACCTATCTCTCTTGACTGATAGCTGAAGAGCCGCTCCCAATCTTGTTAATGATGCAGTAAAGCGGGTACAGGAGCCTTTGGGCCTTGTAAACAGTAATGCACTCCCTAGGGCAGTGGTCCTCAACTACTAATGTTTTAGGGGACCCCTTCTGGATCGACGGAAGTAAGGGGGTGCCCCATCCACCGGGGTTGGGGAGAGAAGGGATATTGGAGGATTACAATGACAGAGGTCAACTTTGTAATTCTGTAGCAGAATAATCGGCCCTATTCACTGGACGCACATGGCTTGGTCTATTTAGCTTTGTGGGACAGCCGGCATCACATTAAAAAAGTTAGTGCTCGGCTTGAGCGACGTGTGAGGGCTTGGGCACCCCAAGAAGGCCTCCAGGGCCCCATCTGTGGACCCCAATTTGAGAACTCTCGGGAGTGTTTGATAGTTATGCATCAATGGGAGATCTGCTGAAGTAGGGCTTAAACTTGCAAAACCCTTTGCTAAGGGGCAGGGATGGTCAATGGAAGTTAAGGGAAACCCTGGAGGGCGCTTCGGGGAACCCAGTTTGAGAAAGCATGCTCTAGACCAGTGGTCTCAAACTCATTTGAGCATGGGGGTCAGATAGCTGACAATGGGAAGGCCGGGGGCCAAAGTTAGACGGGGGGGGGGGGGGGGGGGGGGGGGGGATCGAAAGATTTAAAAGAGAAGATACCCCGTGCTCTATGCTTTCTGTAAACTCAGTTTTGCCAGTGCCATTTTTACGTTTGGTTTTGTCTATAAGACTACTCTGGGCCCTGACCTGATGTGATAACAATAATTAAAATGACATTGCCCCGCCAACGTGCTCGCATTTTTAATACAACAAAAGAGGAAGTACACTGGCGTTCCCGTTGCCCAATTCACGCAGGAATTAATGAAGCTCGACATGTCTCCAAAAACAATCAGTTATTTGACAGTTCTTGCTTTCCCGACGATTTCTATCCAACACCCTTACGTGTCTCTCAATGGTGATATTTTTTCTAAGCCGAGAATCTCAAGCTCGTAGCTTTATTTTCGGCAGTTGCTCCTACTGACCTACAGTTTGCGCATCCGAGATGCATCCTTCAACAAAGAGCTCGCCCTTGAAGCCTAGCACTAGAATTGTTGCCATTACAAAAAGCTGGGGAGTAAAAGATTAAGCGAAACAAAGTGCCAATGAATGAAGTAAAAACTATATGTGAACACATTAAAAGAGCGGGGCGACTTTTCAAGCGAAAATAAATCAGTAGGATGAGATCACGATGGCTTGTGCCATTTCTAGCGCTCGAGACATGGGAACATGACTCGTAGCCGGTTTCCTGCGGGCCGCGTCCCAGCGGGCCGCATGCGGCCCGAGGGCTGCGTGTTTGAGACGCCTGCTCTAGACGTACATGGCGTGCAGGTGTTTAGCGATCTGGACTTCCTGGGCTGGTACACAACGGGCGAGGGTCCCACGGAGGGGGACATCGGGGTGCACAAGCAGGTGTGCGGCATCAACGAGAGCCCCGTCCTGCTCAAGCTGAACCCACAGGCCCGCCACACGGAGCTGCCCGTGGCCATGTACGAGTCGGTCATCGACCTGGTCGGGGGACAGGCCACCATGCTCTTCGTCGAGCTGCCCTACACCCTGGCCACTGAGGAGGCCGAGCGCATCGGCCTCGACCACATGGCCCGCATGTCTGCCATGGGGGAGTCCGGCGAGAGCTCCCTGGTAGCACAGCACCTGCAGGTGGGGTTGCCCCGGCGGACGTCCGGACGGTTTCACTGCCCTTTAAGCGGGGACAGCCCTGCACTGCGTCTCCGACTGGTGTGTTTTGTGCGCTCCATCAAAAGTGGTCCCCCAGTGGCAGCAAATGACCTCGGAAAAGTTGATGTGTCATGCCATCAGATGTCGCCATCCCGGTGGTTGGGGCTAGATGTCCCGATAGAAAGTAGGAGTGGATGCGAGTGTCGCTGTCGTCCCAACGACTGACTGCACAAGCTTCGGTGGCCTGCCAAGCTGGAGGGTGAGCTCACAGCAGAACGGGTGTCTTCTGCTGCTCACACCGCTGCAGCCGTGTCACGACCAGTGACAATGTGACACTCCTACGACGTCATTGGGTGGAAATTGAGGGACCACCTTTTAAGATGCGGTAAACGCAGCAGTCGGAGGCGCATTCCAAGCAGCATAGTGGCACCGAATCGGTGATTTCATTTATAATCGCTGGCAAAATGAGAACGGCAAGGAGCAGCTTCGGTTGTCCAGCGCAAGCTTTCTACCTTTCACACCGATTGGGCGTCTCGTGCACCACAAGTGTGCACGTGAACCCAAAGCAGGGCTGAAGGCAAGAAGTGCCTGCTGGAGACCAAAGCGTTCGAAAGACGCACCCTGCCATTCTCAAACTGTTAGTTACCGTTGATACGATTTCATTGTATAAACAACGTGCACTTTCATTTTCATATTACTTTATTTTTTCATTCGTTCCACTAACAGTTGGGTTGTGGAATAATCTAGATGGGCCTGCACACGTGGTTGCTCACAATGGCTTTATTTCGGCAGTTACGCATCTTCCCTTTGCTCATTGCACGATTGTTCTGAATTGTTACGTTCTAGGGTGTCTTTGTTTGTTTTGTTCACCATTGCTTCGTGCTGCTGTATCCTCACTCCTGCAATGAGTTTGAGCGCAGTTGCAGTACGTGCAAATAAATAAATAGAGCAGCGCCAAATAAACCAGCGTAAAGCGAGGAAAAAAAAAGGGGGGGGGGGGAGGGCAAAATAGGCGACGGTTGTCATCTTTTTCCACTCTTGGTGCCGCAACCGTGGCATCACTCCGATTTCTCGGCATGCGACGCAGGCCCAGCACAGCGCCATCAAGATGCTGCACAGCCGGGTGCGCCTGGTGCTGGAGTATGTGCGCTCGGTGTCGGGCGGCACGTTGGCCCCGAACCACGAGGTGCTGCGGGACGCGTTTGGGCTGTGCCACCGGCTGCCCGTGCTGCACACGCGCAGCTTCCAGGCGGACTTCTACAACCAGTGCAACGACGTGGGCCTCATGACCTACCTGGGCACCCTGACCAAGGGCTGCAACACCATCAACCAGTTTGTGAACAAGTTCAACCTGCTCTACGACCGGCAGGGCATGGGCAGGCGCATGGGTCGGGGACTCTTCTTCTGAGGCCGCCTCCTCGTTCGAGGGGGGGCTGTCGCAGAATAAATGCGGAAGCGAAACCGTGCGGCTCCGAGGGCTCCTTCGTCACTCCAAGGGTCTCCGTCGTCATCCCAGGAATGATTAAAGTTTGTGAAGCTCGAGCCGCAGAACCTGGGGATTCTGGGCTCAATTTCTGCCCTTGCTTGTTTCAGTATGGATAAGTGTCGTAGTGGCACGCGTTTGTGCGATTGCTACTGCGTCGTACTGCACTGGCCAAATTGCTGCTTCCCAGCGAAGAACCGGCATTGCCGTGTTTACGACGTCCCAGTTACTTTTCTTCTTTGAGCGAGAAAAGACCGGTTCGGACATTTCGGTCAGTTGCATTCACAGCAACTGAAGCCGACACCGACCGCTGAGCCGCTGTAGTGACTGCTTTGTATATCGAACGGGAACCAGCTTACGACAGAGATGGACGACACGCACTGTTGGGAAGTACATTAAGTGTATTGCACTTAAAGGCAGTTCTAGAAAAATCTCTGAGTATGTACTTGTAGTTTACCTAAAAGTATATTTTTTTGGTACTTTCCGACTTCACGGTACATTCCCCAACTTTTATCTTGTTAAATTTGCATTACAAAATAATGCTTTGCGCACTCTGAGGAAATACCGGAAGGGATATTCTATTCTCGCCAGAAAAGCGAGCAGAGGACGCATCGCTGAGTTTGTAACCCCCCTTGGTGCAAGCGGTGCCGAATTCTGAATTCTGAGCTCATCGTCATGTTAAAACGCTCTATCGTCTTTCGAGACGTTATCTGGTCATTTGGAGTGAAGTAATGGCGACTATGAAACCGATACAAATAGGTGCCTTATAGGTCGATTCTGTTAAGTAGTTCATCATTGAGACTCAAACAACTGCTCTGTGACCACTTGACCTTATCCAATATTCGCTGCCGTTTCCGAAAATAACTGATGCACTTCTGATTACCGCCGGGGCAGTCGCATAGTCAGGGGGAAGTATGTATTATAAAAACATTTATTATGATGCCGCCTTCTGGCCTGAAGGCCTCAGAGTAGGCGGGGGAAAGGTTGAAGAGAAGCTTATGGGGCTTCAGCCCCCTTCCCCCAAAATCCAGCATTGACCTCTCCCCCTCCGCACCCCAAGTCATAAATATTTTAGCCGCCCTCCAAAAAAATTCCTGGATACACCACTGCCCTAAAACAATGCATACCAAAAAAAAAAAAAAAAAAAAAGACACCGATTAGGGTAATGAAAGGGCATCATGAAAGATTGTGTTATAAAGTTTTACTTTAAAAGTAAATTGCATTTATAGTATTTTACTTTGAGTACATTGTGCCCAGTGTAAATATACTACCTGAACTACATGCTTGACCTCTCATATACTTCATACTTCGCTTCAAATGCTTTTTAGATGTACTTCACACAACACTGACGACACAAATATGCCGGGATGAACAGGTGGCTTGTAGGCAGGGTTTGGGGTTTTGGTAGATACCTCGAAAAGCCGGTGTTATCTGGGAAAATCGAAGAACCCAAATTTGAGCTGTCCCTGGATGAAGAGAAATTGAAACTTCATGGGAAGAAATTTTTATGTACAGCTTTAATTTGTGTTGAGTCAGGACTCTGCCCCCGCTGAACCGTCTGCAAGGCTGCTGCTTTCTTCAGGAACCATGCCCTGTTCTCTGAAGGTTCTTGTTTCCTTCAACATGAGCCCCGTTAAAAGCCAGTGATTGTCCGACATGGAAAATTCACACTGAAAAACACCAAATCTTCAAGGAAAACTAATCCTCCATAACATGGAGTCCTATAAATCAAGAACAGGGCAAGCTGGTGTCATAGAGTTATTATAATGGCTGGTGAGTCTTGGACACTGTTGCAATTCATGACTGATCTCATGTGTTTTGTTAAAATGACAGCTTGTGAATTTTTATAAAAAATTTAGCCAGCAAGCTAAGTTAAACTACTAAATAACCCTTGTCATTTATAGAGAAAAGCATACCTCCAAAATGTGCGTGCTAAAAAAAAAAAAAAAGTGGTTGCATGTTTATGCAATTTCAGCTGTTTTGCGTGAATCGGGAAAGTGCAAACGGGTGGTGGTGGTCACGCTGGTGGTGGTAGTCTGCGCGTGGTCAGGCATTTAGTCAGTCGAACGTGGTCGTCTACCAAGTTGACCAACGTTTTCAAGATAACATCAAAATTAATGAACCATATCCTTGAATTTAGGTGAGAAAGCCGACGAAGCTACCGCCCTGGAACTTAAATTTAACGAGCCACCCCTTGATTAAAGTAAAGGCCCATTCACACACTTGCAACCGAGCACACCCGAGAGAGACAAGACCTCTTAAAATTTCTTAAAACGAGAGAACACGCTGGCGCCATCTATGCGGTGACTCTGGAACTGCATTTCACAAGAGCGAAGGTTTTGCGAGATTTTCGAGGCCAAAGGTGCTTAATACCTTGGCGAAAGGCTCGTTTATAACGTTGACAAAAGTTTTTTCCTGCCAAGAAAGAAAGGATAATGCGCGAAAAAAATATAAAATATGGCAGACCGCCAAGTTTACACTGCTACCCGATAGATGGCGCCAATCTATTGGGAACAATGGGTTTCGGAAACAAAGAAGGTTGGAGGACAATATATTTTCTCTAACACAGTGTATAGAATAGCGCAAAAAGAAAACAGACAGCTCTGGCTGGCATTTCTGGATATCAAGGGTGTGTATGACAATGCGAACCAAAGGAACCTGTGGGACATAGTGGAGAGCTTAAACCTAGATGAGGGACTAACAGCAATATTAAGGAACATTTACAAAGATAATAGGATGATTATAACATGGGAAGGAAAGACAATGAGGAAAATAGAGATAAGACGAGGCCTTAGGCATGGGGTGCCCGTTGTCGCCTTTGCGGTTTATGTTGTATCTGAGAGGATTGGAGGATAGACTAGAGAAGAGTGGGCTTGGGATTCGACCTTTCATAAAGTAAGCTAGGCAAAAAAATTCAGCAATCCTTACCGGGATTGATGTATGCGGATGATATTGTACTAATGTAATAGCTAACAACAGGACAGAGCTGCAGGAATTAATGAGCCTCTGTGGTAGGGAAGGAGAGGAATTAGGTTTAGAATTCAGTAGTGAAAAATCAGCAGTCATGATTTTTAACGATGATGAAGTTGAGAGGCTGAAGATACAGAATATTACAGTTGAGAGAGCTAGTAAATACAAGCATCTAGGAGGGGAGGCACTCACTTGATCGAATGACGTTTTAGCGAACGCCCACGTTTCATCGAACGACACTTTAGCGAATAGTCGGACGCCGCGAAGCGGCGTTTTCGGGTGGGCCAAGTGAGTTCATATTTTTGTAATGAGTTGCCGTAGACTGTCGCCGCGAAGCGGCGTAAAGCGCAGTGCGACGGATGGGTTAACGCGCGCCCCCGTTATTCGCTAAAACGACCATTCGCTCAAATGTCGCCGTTCGCTAAAATGTCATTCGCTCTTGTGATATGGACCCCACCTAGGAGTATGGATATGTGATGGTGCAGAATATCTCAGTGAGCATGAAAAGTATATAATAGGTAAGGGCAACAGAAATGCAGCTGTAATGAAAAATAGAGCACTTTGGAATCACAACAGGTGACGTGGTGGGAGAGATTTGGAAAGGGATCATGGTGACTGGCTTGACTTTTGGAAACGCAGATATATGCATGAAATCCGAAGTGCATGCAAGACTAGAAATAAAACAGCGCGGAGTAGGTAGGCTGGCTTTGGGGACACATTGCAAAACGCCAAACCAGGGAGTACAAGGAGACATGGGATGGGCGTCATTTGAGAGCAGGGAAGCGGTGAGCAAGATAGAATTTGAGGATCGGTTGAGGCAAATGGATGGGGAGCAATGGGCACGAAAGGTTTTCAGCTATTTATACATGAGGAGTATAGACACAAAGTGGAGACAGCGCACTAGGAAATTAAGAGGAAAATTTTTAGGTTATAGTGAAGACGCGGAAGAACAAGTCTCAGTTAAGAAGAAAGTTAAGGCCACAGAAAGAGATTGGTGGCTAGAGGGAATGCAGACAAAGACGGCTCTGGAAAGCTACAGATTAAACAAAACAGTTATTGCCAAAGAAAGCATTTATGACAATTCTAGGGGAAGCTCATTGTTGTTTGAGGCGAGGACGGGTGTTCTGCGAACCAGAACATACAGAGCGAAGTACCAGCGGCACCAGCGGTACCAGGAGATGGATACAGTGTGCACGTGGTGTGCACTGCTTGTGGAGAAGAGGACGAGACGGCTGAGCCAGCTGAGCACTTGATACTCTACTGTAAAGGGCTTCACCCTATGCCTACCGAAGACAACATAGATTTAATAAAGTCATTGGGTTTTAGAGACCGCGAAGGAAGAGTGGATTTCAAAACAGTAGAGATTACCAAGCAAAGATTAAGTGAATGGCGGCAGAAAGCGAGAAAAAACTATGTATTGTCTTATTAGCTGATGGCAAGGAGGTTTGATAGCCTCACTTTCTTTTCAGTGCGAAGTGAATATAGTTTTCACATTTAAATATTCTAAGCTTAAATGGTAAAACAAAATGGCTAGGTGGCGTGAGCTACCGCCCGATCCAAAGGGCTCAGCCGGATTCATTTATCCACCCACCCGGCTTTACTCACAACAACTACCTCGTTGTTTACTCAAGACACTCAAGCAGTGTTGCCAGATTGGGCTATATATAACCAAATTGGGCTACATTTTTTTCTAGTTGGCGTCAAAATTTCGCGTTTGGCTATGTGGCTATTTTTGGGCTATTTCTAAGGGTGCGGCGAACTCTTGACGAACCTCAGGTTCGACGTCGAACTTTGAGGTTCGACTAGTTATTTTTCAAACTTCTAAAGGTTTTCCCGCTCATTTTAATCCAAGCGACGACCAATTTAATCCCGGGGTCACTCAATTTAATCCAAGCGCCATACAATTTAATCCATGCGCCACACAATTTAATCCCGGGGTCAGTCAATTTAATCCACAATATATATATGGACTTATTGTGTTCAGTGGTCGTGTTTTGCTTACACATTTGGTAACTTAGAATATTTGTTTATACAATTTGAATTTTTGGGGGGCAATTGAGAATTTGATCACTAATGTGATTACTTTGAGTTACTAGTCTCACTACTGACGAGGCTTAATTGATATGTTGGTTACTCTTTTTACAGCGCAGCTCTTAGGCACCCGTTTCCGGCTTAAGCGGCGTCGGCGTCGCCGACGCCGTCGGCGTAACCACGCGGTGCATGATGGGCAAATTCCCCCGCTAAATTTAGCGGAAAATTTCCCCGCTAAATCTAGCGGAAAATTTTCCCTGCTAAATCTAGCGGAACATTTTCCCCGCTAAATTTAGCGAAAAATTTTCCCCGCTAAATCTAGCAGAAAATTCTTCCCGCTATATTTAGCGGAAAATTTTCCCCGCTAAATCTAGCGGAAAATTTTCCCAGCTAGATCTATTGGAAAATTTGCCCCGCAAAGTCGAGCGGAAAAGCTTCCCCGCTAAATCTAGCGGAAAATTTTTCCCGCTAAATCTAGCGGAATATTTTTACTGCTAAATCTAGCGGAACATTTTCCCCGCTAAATTTAGCAGAAAATTTTCCCCGCTCTATCTAGCGGAAAATATTCCCCGCTATATTTAGTGGAATATTTCCCCCGCTAAATCTAGCGGAAAATTTTCCCAGCTAGATTTATCGGAAAATTTGCGCCGCAAAATCTAGCGGAAAAGCTTCCCCGCTAAATCTAGCTGAAAAATTTTAAGCTAAATCTAGCGGAATGTTTTTCCTGCTAAATCTAGCAGAACATTGTAATTTAGCGGACAATTTTGTCCGCTAAATCAAGCGGAAAAATTTTTCCCGCTATATTTAGCGGAAAATTTCCCCCGCTAAATCTAGCGGAAAATTTTCCCCGCTAAATCTAGCGGAAAATTTTCCCAGCTAGATTTATTGGAAAATTTGCCCCGCAAAGTCGAGCGGAAAAGCTTCCCCGCTATATCCAGCTGAAAATTTTTAATCTAAATCTAGCGGAATGTTTTTCCTGCTAAATCTAGCAGAACATTGTCCCGCTAAATTTAGCGGTAAATTTTCTCCACTAAATCTAGCGGAAAATTTTTCCCGCTATATTTAGTGGAAAATTTCCCCCGCTAAATGTAGCGGAAAATCTTCCCAGCTAGATTTAGCGGGGAAAACTTTCCGCTAGATTTAGCGGGGAAAACTTTCCGCTAGATTTAGCGGGAACATTTTCCCGCTAATTGTAGTGGAAACATTTTACACTAGATTTAGCAGGGCAAATTTTCCGCTAGGCTTAGCGGGGAAAATTGTCCGCTAAATCTAGCTGGGAAATTTTTCCGCTAGATTTAGCGGGGAAAATTTTCCGCTAGGTTTAGCGGTAAAATTTTTTTACTAGATTTAGCGAGAAATCTTTTCCGCTAGACTTTGCTGGGCAAATTTTTCACTAAATCTAGCTGGGAAAATTTTCCGCTAGATTTAGCGGGGAAAACTTTCCGCTAGATTTAGCGGGAAAAAATTTTCCGCTAAATTTAGTGGGAAAAATTTTACACTAGATTTAGCTGGGAAAATTTTCCGCAAGACAGCGGGAAAACTTTTCCGCTAAATCTAGCTGGTAAATTGTTCCGCTAGATTTAGCGGGGAAAAGTTTCCGCTAGATTTAGCGGGAAAAATTTTCCACTAGATTTAGCGGGGAAACGTTTCCGCTAGCCTTTGCGGGGCAAATTTTTCGCTAAATCTAGCTGGGAAAATTTTCCGCTAGATTTAGCGGGGAAAACATTCCGCTAGGTTTAGCGGGAAAAAAGTTTCCGCTGAATTTAGCGGGAAAAAGTTTACACTAGATTTAGCGGGGACACTTTTCTGCTAGACTTAGCGGGGAAAATATTCCACTAGAATCTGCGGGGCAAATGTTTCGTTAAATCTAGCTGGGAATATTTTTCGATAGATTTAGCAGGAAAAGTTTTCCGCTAGATTTAGCAGGGAAATTTTTCCGCTAAATTTAGCGGGGGAATTTACCCATCATTCACCGCGTGGTTACGCCGACGGCGGCGGCGACGCCGGCGCCGCTTAAGTTGGAAACGGGTGCCTAAGAGCTGCGCTCTAAAAAGAGTAACCAACATATCAGTTAAGCCTCGTCAATAGTGGGACTAGTAACTCAAAGTAATCACATTAGTGATCAAATTCTCAATTGCCCCCCAAAAATTCTAATTGTATAAACAATTGTTTTAAGTTACCAAATGTGTAAGCGAAACACGACCACTGAACACCCCCAATGAGCGCATATATATATATATATATATATTGTGGATTAAATGGACTGACCCCGGGATTAAATTGTGTGGCGCATGGATTAAGTATGGCGCTTGGATTAAATTGAGTGACCCCGGGATTAAATTGGTCGTCGCTTGTACTAAAATGAGCGGGAAAACCTGTAGTCAGTTTCGAAAAAAAAAATTGTTTCTCTTTTGGCTAGTTGAGAGGAGAGAGAGGAAGGAGAATGGCTTCAAACTTCTACAAACGTCGGGGTTTTCACAATGCGCAGAGAAGCAGTGCTAGCAGAGTTCAAGCGGTCTCCCCACAGCGCAGTGAAGCAAATCAAACAAACAAATTGCACTGTTTTTACAGGTCCAGCTGCGCGTCTTCTACCCGGACGTAGACTGAACTCTCCAAACGCAGCTTTGGTGCCCATTGCGAAAATTCTTAGGGATCGCTAACTTTAAGAAAAGAAACACAATCAAAAATAGCGTGAACCGGAACGGGGGACGCTCATATTCTACACAAAGAAAAATAGACGGGTGGGTTATTGGTAAGAACCTTACATATAAGGGGTGCTGGTTTGAAACTCCCAGTTCTGACTGTTCTGCTCTTGCATTCTGTTCTTTTACTGTATCGTTATATCTCCCGGGCCTCACAATACAGCTGTCCATGTATGTTTTCTATTTCTGAAATCCTACAAAGGATGTGTAATTAATTGTTTCAGAAATTTTCATCCTTCTGAAGCATTTTTTTTTATATATTAGGGGACCTAATGCACACAAAAAGTGGCTCATCAGAAGGTTGAAAAAGAGAATTTAATATGTTTTTTGCGCGTATGAAAAATTGTCAATAAAAGGCTTAAAAATCGTTCTTTCTAGTCTTGGCTATTTTGGGCTATATTTATTTTATGGCTTTGGCTATATTTGGGCTATACCTCTAAGCCGTTTGGCGGTTTTTCGGTGGGACCATCTGGCAACACTGCACTCAAGGCAGGCAGCAGGCCCAGCAGGCCCACAGTGGGGCAGGCTACTCAAGGCATTCGGTTGACTCAAGCTGCTCAAGCACTCAAGGTAACTCAAGGCACTCGGTCGACTCGGTTCCAAGCCGCGCGCATTACTTCCGCCTTCGCGCGCTTTCCCCTTTCAGGTTATGTCACAACACATGGAAATGCCTTCTGCGCTTCCGTTCCACTTGCATACGTGAAGATCCATCCCGTGTCCCTGAAGGCTGAAAGTGGCCCGATTGTCGCATTATCCGTCTAGACTAGTCGCGACCGGCCACTAGCGCCCTATTTACGACTCGTCAGCTGTTTGAGTGGGTTTTCCACTCCTCTCCACAAGGCGCTCGTGACTCGACTGACGCGACCATCACAACGACCACAACACGCCCCCCACTCAGAGCCCCACTGGCTTCGGCACTCTTCGCTCGACTCGTCCGCATCGCCACCCCGAACATGCCTTCCTGCAACGGTGCACTGGCGACTTTCAGCCGAGGACCGCACACTCTGCGAGTCCCGCGGGAACTCCACGCGGTCAACCGCCAGCGACTCTGCGAGCAGCTGCGCCGCCAGACCGGGCAGGGCGCCTTCGTGGTGCTCCAGGGCGGAGAGTCCCCGACGCGCTACTGCTCCGACTTCGAGCCCGTGTTCCGTCAGGAGTCCTACTTCCACTGGGTCTTCGGCGTCGAGGAGCCGGACTGCTTCGGCGCGCTCGACGTTGAACGCGGGAAGGCCGTCGTGTTCGTGCCCAAGCTGCCCGAGAGCTACGCGGTCTGGATGGGCAAGCTGCACACCTGCGAACACCTCGCCGCCAAGTACGCCGTCGACGAGGTCCTGTACGTAGACGAGCTCGCCGACGCCCTGCGGACGCGAGGCGCGCAGACGCTGCTCACGCTGCGCGGGCGGAACAGCGACAGCGGGCGCATGAGTAAGGAGGCCCACTTCCCGGGCATCGAGGGCTTCAAGGTGGACTCGATGACGCTCTACGAGACCATAGCCGAGCTGCGGGTCTTCAAGACCCCGCAGGAGCTGGAGGTGATACGCTACACGAATAAGGTACGTGAGCACCGTGCGGTTCTTATCGGAGTGGTTTGTTTGTTTTGCGAGGAAATGAGATAAAACTGGGTGGAATGTCGGGCGTTGAATTATTCGGCAAAAAATGGGTACTCCACACTTCTAATAATAATACTAATCAGGCACGTAGCCAGGATTTTGTTTCGGGGGGGGGGGGGGGGGGGGGGAAGGAAGGGGAAGGAAGGAAGGAAGGAAGAAAGGAGAAGGAGAGGGGAGAGACAGGAATTCCCAGCAAAATGGCAGATTTCGAGGGGGGGCCCGGGCGCATGGGCCTCCCCCCTGGCTACGTGCCTGATATTAATATTTTATAGAAATAGAAGATAAAAAAACAAAAAAAAAACCTCTCATACTAAAAGTGATATGCAAAGACGTTATCTTGATTCAGGCAGACCCATTGGCGGATCCAAGGGGGGGGGGGGGGGGGCGACCGCCCCTCCTTCCCCCCCCCAAAGTCGACCCCCTCCCTCCCCCAAACAAAGTTGACCCCCCTCCCGCCCCCCTTCTCGGAGGGCAATTTGACATGGGTGGACCCCCCTTGCACAAGAAAAAAATGAGAGAATAGTATCCTTAAAAATTTTCGGCCCCCCCCCCCCCCCCCCCCCGAGTTCTGGATCTGCCCCTGGGGGGGGAGACCTAACATAAGATTGCTCGAGATCTCTCTCAGTAAGGTTTTGGGTGTTCAATATTGCTTGCCAAGATGAAAACATTCACATTTAAAGTCATAAAAATATTTTGGAGGTGCTCATCTCATTCGCAAGAACCACGTTTGACTTCCCAGTCTTCGTCTTGTAAAATTGTGTTTGCAGATATATACGTGCTGTAGCAAACACTTCAATAAAGGCCGATACAAGATTTCATAGATTTGAAAACTTAAATTCCAGCAGGGAGGCCAGCAGAAAACTTTGCAAAGTTGTTTGCCACAAATGCATTCTTCAACTTATTGCCGGTTTGGGGTCAACTGATTAGTGAATTCTATCTGGCAAATCTCTTGAACTTGATCAGAAGTAATCAGGCCAGTTACACTGGGTTTGCTAGGGAACACACCTATTGTTCTTGTGTATGGGGGGTAGGAGGCGGTCATTTTTAGTGGCATGCCAGGGCCGTATAATTTTGCTCCGCAGGTCCCGATGCGGGCCGTCAGTTGGAGACCCCTGTTTTACACCATCAAATCTCAACGCCATCTCATTCACTCGACGCCATATTTGAGTGCGCTGCTTAGAGCACATACTCAGAATGAGCTCATATTAATGGGTAGCGAAGGCCGGCAATCTCTATAGTGTGGAATAAACATCGTAAAAAAGCTGGAAGCTTGCCGTCAGCAAGTGCTCTGCAGTCACGCACACCGCTATAGCGACAAGTGCATACTCTCTGTACTTCCCTCTGGACATTTATTCTACTTCCCAGTGTCCTTGGAGTATCTGGTGGCCATCCACAGAAAGGAAGAGCGTCTGGGGCCAGGTTAACCCCCCCTCCCCTCCCCCCCCCCCCCCCCCTTTTCCCATGCAGGTGAGCAGCGACGCCCACAAGGAGGTGATGCGCCGCGTGCGCCCTGGGATGTTCGAGTACCAGCTCGAGTCAGTCTTCCTGAGCTGGTGCTACGGGACCGGGGGAGCCCGCCATGTGTCGTACACCTGCATCTGCGGCAGCGGCACCAACAGCGCCGTGCTCCACTACGGCCACGCAGGGGCTCCGAATGATCGTGCCCTGCAGGATGGCGACATGTGCCTCTTCGACATGGGTTGCGAGTACTACTGCTACACCTCCGACATCACCTGTTCGTTCCCAGCCAACGGTCGCTTCACGGACCGACCAGCGCGGCATCTACAACGCTGTGCTGGCGGCGAGCACCGCGGTCCTGGCCGCGCTCCGGCCCGGAGTGCTCTGGCCAGACATGCACCGGCTTGCTGAGCGGATAATGCTGGCCGCCCTGAGGGACATGGGGTTGCTCCGGGGCAACCTGGACTCCATGATGGAGGCCCGGCTTGGTGCCACCTTTATGCCACACGGTCTGGGCCACTTCATGGGCCTAGACACGCACGACGTGGGCGGCTACCTCAGCAAGGACCCGCCGCGGCCGACAGAGGCGGGGCTCAAGTGTCTGCGCACGGCACGCGCGTTGCAAGCGGGTATGGTGATCACGGTGGAGCCCGGCTGCTACTTCATTGAGTGCCTCCTGGACCAGGCATTGGAGAGCCCCACGCTCTCGCAGTTTCTGGTCCCTGAAGAGCTGAAAAGGTTCCGGCACTTCGGGGGCGTGCGCATCGAAGACGACGTGCTCATCACCCAGGACGGACACGAGAACCTGACCCAAGTGCCACGGACGGTCGAGGACATCGAGGCCCTGATGGCAGAGGGCAGAGAGGCCGCCTGATGCTGGGCTCTTAACTCCTTAAAGGGGAGGGGCTTAATGCCATGGATGAATGATCTATTGGCTATTGCTCTATATCTTTAACTATTGGGAATTTGTTTTCCTTTTTTTTTTTGTTGTTGGAAGCTTGTCATTGAGACTGGTCAATTCTGCGGCTGTACCTGAAACCGGTTGAAAAGAATGACACCTGCTTGCTTTCTGCGAATGAGGGGATGTTCTTCGATGTACGGCCTGCAAAATAAATATTTTTGTATTTTATCTCTAGAAATGATTAAAGATTAAAACAGCGCAAAGACAAGAACAAGAAGGTAGACAAACAAGGCGCTGACTTACAACTGAAGTTTATTCGTTCTAACAGCGAGTATAAATGCTGTACTGTCGCAACAAACAAACATGAATAAAAAGCTTGACCTGGATGCCACGTGCTCCCTAGCCATCGCTATGCACTGTCACTGTGTCTAAATAGGAACGTTCCTTATCTGATAAAGATAGTGACGGAGTGCTGACGCAGTTTTGCCCCAATCTTCCAATTTCCCGCGCCTCAATGATTCCCCGAGTGAGTTTGTCTTTATTTTTCCTAATCACTTCACACTTGTCAAGGACGGGAGCGCAGCAACAGTCTCGGCAGTGCAAGCCAAGGTGACCTGACACAACTCTAAACACGTTATACTTGTGCTCCCGCAGCCGATCATTGAGGCATCGCCCCGTTTGCCCGACGTATCTCCTGCCACACGAGAGGGGAATAGAGTACACTACTCCCTCCACACAGTCTACGAATTGGTCCTGGTGTTTTTTGGTGCAACCCCGCTTTTCTTTAGAACAGGAGTTCACTTTTCTGCACAGCCCAGATAGCTTCTCCGGAGCCAAAAAAACCACATCAACTCCAACCCTACGGCCAACTTTCTTAAGGTTGTGAGATATCTTATGCAGGTATGGTAAAACAGTTACTTTTTTGTTAACCCTACGATCCTGCTGGGTAGTTTCCTCACGCCCTTTGTTAAAGGGGCCCTGCAATCATATTTAAGCGTGTACCTTTTATGCGGTTTCCACGTCTCTTGGGGTTCGGGCAAGCCAGCGGGCACGGAAAGAGTAGCTAAATATCAGTGCGCCATATTTTAACCGGACGACACGGAAACCTCCTCCAACGACGAGGGCGACCCGCGGTACCGAAAGCGCGCAAAATGTGACGTCTTTGGTCCTGGGCTTACTACTGGCCAGAGCCACTAAAAACTTCTTTTTGGTCGAAATACAAAATATAAGTGGCGCGAACCGTTTCAATTATTTATAAAAGTAGTTTTTGTTCAGTATCTTAGATCGGAAAAGAAACGAATGCACTTTATGAAGTACGGAAACAAGAAATGACCCGTCAACATACCCGCCGCCAAGCGGTGGAAAAGGCGGCGCATACTAGAAAGGAGTAGTGGGATAAGGCGCCGACACGGAAAAATCCCGGATGTGCGCGGTGGCGCTGCAGTCGTATGGACAGGAGGATCCGACCGGCCCCGAGCGTTCCGAAGGCCTTCGGCGAGAGGCTTTGTCTTGCGGTTTGGCCGTTTCGCGGTATGGCAGCGCGAAGTGGGCTCCAATTCTGAACTGATTTTTACCCCGTGTTTGCTGTCGTTTGTGGCCAATGAAGTGTCATGCCGAATTAGTGTTTAATCGCGCAGCAAACGCAATGAAAGCCGCTTTGGCTGCCCGCTGCATACAGCCTATCCAGAACATGCTTTAGTGGCGCCCTCTGGCGCCGTCGAAACGGGGTGCGGCGGCCGTGAGCGCTCGATAAGCTCACTATTCCTCCTCTAGTTCACGGCCACTCAAGCCAGGACCTACGACGTCATGAAGGAGGTTATTTTTTGCTTGATTTTGTAATTCTGAATTGCCTATATAACTTTTAAAATAAAGCGAATTTCGCGAAAAGAAAAGTTTCACTAAGTTACTACGTTCAGTGCGCTCAGGTTCGGTGCAAATTAAAAAACAGTAAAAAGTCCTTGCAGGGCCCCACTTTAAGTAAGCTCTCAGCAACTGTCGTCAACAGGTAAGACGGATATCCCGCATGTCTGAGCCTTGCCGCTTGTGTGTTGAAGCTTTCTTTCACCCTGTGGGGGCAGGACTTGAACAGGGCATTTCTAAAACAGAGGTTAACAATTCCTCTTTTCACAAGTTTGGTATGCGCTGAGGAAAAAGGCAAGATGGGTTTCTTTGCTCTTGGCTCATATATCCAGAACACATGGCCATGACCAAGTTGCAGGCTCAGGTCCAGAAACCTAATGGCCCCATTTACAGGTACTTCATGCGTCAGCACCAGCGGTTTCAGACACTCTTTGAACGTTGACAGGACAAACGACACAGCCGAATCAATTTCCTCATTGTCACAATCTAGGAGCACCAAATAGCCGTCTACGAATCTAAAACATTTCCCCATCTTGGTTCCTTCCAGCTTGCCTGACAGGACTTTATCGTGGAACGCAAGAAATATATCGCTAAGTACTGGGGCTATACATGACCCCATGCACACGCCATTTCTCTGAATACAAACACCGTCATTCCAGATCGCGAACGTCGACTTGAGATAAAAAGATAAAAGTTCTAGAAAGTGACTCACACTAAGTCCAGATTCATTCTGAAACGCCACGGTACCATGATTGTCAATACATTCTTCCACAGAAGCCAACAGCTCTTTATGGGGAATCGAATAGTACAAATCTGTAATGTCAATTGAGCAAACCAACAAGCTTCGGTCTGGATGGTCTTTAAAAAAATCTATCATCTCATCAGAATTCTTCACCGAAAGGGATCATCAATCATTAACATATTTAGTACTGTTTGCAAAAATGAAGCCACAGATTTTTGCCATGTCCCTTTCTCCGACACAATCGCGCGTAGCGCGGACAGTTAATCTTGTGAGTTTTGGCAGAAAAAAATAAATCTAAACCTAAGCATTTGCCCTTATCAATCGCTTGGCCCAGTTTATCTAGGCTTAGCTGTTTGCAAAGGCTACGTGCTTCAGTTTTCACCTTCGAAAGTGACACGTCATCCCTGCGCTTAAACGTGGCCGTTATGGCGTCTGACGCTTTAGACATAACCATCCCCTTAGGCACCACTACGAAGCCTCCCTCTTTATCCGCTGGTAATAAAGACAGGGAATTTTCTTTTAAATAGGCGACAGTGCTTTTCAGCGGGACCTTGGATCCCGAGGGCTTGCAATGTGACAACACGTCCACGCCTTCAAATATACATCTGTCGACTTCAGACTCTGGAACTCTGGAGTCTGAAGTCAAGGTCATAAGCCAATTCAGACAAGGTCATAAGCCGCGCCAAACTGCAGATAAATTCGTGAAGCCGCAATCTGACACATACCAGCTTAGTTTAGAAGCCACGCAAAAAGCCAGGCAAAACGGCAAGTAAATGAATCCAAAGGAGGCTGCCGCGCGTCAGTTTCGATCAATGCCACCCCATGGTGCTGCATGCCTGCGTGCAGGCAGGCAGAAGGAATCTGCTGTAAAAGGATATATTCACTTGGGCTAGTTGGTGGTAGATTTCAGGATTAAAGGCGCTAAAAAACGAGGAGCAGTAAGAGAAGACACACACACAGTAGAGTGCACTTGCAACTGAGGTTTAATCTGACTTAAACCAAACAAGTGGCGTACCAACTTGTTTTTGAGTGGGGGGGGGGGGGGGCAAATTAGATCCCCCCTCAGGGCTGGGGGGCGGTGCCCTTGGTATCCCTTGGGCGCCGCCGGGCAGTGTTTGCCCTGCACAGTGACGGCTGTTTCAGGAAGGGCAAAACGCATGCCTTGCCCCCTTGCCCCCCCCCCCCCCCCCCCCCCGGTTGGTACGCCTATGAATGATTTGAGCGAATCGACGTTTTAGCGAATAATGGGGGTGCGCGTTAACCCAATACCTCCTAACCCATCCGCCTAGGGAGGCTACATCCGCCCAGAGCCGTATTTGCATCCGCCGCGCTGCGCTTACGCTAAGGCCCCTGTATACGGTTAGCTTACGCCGCTTCGCGGTGACAGTCTGCGGCGGCTCATTACAAAAATGTTAACCCATTTGGCTTGCCCGAAAACGCCGCTTCGCGGCGTCCGGCTATTCGCTAAAGTGTCATTTGGTGAAACGTGGGCGTTCGCTAAAACGCCATTCGATCAAGTGAGTACGTGGTGAGTACCACGTAGTGCGAGTACCTCCCGTGACTCCCGTGATGAAACTAGTAGTAGTAGTTTCTTGAGGGGTCGTATGGAGTGAAACCGCGAGCGTAGTGCAGCAGGAAAAAGCCACAAAAAATAAAGATTTTGTACTACTGATTTGATTGCCATAAACGTCTAGTAGAAAAAAAGAAAGAAAAAAAAACGCGCAATTTTGTTGTTATAGTCGGTTACAAGTCAAGAAGGTAGGAGAAGTTCCTCCCACAAGCGTGATGCGCCCGTTTCAAATTTCTCCGCAGTCGAAAGAAGAGTTCCCTGGAAACGCTCCTTGTTCCGCTTCAATGGATTCCAACTTGTCTCCGATCCCACTTTTTAAGAAAGCGACCTTTGTATTCATCGGGGGGGAAGCTAATCCCCGAAGGTCATATTTGTTTCCGTCGGTGGGGGGAACTCTAATCTCCCTCTCGTGGCTTCCACAATGCTAAGTCGAAGTTGAAAGATAAAGCAAAGATGTACAGAAAGGCAAGACCCTCCTCGCGCGTTGGCCGCGACGTCACGGAAACGGTGGGACGCTATTGGATGCGGAGGTGGCGGAGGGATATCTGATTCCCTTTGAGGGGCATTTGCCGCTACCTTCTTAACCTGTAACCGACTATAGTGGACACGTGGTGGACACTGGATCAAGTTCATTTCTGGGCTGCGAGTTTCGTAAGTTACAAATACAGTAGTCAGAGTAAAAGTAAAACGCTGCCCAGAGGTATACCTACGGCTTCACGCACATTGTACTCGCAAAACACATCCACACGGCGCCGAAGCGAATCTTGATCGGTATCCCAGCGTGCGAAGGTACAGAGACGCAGCACTTCGGCTACTTCGGCGTGCCAAGGAAACTTTGACCCCGCCGCGAAACCAGCAAAACTTGCTTTCGACGAGTTGTACCTTTTTTCTGCAGCGCTGCACTTTCGTAAAATGTTCCACGTGCTCACAACGGCAAGTCTCAACGGTTACACAACCTTAAAAAACCTTCTATGGCGAATGACGATGAACAAGTAGAAAACGCGTCTATAGCACGCTGGAAAACCGCAGCACAACGCTAGCAAGACCGCAAATCGTCTACGAGCAAGATGGCCGTCCAGTGGCTTCACTCGCGCTGCAGCGAACACATAGAGATCATTGAGATCAGTCAGAGCCATATATGTAGAGAGTTTGGCCATTCGTTGGGAAGTACAGGAGACAAATGCGGAGGCGCCATTGGCCGAAAGCGGGCTGGGCGTGTTCCAGGGCGTCTTCAGAAATTCGAATGTGACCAACCAGAAGCCGGAAATAATACCCTGGCGGTGGTCGCGAGAAACAAACCTAATAACTGCATTGAAGTAACTCTCGATGGCTGAAAATATGGTACACGTGATGTTGCAATCACGTTCATCCAAAATGGTGGTGGAAGAGTGCGACTAGCGGAACGATCGACATAATCCGTACGCCAAGCGCCGAGGGCCGGGAGTCTGTCGTCCGAGCGGTCACACTCTGTCCGCGCAAAACAGAGTCGAGCGGCGCATTCGTTTCTTACATCTTTCTGCATGATCATGATCAAAACAAACACGTGCGCCCTATTTTCAACCACGAAGAGTTACTATACTTCACTCTTACGCGCTTATTAAAACCATATACAAACATATATCTTTGATCAGAACTGTTTGCCGCTACCACCGCTAGGGGATTCTTTTCGGCTTCTGGTTGGTCAAGAGAGCGTGCCAAGCCCTCTTTCCAAATCTGACGCACGTCCTCCCATTGACCAAACTCTCTACATATACGGCTCTGAGATCAGTGTACTGCGTTAAGGGCGTTAAGCATATGCTAAAACACTCAGTTGGGAAACTTGCCGTCGAAACCTGGGCCGCTGGCGTCCACCGAGACCGAGCTAAATGCGACAACAGCGCCACTCTTTATCGTTTGTCTGTACTGTGGTCACCTTGAGCTTTTTGAAAGCCTGTTTTCGCGTAAAAACAAACGGAAAAGACTCTTTTTGTATGAAATTTATTGGAGTTTAGTACAAAAAGAGGGGCGCGTTATGTTTTTAAAATCTTTAGGTTGCAGGGTTTTGCGGCACAATTAATATTGTTTTTATACAACCATGCCTCAGCGGGGCTTTCAGGTAGCGCGTCCCGACTTAGGTACATTTTAACTTCGGTAGTTCGACGCGGCGCCAGCGGCGCGTCCGCCGGGGAGATGGGGGTGGCACCCATAGAGTTATTACAATAAACGCTAGCAGCTCAGCTGGCGCTAGTGTCTATGGGACTTCCGGTTGCAAATTGGAGCAGACAGCATGCAGTCTACTTTTCCAGTCTTCCTGTGTATTCCTATGGGAAAACCCGCGTGAATTTTGTCTCGTCGCCGGAAAATAACATTAATAACTTTGTTACTTCGTTTGTATTGGGTAGTATGTACCTTTATTGATATTGTGAAAGTGTAATTGCTTAGTTACAGCATTTTTCCTTTACCACCGAACGATTCTAATTACTTCGCTATATTTCAGGCCCAAACCTGTGTTCCATGGCAGGTATGTAGAAACGAGCGATGATTCTAAGCAAAATAACGATCGAAAGGAATGTAGAGTGTGTTCAAAGTTAGCCGCATTCCGTTGGTGCTACATTGCTAATATGCCTGTCCTCTCACTATATGAAAATGACCCCGTCGTGTATCTCTACGAGCGGTTAAAAGAAACGTTCGAAACGTAAAGAATAAAGTACGTGGGCTACGAAAGGTGTGTTTTCTTATTATTTCCTATGTTGGGCAGTTTTTGTCGCGCACCTGTCCTCTGGCTTCCCCCTATTTGCAAAGATTTGGAGCGTGCGGGTGATGATTTGAAAACAGAACAAGCATCTTCGCACATATTCATGAGCAGAAAGAATAAAAATCGGACTATATATTACGTGACTTTCAACTTATTTTGATCGTCTGCAAGCACAAGGAGTTGCTTACCCAGTGTTACTAGTAGTTTTTGCCGTCTCTCTTGGTTTTCCACATGTCGTTCGTTCGTTTGGCACGAAAGCGTCAACGCCGTGTTCGCGCTAACAGTGTCCGACAGTGCACATAAATACACGTACGAAGCGGTTTTAACACCGTTTTTAATGCCACGAATTTCAAATAAAAATGCTGTAACTGACCAATTATTTCGTCTGCGTGACTGAGAAATGTTCCAATGTGCCTAGTACGTACAAATTATTCGTGATATTAGCTCTTATAATCGAGCGCAGAGATAAAATGCACTCGCTTTTTCCCATAGTCAACAACGAATAAAATGATATGTAATAAAGTTTTCCTTTTTGTTCCTTAAAAATATTTGTAAAAAAAAAAAAAAAAAACACAAAAAAACGTAACCTTGAAGAAGCGCGGGTGCGGTCGAGTCCTCAACCCAGCAGACCCACGAAGAAACACAGCAGGCCGTACGTTAGGGAGTGATTTTTTTGTTTTGTTTGTTTATTCTAGTATGGTACACGGGTTGACCTCCTTTCCACACCGGCCTGTACAAAACGTTTTCTTCTCATTCCGAGCGAGGAGTAGGGAGAGAGGGGAAGACGGTGCACGAAGCATATCACAAGTGGTCCGGGGTACAGGAACAAGCGTCGAAACACTCATCGTCGCCATCGATGGGCGGCACCTCTCACAGCCGCCTGACGCCAACTTTCACCTTTCCACCGTTGGGGGGCGGGCGCGAGTTCTGAGGCCATTCGAGAAATACCGCCGTAGGCTTAACACCGCGGGACACCGTATATACGGCGTTTCCTTGAAATTTTCCTAACGCTCGCAAGGCTTTCTACACGGGCTGTTGTTTCGTGTATTAGACGCAGCCTAATGCATAAGCTCGATCGTCAAGGGCGGGCTCTTCGAAACGGTTCTACTACGCCGCAGTGTCTTCCTTACTTCTGCAGCCACAGAAGGGACAAAAAAACAAACAAAAAAACTAGAGAACAACAAGAACGGTCAACTATACACAGTGAGCGAAAGTTATAACATCCCTACGTTCAAGAAACAAAGTAACGCGTATGTATAGTCTTTAAAAATGACTTTTTATCTCTTAGTTAAATAGGCGGGAGTGGTAAATGAAATGATAACGATGGTGCCGTTCTGGCAAGTACTTTTTCTTCGGATTGTAGAGAGGATGTCAACTGCGCGCGTTGTCTGCTTCAGCCGTTTCGCCAGTTTCGGTTCTGACCTGAATTCCTCTTCGGATCGGCCATCATGTTGATCAGTTTCGCTTTACATTTTATTCACGAAGAAAAAGTAATTACCGAACGAGAAGTGTTCAGATAAAACAAAGTATTAGAGGAAGGAGGAGGAAAAAAAAAAAAAAAAAAAAAAAAAAAAAAACGGATGTGCATGTGCGTAGAGGGGTGACACGAAATCAAAATGTCGAAACAAAACACCAAACCATCCTACCGGCAGTTGCGTATTTCACCGTCTGCTATTCCGCGACAGATAGTCGGCAATACCTTTTTGTACACACAATCCTCAAGCTTGAGAGTCTTTCCACAACTCGTCGGCACTCACACGGTAAAAGAAAACAAAAAACGATGATCAAGGAAAATTAAGAACGGATAAAGAAAATTTCTAAACATGCACTAAGATCGGAGGTCACACGCACTATGCAGTTGTTCATGTTTTCGCACGATTGGTGCTTTTTCTCCTTAGGTTCCCTGGGCTTTTAGTTTTTCTTCTTTAGCATCTCGGGACTGACTGTAAGGGGGGAAGGGAGACAAAGGAGAGAAGAGAAAACAAAACGAAACCGAAATGAAGAAAACGAACTCAAAAACTAAAAGGTTAACAAATGTGCAGATAAACCAAAATCGCTACACTAAACGAAAAACTTAAGGGGGGAAATAAAGCAGAACTGAACAGAAAGAATATTTCGAGACCGGCACGAACCGTAGTAAGAACAGTCCGCCTCCTGGCGGATCATTATCAATTTCCCCCTTTATGTAGATATATATTGCTGCATTTTAGATACATTTATTTTATCAAGACATACGCGTTTTAAACGCACAAAAAGCATTGCTTCTTCCTCCCAAAACCAAATCTCGCAAGAACTATTTCTCGCAACGTATAAAATGAACAATGCGCGACTTTTTTTTTTTTTTCTGCAGGTGTGCGGTTTACATATCTGCCTGGTACCTTACCTTTGTAGCATGAAGCAGCGGAGCAGGATCAGTAAAATAATGATAAGAGTTGGCAGGATTGTACTTGATCCTGTGGTTTGAACCCGAGTAGCGTGCAGCACAGTGCCACCACAGAAGAGAACCCCAAACCTGAAGCCCTACTTTCCAAGAGGATGCTTTTCAAGCAATGTCGCTCTGTGCTCGCTTGCTATTGAAGTTCAAACATTTCCTAAAACCACTTCGAAGTTTAGCCCATACAGACTCAAACTTTGGCACACTACAGGGTGTCACAAAAGAAAATTTACACGGTCTCTTTTATCGCAAAAATAAACTAAGCATCGCCGAACGCTCATTCTCCGCCCAAAAGTAGAGCTAGAAGTTACAACCAGATGCCAAAGTTTCAGCCCGATCCGATAAGTTAATCAAAAGTTATAAGTGATTTTCTGAAAATTTCAGTGGAAAAATGGAGCCCATTTTTGCCCGTTTTCGGTTTCTGGTGCCGTAGTGTGAAAACTCCGTCGGTCGCCATTTTCCCATTGAAATTTTCAGAAAATGACTTATAACTTTTGATTAACTTATCGGATCGGGCTGAAACTTTGGCATCTGGTTGTGACCTCTAGCGCAACCTTCGGGCGGAGAATAAGCGTTCGGTGATGCCTAGTTTGATTTTGCGGTAAGAAAAGACTAAATTTTCTTTTGTGACACCCTGTACTTGAATCTACACTATATGTTGAGTCAACTAGCAAATGGCTGCACAACCATATTGCGACGCTTCTCTTTGCACAATTGGTTTGCAGCATAATGTTTCATTGGGCTTCACCTGGCATTTCTGGCTGAACTGTGATGGCAAGCTTTGTCGGTGGCATACTCCTAAAGTGTACATTATTATCAGGTCACATCTGCATCCTTTAATCTTAAGCCTGCTTGACCATGAAACACCATCTAACAAAGAAAATCGCCAACATGCTTCTCGGAAGACTTGCTCACATTGTTGTTTTAAACATCTGGTGCAATCCCCAACTGCACAATATGTCCAGGTCTTCCAATGAAAAGGAGCAAGTACTCAATAACGAATGTGAGTGGCCGATTTCAAGCGCTGCCCTTCAGACCTTTCCTCGCGACCTTCATATAGCTGAGGCAGTTGCTTCCTTGACAATTTGCTTCAGGAAAGCACCCTGGGACACGCTGAAAACAGCCACTCAAAATCGTAAAAAAAAAAAAAAAATTTGCACGAATGAGAGCGAGGCGGTGTAGAAAGGAAGGCACAGTATGTACGACCACATCATATCCCAGCATTTTCGGTGCTGTAGGGCACCATTCAAAGGCCAGCAAAAAAGCCAATCCTCACAGAAAACAAGCCAAGCCAATATACAAGCTGCAGTGAGCAATGTTGCCCGACTCTATATAACTAAAGTAGTGTTTTGCTTCCACCATCTGTTGTGCTGCAACAATACAATCACTTGCACCGCATCAAGTGACCACTCTGTGCTGGTCACCCCATGAGCATCTAAAGAGCCTAGATTGAAGAAAGGGTCCATCTCAAAGCATGGAGAGCATTTGCAATTTAATGCAGACACCTCCTGTGCCAATCGGTCGTAAGTGTGCAATATGTCGTATGGCGAGGAGGAAGGCAGGCGTGAAGGCAGAGACGCTTCCAGATGGCCCGTGCATTGGTCACCTCCTTCCAGCTCGTATTGCAAATGCCCATAAACCAAGCGGTTGGAAACTCTTTAATATAGGCTCTATCCACGTCGGTCAACTCCGTCCTAAGCCTGTGCCCCACTAAGCAAACATTACTACAAACCCTACCGACACTTTAGCAGCAGTGCCCGTTTGAAAAAAAGTTAATGTGTTACTGGTTCGAGTCACCCAAGTATTACAACGCTGCCAAGGTGCTTTTGTCATGGCTGCAAGTATGCAAGGTGTCCATGATGCATCCTAGCGCTGTAAAGCAAGCTAGAAAAATTGGCATTCAGACATAGAAAGGTATAACTTCCACCAAACGTGACTTTAGGTTGTGTGTTTTACCCATTGAAATCTCGAGGCATAGCTCCCTTCCCATTAAAAATGAGATAGGCCCAGCGAGCATACAATGCATTCTGTTGTCGACTTGCTGTGCTTGTCGGGATAGGTGCGAAAAGCTCTAGTAAAAGGTCTATACCTCGAAATTTTACCCAAATGCACATTAGGCGAGAGTTTTCCATATGCAGGCACCATATTTTCCAACTCCTACAGCACTAGGATCCATTGCGGACACCCTATAGAATGTTTGCCTAGTGGGAGACTGCTACTAGCAACACTCGTAAATTTGTGTGGACAAAACTTTCTCAGGCCGACATAATGTGATCGTACTAGGTGCACCCAAACGTGCAGCACTTCCGCCGGTCCCAAACCCCCTGGAACAGCTTGACAAACACAAAACCCAAACGAAGCAGAACCGAAGCCTTAGCCAGAGAAGGGGGCAGTGCAGTCGCATGCAAAGCAAACGAGGCAGCCACCCAAGGCCCGAGGAAATGAAGCGGGGCAAAAATAAAAAAAAAACAAGGGCCCAGGGAGGAATGTGAGCCCCCTCCCAGGGGGTTGTTATACCTGGTGTTGCCATGCAACTGGTCTCTGAAGGGGACCTGAAGGGACGCAAATGGGGTGCGGGCTGCCCTGCTGTTAGGAACAATCAGAACGGGCAACACTTCAAGGGCTGGCCACCAAGCCTTTTGCAAACACACACAAAACCGCTACTGCATGCAATGCCTACTAACCACACCTAGGAACAACTTTTACGAGGCAACGCAGTCCAAGTTATGGACAGGTGTTCTTTGCTGCTGCAAAAAACTGCCCAGAAGTACAGAAGTGGAACAGCATATTCGGTGGCTGCCTAATATATCTCGCTCCCTGCTTTTGTTAGTGCTACGGACATGCACTGAAAATATGGGGAACTTGTTAGACAATCTTGCTAAAATTAGCTTTTCTGTTCTTCAAAATAACTGATATCCAAACAAAAATACATAAAACAAACAAAACAAAAAACATCACCTCAAACAAGGGCAAGTTACAAGTTGCTCGAAAGAAAAAAGTTTTAAATTTGCCTTCTGCATTCAAACAATGCAAAAAAAAAAAAAAAAAAAAAAAAGAAAAGCTTGAAATACAATACTATTGCCTGCATTAGTTCTGCCTGTCAGCTAATAAGCTGAAATTATCCAGACAGCAATGCACAACTTTCTCGAGTCCGAATACAATTGTTGCGTTCGCTCAGATCCCCCATCTTGTGAGACAAAGGTATTGTGCAGTTACAAGTGAAGCATGGAATGCAACTTCAATGAAGATGAGGCTTGTGCTGTTATGCCTTTCTCTCCCCGAGAGCAAATTTCGAAGAACCGATAGTCGTTTACCAAGCAAACAACATTTGCAACGCGGGTGTCGTGTGAACCTCGAATGACCCTTCGTGCAAGGAAAAACAAGTTCTCAAGTTAGTGCAAAATTCATCTCACCCATGCACCCATCATCTCGCGCTCCCGTTACGCAGCGATTAAAGGGACATTGACAACCCCTCAAAAAGCTTTTATTAAATTTTGCGATAGGCGATTTAATATGGTGCGAGGAGACTAGCCAATCAGTATTTTGCTACAAAATCGCACATGGTTTTAATAACGCCAAAAAGCTAAATTCTCGAAACCAAACCACGAGCACGGAAGCTCATGGTCAGAAGTCACGTGGCTACACCCAACCACACTATTTTGTTTCCTCCGCTTCTCCAGCGTGTGAAGTAGACGACAAGTTGCATGCACCATTTGTCATGCTTTTTCTAATATTGGATATGTGCCTTGGATGACACACGACTGAATATATTTGGTACACATAGTTTGAACGCTACATGACCATGGAAAGGGCGAGTGCAACTGAAACCGGCCAATTTTCTACCATCTTTATTTAGGCGGAAACCAAACGAATTTCGAGCCACAAATTGTGTTCTGGATAGTTGGGTAGTTCCGGGCAGTGTTCAAATAGAAAGCTAGGCGAGCACAAATACCCTGTCAGTGTCCCTTTAGGCTACGACAGCTCAGGTGCTTCCCCACATGCATCCCAAACTAAAATATGCCAACTATGCACAAACAAAACAAAACCCGGGAGCAACCCCCGACATTTGGTTGCACAGAACCTTCGAGCAGCAGTAGAAAACCGTCTGCACCGACGTTAGGACAGCAGAAGGGACGACAAAACCACAAAGACAGATGCATCACTCGACGCAACACGTGCAAACGCAGAACTGTGCGGGGTTTCTTTTGGTGTTCCGTCGCAACAGAAAAAAGGGACTAGGGCGTTGCAACGTCCTTCCACACACACAGACACACCACTCGCAAGGAAGCTGGACAAGAAAAAAAACGAGAGACCAGTCGTGACATCACCCTTTCACTTCACCCTCCCCCACGTTTATTGGCGTCACTCTCCGGAAATGCAGCAGTGTCCGTAGCTTTCCGATTTTTTCTCGACTGTCACCACGGCACATTCTTGCCCCACAACCACCAGAGCCCAACTCAATTCTTCGTACCACGCAAAAAAAAAAAAAAAAAAAAAAAAAATAGACACGAACCTACGACGCAGGGCGAGAGAACCGAAACGGGATTAACAGGGGACGACCGACGAGACACCAAAACAGAAAACAACAGGTCTCGAGGAAGAACGAAAAGAGTGCTCGCTCCCCGCCGCAAACGGAACAACCTATGTACAACCTCCAAGAGGAATTGGAAGAGGCCGAAGACCGCGTCCGATCCAAAATGGGAGAGAAAGACTTTGTCGGCTTCCGAGCTTCTGGGACTAAAATGCACTAAAGACTCCTGGCGGCGGTGGCGCGTGCGAGAACAGAGAAAAACAGACTTCGTAATTTCCCTCAGTTCCCCCCTACGAGATTCCCTCTTCCATGAAACTCGTCTTCTGCACCTCTTCGGGAGTTGCGGAGAGGCCCCGAACGTTTTGTCGCGCTATTCCGCGGAAGCTCTGAGCCTTTCCGATCGCCCGAGGCTATCTCCTAGAACCTCTATCGGCCAAAGGGGATCGCGAGCGGCCCGGGATCTGCCGACGCGCGGCTCCCAGCCTTCCACACACACGCACGCAAGCGGCGTTAATATTAGAGTGGAAAAACAAGACAGCAAAACCGTCTCTACGCCACTAGCTACTGCAAGTCCGCTTGTTTAGGGGTGGGGGGAGGGGCACGGCCCCGGCGGGCGGGAAGGGGGGCCTTCTTCGGGGCGTGGACTCGGGGGGGTTGTGGTTGCCGGGGGGGAGCGGAGTCGTCTTCTTTTTTGGGAGGAGTCGTTAGAAGGGGGAGCAGAGCACATAGGCCAGGAATCCCACCCAGGTGCCCAGCAGGATGGAGAGCTCAAAGTAATATTGTGTACCGTCGATGAACTTGCGGGCAATGAACTTCATCGTCTCGTCGAGAATGATGACCGGAATGGACATCTTTAGGACCGCCATCCACTCGCCCACCGACAGCGGACACACTGAGAACACCGTCTGCGGGGAGAGAGAAAAGGATTAGAGGCACCCCAAAAGTATCTAAATGGATGCAACCTCGCACCCCTGGGTACCACCGAGGAGGTCGAGGAGTGGTCCTGCATACTCACGTTGAGGATGTCGCAGTAGAGGACGACAAAGTGGAGGGTCATGGAAAGGGTCATGGCTGCCACCAGCCAGATGTTGGTCCAGGGGGGCATCACCAGAAGGGACTGGTTTTCGGACAAGCTGCGGGAGAGGAGGCCCACGTCAGTACGGCCAGGCGACGCCGTGCCGCTGACCCTCCAACTCTCCATCGCGTGTCCGCGGCTCTCTCCTATGGCACCCGGTGCCAACGGAGCGAATAGAGGAATGCAAGCACCGAGGGATCGAAGCTCGCACTGGAACAACCTCGACCGCGCCACTGACGTAGTGTGCATCGGTGAAAGGCTACGACCCGAGCTACGACTTCCTCCGAAGCCTTTGTCGTAGACCACGTGTGAATCTCTAATCGGTTCTTTCAGAACGGCAAAAAGGAAACAAAAATGTGCTTTTATAAAGTGCTAGCACGTTCATTCGATAAAAGAGCTCTTGGATATTACAGTGACTTATATAACATTTTGCAAATTGTTCCTTTCAGACAACCAGGCAGTTAACTTCAATGGCACATGACCGTTGACAGCTGTTTTCAGCATTCTCCGGACAGGGAAGCAAGGACGCACGCCAATCAGTCGCAGTGACCCCCCCCCCCCCCCCCCCCCAACTATCGGTCTCTTTCTGGATTGCAGTCGTAGGGGGGATTTCCCAGTAGAAGTTTCGACACGCTACGGAGAAGTACCTGTTGAGGGCGTTGAGCATTTCGATGGTGACCAGCACGGACAGAGCCATGGTCATGGGGTGGGGGTCGTGGAAGACGGCGCAGTCCACCCCGCGGAAGTTCTCCTTGTCCGTCACACACGACAGGTGGTGCGTCAGCTGGTAGTAGTTGAGGTGGGGCCCCGAAGGGCACACCATGTACCACCAGACGGCCGCACCCACCGTGGCAGCACCCACGTAGCCCCCAATGGCCATGTACCGGAAAAACAGCCAGCCTGTACCCGCAGGGGAGCAAATGGGTCAGCCAAATGCTGTCGTCATGCAGCCCGAGAGCATTCGGTACAAAATTTTAAAATTTCACCATGGCCTCTCTGCCCCTGCTGAGTAAAAGAGAGGAAGGGAATATTCGCTGGCTCCGAGATGCCAACAATGAAGTCACGACACGTTCAACAGATATAACAGGAAAAGGATAGGTTTGCAGCATGCCCTGCCCAATGTTTTGCGAAATAGCGACAGCTTTCTTCGCATCCTGCACAATTTCAGTGCTATGACAAAATTCAGGAGACAAAAAAGCTACTACTGGGCCGTTCCAAGCTCGGTACTTTTCAGAAAGTGCACCGGCTTCCCTTCAAAGCGACGGTGATGAGAGTATGGCTGCCAAGATTGGTACAGAAGTCGGGGGGAGACCCACCCGAGATGAGGGACTCGTCCGCCTTGCGGGGCGGCCTCTCCATGATGTCCAGGTCCGGGGGGTTGAAGCCCAGGGCGGTGGCCGGCAGGCCGTCCGTCACCAGGTTCACCCAGAGCAGCTGTACGGGGATCAGGGCCTCCGGAAGACCCAGGGCCGCCGTCAGGAAGATGCTGACCACCTCCCCAATGTTGGACGAGATCAGGTAGCGGATGAACTGCTTCATGTTGTTGTAGATGGCCCGACCCTCCTCCACCGCCGACACGATCGAAGAGAAGTTGTCGTCCGCCAGCACCATCTCGGAGGCCGACTTGGCCACCGCCGTGCCCGAGCCCATGGCAATGCCAATCTCCGCCTTCTTCAGCGCCGGCGCGTCGTTCACGCCGTCGCCCGTCTGCATGCATCATCGAGGCCATTGAGCGCACGCACCGATAACCAAACATCTCGCGACGCATACCCCCGCGGACCACAATACGAGCCAAAACACCCTGTCCGGCCTTCTTTTTGCGTCTGCGGTCCCCGCAAGCTTCGTTACAGAATTCAGAAAAAGTCCCGATGCTTTCTCTCGAAGAGCAAGACGTGAAAATAGAGAAATACGTGAGTGGCACAATAAATTGCATTACTGACAATCCGGCTCCAAATTTCCGTTACAGGTCTGCGTCTACAGGGAGTATACATTTGGAGCCATATATGTGTATTCCGTAGTTAAGGGCATGCTGGCAGCGAAGGCTCACCAGACTAATTTACCACTCTCAAAACTGTTGCTTACACAAGTTGCTTTACCCGCACTTCATTTCAATGACGGCATTCGAATAGTTTCTACAGCAGCGCTTTTCCCATTTGAAATCGAGGTTCATCCACGACATAGAGTTAATATAATAATCTAGAGGGGAAAGGTCCCATGCATTCCGGCTCCTTCGAAACAACGGGGCATGGGCGTGGACATCAGTGGTCCCAATAGGACCATATTGCTACCAACATTGCTATAAACGAAGGAGTAGGAAAAAAGCACTTGTAATGTCTGTATCTATCATTTTTCTAGCTTTATTTTGCACAAAAACACTGGGGTCGTGCATTTGATAAAAATGAATAAAGTTGACGAGCCTCGCAACTTCGACTCGCCGCGGCAAAACGAACGCACCTAACCTTTCGCCTGCTTTCTTCGATCTTCTGCCACTCTCTTTCGCATTCTTTCTTTCTCGAGACCACCAATGTCTGTGCTTACGACTTGCCGCCTTCTACTCCCGTCATTACCCCACTGGACTACGGCCCCATTGTAGGCGGGCCTCGCACGACCCGCAAGAGGCCGGCGCAGAGAGAGTGACCCTCACCATGGCAGAGATCTCTCCGTCTGCCTGCAGGAACTCCACGATCTTGCTCTTGTGGGCGGGCTCCACACGGGAGAAGAGCCGAGCCCTCTGGACGGCCCTGCGCTGCTCCTCGATTGGGAGGTCGTCAAACTCCCGGCCCGAGTAGGACATGCCCGTGGTGTCCTCATCCTCGGTGAAGACGCCGATGCGCCGGCAGATGGCCTCCGCCGTGCCCTTGTTGTCGCCCGTGATGACGATCACCCGGATGCCCGCCGCCCGGCAGCGCTGGATCGAGTCGAAGACCTCCTTGCGCGGGGGGTCCAGCATGCCCACCACCCCCACGAAGGTCAGTCCCACCTGCAGATGGGCGGTTAAGGCAGATGGCTGAAGCACACGACAGCTGAAACGCACGAGAGCTGAAGCAGAAGCCAACGGAAGTAGAAGGCAACTGAAGCAGACAACAGCTGAAGCAGGGACTTTTTGAGGCTTGCTGGGGTTCTCTCGGACGAAAAAGTTTGGGAACCCCTGGGCTAAATCAATTAAGTGCAACCAATGCCCTGTGACTTTGTGCATTTGTGTATTCAAAGTTATATGCATTCGACCCTTCGACTGTACTCTGTTCTCAGATGAAAAGAACTATGAGGCGAGTAAACATGTTGCGAAATACATATTTGCACCCTTTTCCTTTCTGTCTGCTTGTCTAAATATTAAATTCGACCAATATTAAAAACAATTGTGAAAAAAGTTTATCTCAGCAAAATTGTCATTTTGGTGCAAGATGTAGCAAACTTTCGTTCATGGTGCAATTTGACACAAATGGCAAGCAATTTCATAATTTAAAGCAATAAATAATGGCAATAAGGATGCCTGACTTTAGAGCTGCAGACATGTTGCACTTTCACACCTCTAAGCGCATATGTTCAGCCAGAGAAGATCTTGCCTTCATACAGGATCTAGGGCCGCACACACAAGTTAAATTTACATTTCTGTAGTGGCATGAACTGAATCCTGCAGCACTCCCAACCGGCAAGAGCAGCCGTAACAAATATAAATTCATGGAAAAAAAAAATGGATAGGCTGTGGGTAGGACGCAGCTGCAAGTTTTAGACGTGACGATGTCTTGTGCCGTATATCGCGAAATGAAATGAATGAAGGAAATGTAACAGATCTATTTGTAAGTCACGGAATAACAGAATGAAACCCAAGTATCAAACACATGCTAGACGTGTCGCAAGACGGTGGAACGGGTGACGTCATGTCAGTGTCGGACGCACTATAATCGTGCATATATCTCGAACGGATGGACATATCTCTATTCTTTCACCATCAAGTTTAGCTTGACGAGATTTACCTATGCTTGACATTTCAGCAATATGCATTTAACAGGAACGGAGACAGAGGCCTCGACGGTAAATCTTAGGCTCAAATTTCAACTTTCATGGGGGAATTAGTAATGCAGTACTGTCGCAGGTTATACGTTAGCACCTACTATAGAGTGTATGTCTATTCAGCTTTGAAGTGATACCAGAAACAAATCAATCAAACGCTGCTAGCAACAGCGAGTTGAACTGGGCCGAGCAAGCACTCGGATGCCCACCGAAAGCGCTGTTTCACCCCGCGCCTGTGCGGGAGGGAATGAATGGGTATGTTTCAAACGAGCGAGGCATCGAGCTAAGGATGGTAGCTAGGTACATAACGACGTGAAGACAATTGCGGTTTATAGTCACAGAGCAGTAGGCTGCTATACAGTCGAATCTCGTTAATTCATACTCTCTTAATTCAAACTTGCAGATAATTCAAACTAACATCAGGTCCCATCCTATGCACCTCTATGGGAGAAAGCTCCTGGTAATTCAAACTCTGCTTTATTCAAACATATTTTCGGTCCCCCTCAAGTTTGAATTAACGAGATTCGACTGTAGTGAAGTCTGTTTGCGTTGCACAATGTTCACATTCAAATATGTGCGTAAGAAAACACTCCAAGAAATGCTGCATCTTTGCTTTTGGCACTTGGAGACCCCAGCCACGCCTCAGCCAGAAGTGGCCCCAGTAACCCCGCTTCCCCGTCCGGCATGTACCCTTCCCCACTGAGCAAACCCCCGACAAAAGAGGGAGGGCGCCCACCTCATAGGTGGCAAACTTGTTAGAGTCCCCGAGGTCCATCTCCTCGGGTTTGGGCGGCGTGTCCAGGGTGGCCAGGGCGAGGCAGCGCAGCGTGTCCCTGCCCGTGCCGTAGGCCTTGGTCAGGTCCAGGATGCGCTGCTTCATCATCTGGGGCATGGCCAGCTTCTTGTCCCCCACCCGGCAGTGGGTGCACCGCTCCAGCACACCCTCAGGGGCACCCTGAAACGCGGGGCATGGGCGTCAGCTCCCGAAGCGCTCCAGGACAATCTGTTCCAGCAACGGCTTAATGCTGGTTCACACATCTTCATTTTGACCAACGGCACTATGTCTCTCCCCTCTGCACCTCGTTGTTCGCACCAACGGGCTGCTGAAGGGAGGGATGTTGGCGTTTGCGGCCCAATTTAGCGGTTTCCACTTTTTGCGCCACTGCAGACAAATTTAACTGTCTCTACGCTTGACAACAAAGATTTTAAGATTAACCATCATTAAAAACAAACTGATCCCCCGCCAAACCAGGACTGTTTGTACTGTTCGAACATCCCTCTCTCCGTCCGCTGTGAAGCCGACGTTGCGGCGCCGTATAGGAAAACCGGGATTTGTTCCTCGTGGAAATACTGCTTTATGCTGGCAGCTCATCAAAGATGCAATTGCAGCTTTTATCGCGCACATGACATGCTGCAACTTAGAAAAGACACAATTCCTCGTACTCAGTAACGTTTTTAGGTACATCATACCAGGTGTCGCACGCTTCTGTCATCATCATACCGGCTGGCCGTGTACTGCCTCATAACCGACCGAGCCAAAACGATCGATACCCCTCAGTGTATTTTGACAAACTAGCGCGCAGGCATAAATTCAAAGAGTGCACATCCTTATTGAAGCTACGGTGGACGGAATATCTCTTGGAACGGTGCTTTCAGCCCCGTACCGGTCAAAAGCAGTCCCAGAGCGACAGCAAATTATGCCGCGAGAGCCGGCACGTCACGCTGCCGGACATTGTGATTCTGGCAGTCGGTCGTAGCGGACAAGTTCTGGCAAAAAAGATGCGCGAATGCAATGGTCGCAGTCATCGCAGCGTGCCGACCCCTGGCCGTCGCAGGTTCCGCGAACTGTCCGACTGCGGACCAGCCTACGGCAGAACGGGCATCTGCCACGCGAATCTCTGCTGCAATGCCACTACCAGGATCGCAACAGGAAACGGCGCAACACTTTTGCGACATCGCCGTGTAGAAATAAAAAAATGGCCGCATCTCCACGTGGTGAATGATGTTGATTGGGGCGAAGTTCTGGTGGTGCTGATGATACTGATTTTATTGTTCATAGATAATGCTGTAGGTGCTGATTTTTTTTTTTTTTTTTATTGCTCATAGGTAGTGTTGAGTTCTGGGTTGCGTTTCGACTTCATTATTACTGCTTTATGGTCGGTGAAATGCACAGCCAGTGGTTCTTCTAGCGGATCAGCTTGGATCTGCTAGAAGGCGGGGGGAACGCATCTCCACCGCTTAAGTCAACGGTCCATGTCAGAAAGAGAATGTGTGGTATGAAACGTGGTTATATATGCATTTGACCGCAGCGCCCTCTCGTCTATAAACGTTGAGCCAATGCATGCAAGGTTTAACGCGATTATATACGCATTTGACCGCAGCGCCCTCTCCTGCATAGACGTTGAGTGGCTACATGCAACGTTTCATCCATGACAGAAACCTTAGCTCTTGGGTAACTACCACATCTCAGAGCCCCCTACTCGTCCCGCAGTCGTGGCCGAGTGGTTAAGGTGATGGACTAGAAATCCATTGAGGTCCCCCCCACAGGTTTGAATCCTGTCGACAGCACAAACATTTTTTTCTTTTTATGTGAGCACAGACGCAGGCCGGCCAGCCGGACGGACGGACAAGGCTAGACCCTAAGGAGCTTCGCCCCTAGAAAACCAGAAACGATGATGGGGTAAATGCAGCGGTCGAAAATGCGCTCTGGACGCCAGACCAAAACCCACCTTGACAAACATCTTGGGTCCGTTTCCGAGGCGGGTGTTGGCGGCCGCCCGCGTCGGGTTGCAGAAGGAGCTCATGGACTTGCGGTCACGAGAGAACTCCAGCGTAAACTCCTTCTTCCACATGGCCTGGACGCCGTGGTTCACAGTCAGGGCTGCGTCCCGCCTCGACTTGCCGCTCTTGTCGAAGCCGAAGGGGTTCATCTTCTCCGCCAGCACCGTCAGGGCTGTCTCCGTGGCCTCCCCGACCTTCTCAAAGGCTTGCTTGTACTGCAGGTGGACGAGAGGAAAAACACGTACGGCAAATGGCTAGGCAATTGTGTTGCATACGTGAAACATTATTGCATCACAAACGCTTAGCGATAACTTCCTGATGCCAGACTCTTACATTCACGGCACCCTTCATCGGATTGTTTCATGCGTACCATCTGTATGCTTGACAGTTGTCCCTAGAGTTAAGCGATACTACCGTTAATCGGGCTGACGCAACTAACTAACCCGCCAGAACAGACAACAAACATAAGAATGATTGCGAAACTTCCGAGTACTATCAGTGTGACGCAAAATCAAATCGAATAGTATGTTATCTGAGGTGATTATCTTAAGTTCTGAAACCCCGCACAAGCATATCGTAACAATCCGGCAAGGTGGCGAGGCCCGAGCTATTCATTTTCAATATTATTGAAGCAATAAATTTCTGGCACAAATTCCTCAAAGTTTTGGTAAAATGTAGGGGGACGCAGGCAGGGTAAGCCCTTTGGCACATATGGCGCAGGTGCAAAAGGCACAGCAATCACATCATGGAAATATGCAAGCAGCAGTGTACAAAAGCAAGCGAAGGTGCAGCAATATGAATGTAAAGAATGATTGTCTGGTTGCTTGAATTCCAGTCGCATATCCTCAAAAAGGCAGTTTTTTCGTGACCAGCATTCAAATTCCTATCAACTTTGCTGTACTTGTTTTCTGACAATAATTATTGTAAAGCACAACGGTACAATGACGATTTCTGGGGGGTTGACTTGTTTTCAACAACCCGCTAAAAAGCATTCAGCATTAATTTATCACGGACAATTAAGGCAGAATACTTGTTTCCATGAAGGCAAACAACTGGCCCTACATTCCAACATGGTAACAGTTAATCGGAGACACTCGAGCGAAAGGTGCAAAGAGGCGCAGGGGTTCCTCACAACGAGAAGGAGGGTACTCCTCCCAGTTTCCCAGGATCAATGTAGACCGGGCCAGGCACGAGATTGCAACCCACCTCATTGAAGTCAATACTGGAGTCATTGCACATGCAGCAGATCGTGGTCAACTCGTGAAGAGCCTCGTAGTTGGCGCAGTTGGCCTTGGCACCATTCTTGAACCTGGGGGAGGTGTCGGAGCAATGCGGTTAACAGGCGCCGAGAAAAACTATGAGTTCTAAAGGGCACGCTCAGAGAAGCTGCGGAATTTCTGCGTTTCGAGCCGACGCAACATCCCGCATTGCTTTTTGATACCTATCTTTCCCACACTATCTCAGTTATGAGAGCCACAAGAAAAGAGCGTTCAAGTTCTAAATTCGAGACACTCGGTTTACGGGCACCAGTAGGTGGTTAAAGCGGAGGTCAGTGCTGGCAGGTGAGGTCCAAAGCTATTAGATATATTCGGGCGTGGAACTTCCCATAGGCACTGTAAAATGAAGGGCATCTGAAGTCACGTCAAAACTTTGGCAGCAGTGGTAGTGCTGCGGCGTATCCGCTACCCTCACTTTTTAACGAAAAAAAAAACAATGAAAAGTGCGAAAACATTGGAATTTTTTTAGCATTTTTCTTAGGTGGGACGCAGCTTTACTACCCAAGTTAGCGCTACAAATAAGTGTATTGTAGCTCAACAGTGGCTTTGATGGCGGCATTTCACACGTGCCACGCCCTGTACGACCCAAAGATTGCGGCATTTGCGAGCCACCGCGGCGCAACCGAGACGAGCGGGGACTCACACTTCGCCGATGGGCTCGTAGGTCGAGCCGGTGACCTCGAACTCGTGGAAGGAAATGTCCCCGGGGTCGGCCTTGTCGATGATGAAGAAGCGGCTGACGGACATCTGGTTGGTGGTGAGCGTGCCCGTCTTGTCCGAGCAGATCACCGAGGTGCAGCCCAGAGTCTCCACCGAGGGCAGGGACCGTACAATGGCGTTCTTCTTGGCCATGCGCCGGGTGCCCAGGGCCAGGCAGGTCGTGATCACCGCCGGCAGGCCCTCCGGAATGGCCGCCACCGCCAAGGCTACCGCAATCTTGAAGTAGTACACGGCACCCTTGATCCACGAGCCGCCGTGCGCCGGGTCGTTGAAGTGGCCAATGTTGATGGCCCACACCGCCACGCAGATCACAGAGATCACCTGGGACGGAGGTCGTCACTTCAGCGACGCCTCTCCACCATCGCCGGCTTTGGCACACAGCCTCGGCAACATATGCCACAAACACAAACTATAGTAGTATTGAGGTCAAGAACTAAAGTAAAAAAAAGTCCTGCTCCTTCCATAGCGTCTCTGATTTACCCCTTTATGTGGTGACATAAGATATATGCAGATGCATTTCAGATTAGCCATTTCATTGAGACATACATGTTTCACATGCCAAAAACATTGTTTCCACCCCGCCATCCAATTTTTTTAAGAACTACTTCGTGCAGTCTTCGACGGGGTCACTCGCCATGCTTCAGAAATTTATCAACACCATTAAGATGGTGGTGGATGCTCTAAGGAGCCGGCTAAATGCGAGTGAAGAAAAAACGTTGGGAAGAGGTCACCAACACGGTTGCAGACGGATGGCCACAAGTGGCGCCCTCACCTTGGAAAGTTGCTCGCCAAACTCGTCCAGTTTCTGCTGCAGGGGTGTCTTCACTTCCTCAGTCTCCGTCATCTCCGTCCTGATCTTGCCTGCGGGATGGTTCGCATCGTCAGAGAGGAGCAAGGAGTTGGACGCCACGGCAAGAATCGAAGCGACCCTGGAGGGCGGTACATACCGATGGCAGTCTCCAGACCGGTGCCCACCACGATGCCGATGGCTTTTCCGGATGCAATGTTGGTTCCCTGCATGGGTCAAAGGTCGTCGTGTCGTCAATCGGCGTGAGACTCGCAGCCTGACTGTGCCAATTCTCCCGAGCACAAATGTTTACCTAGATCGACACGCTCTAACAGAAACAACCTGTTCCACCCGCACTGTAGCCACTTATCAGGTCGGGCATATTTTGACCACCTAAAAACTCTTAAAAAAAACTAGCTTCAGATGAGAAGCGAATTCCAGATAGTAAGTGGCTCAGAGCAGCTCGTGAAAGTTCGGCGGTTGGTGAGCCCGCAAAAACAGACGTGGCAACTTTTAAAAATAGTGAGTACTGCGCCTTGGAAACTGTTTGGCAAATCTTGCACCATAGGTTGCAACTTAACAAGCGACGTTTTCAAACAACCCAGATATTTAGCGGACTGCTTACAATGCTATACTCATTTTCACCTCAACAAATAGTAGTCTTGCACATTGTTCCCATGCCATTCGAAATAGTTCTTGCAAGATTTGATTGTCGAAGAAACAATGCTTTTGGCATTTGAAACAGATATGTCTCGGTAAAATAACATATATCTCATCTAAAACAGACCTACATATATCTTAATTCTTTACGTAAAAAGAGAAATGAATAATGCTCCACGACCAGCCGGACTTTTTTACCGCGGTTCTTGAGGTGAAAACGAGTATAGTTGGCTCGAAAGGCACGAAATTAGTTAGCTACGCCGCGAGTTTTTAAACTAGGCAACCCAATGACAATCTTACTCGTGAAAGACTCTGATCCTTTCGTCAAATTGTTTGGGGCAACTGGAAACAACTTTACATCGAGCAGGCCACCCATTTCGGACTACCACGTCCTTACGCCTCAAAGAAAGAGTCTCCACAATGCGGTGGGTCCACCAAAACGAGGATTAAAGCCTAACCTAACCTAACCTACCCACAACCTCGGTTTTCCGCGAGACAATCCCATTACAGTCTTCCTCTACCAAGAGGCCAGGAGAGGAAGGGATTAGAACCAATACCACCCATAGTCAGTGAAAGGTGAAGAGTTGAGGGGAAGCTCCTCCCACCTCTTCCCACTTGAGCAAAGTTAACGGTGGAGAGGAGGCAAACCACTCTCCAGCATTCGCTCTGCTGAAATGGAAAGAGCTGGGAGGAGTTTCCCCTCACCTCTTAGTAACCAACTATAGAAGACAAGGCCCGCACAGGACACCCACCCCAAGCGGCAAACTGTTCAAAGTGGCAGACGCATGCGTCTTGGCATGCTGCTGGTGGCACTGCGTAGATCCACTAGTGACACCGTTTGAAGAGGGGAAGGGGGAATAGTATTGCTCAAATCCTTTCAGGAGGAGCCAGCATGCAAAGGTCCTCTGAGAGGGGAGGGGGGACCCACCGAGAAGAGGATGTTCTTCTTGTCCTGGTTGACGGCCCTGGGGTCCGGGATGGGGTCCGTGTGCTTGATGACCGACACCGACTCCCCCGTGAGGATGGACTGGTCCACCCGCAGGGTGGTCGACTGGATCTTCACCAGCCGGATGTCGGCGGGCACCTTGTCTCCCACCGACACCTCCACCAGGTCTCCCGGCACAATCTCCTTGGCCCGGATCTTCTGCACCCCGTGCTTGTTGGCTCGCAGCACCTTGCCCATCTCGGGCTCGTACTCCTTCAGGGCCTCAATGGCGCTTTCTGCATTGCGTTCCTGAGCGGGGGGGGGGGGACACCAACAGACACATTGGGCTCTGCTAGACTCCATCTTTAGGCAATGCGCTTGCGTTTGCTTAGGACCCAGTTTTTGCAATCTCTTGCACCAAAAAACCCTGGGCGCTGTCTATGAGGTGACCCTGGCATTTCGGCGAAAGTTTTGCGGTATTTGAGAGATCAAATGTATCTGTGAGAAATAATTGTTTATAACATCGTCAAAGGCAATGTGTTCCATGACTACACGATAGATGATGCCAGGGCTTTCTCTCGTCGCAACAAAGAGCTATTAAGGCACATGGTCATAAGCAGTCGCAAGCATGTGAACTAGCATTTAAGTATACTGCTCTTGGCACAGCAAGGTTTCGTCGGCGCTAGGGTTCCTCATTCCTACAAATCACAAGCTTTTTTTTTTTTTTTTTTCAAATATAAGTTGATCAAGCCTTCGAAATATAAAAAAAAACAAAAAAAACTGCTTACTGTGTTGGGGTAATAGATACTGCAATTACTTCTTTCACAACATTCAACATTATGTAACTATATATTTAAAAAAAAGAAAGAAATAATTATAGTTTTCCTTACAGCAGAGCCTCCCCCACTCGTTATAAGTTCGCTTTTTACGGGGAAAAGAATCTTGACTATCAAAGTCTCAAACACCTGTACTGGCATTACAAGAACAGTTGCCAACCAATTTTTCCGGAATCCGATAATTCAAACTTGTTCGATATTTCCGACCTAAAAGGAGGAACCGCGACCTACCCGGGAGAAATAGAGCACATTCATGACCAATGTTTCGGACAGCTTGAAGTCCAAAAGTTTGACATCTCGGACAAAATCGACGCAAACGGTGAGCGGAACCAAAAAGCCGCCATTTCAGATTCTATGTTGGCTGTGCATGGATTGGCTTGGTTTGGCAGCACAACTTGAGTACTGCCAAGTCCTTCTGCTACGCAATGCTAAGCTAAGGCTTTCTTTATTTACTTTTTAACCTAGCTGCACACTATTATCGTCATCATCATTGTTACCATTTTGCTCTGTTCATTCGCCATTCTGCAGTTGTGGACTCGCACCTCTCATCTCGTCTTGGTGAATCATGTTTTCAGACTACGCTGGCTCGGACGTCCATGGTCCCATCTGTCCTTCAGCCACCGCTAAGTATCGCTAAGAAGCGCGGAAAGAGCTAGACCATAATGCTAGAAAAGAAGGCAGCGATTCTCGAGCTAATAGAAAATGGCCAAACGCAAGCGGAGGCATAACCTGAAGCAAGGCACTATTGATAGCTTTTTCTCAGCCTGCTGAGATGTAATAAAGGCAAGTTCTTTAATCTGCCGATTTTTTGGACTACTCTATTTTTCGGACGTTTTCTGGGTCCCTGCAAGGTCCGAAAAATCGGTCGGCAACCGCACTTCAGCTTCGCTTCACTGCATCTTTATCTTAACTGTTGGCGACGAGATGCTTTGTTGGTGCCCTCTTCTGGTGCCTATGCATGACGTCACCACCAGAACTATAGTTGCTGATGAACAGTTTGACGGTGTGTGTGAAAAGCACGATGGAGGCTCGCAATCGTTGTGTTCTTAAGCCAACGCCGTCGAAGTGGATGGTCCGACACTACTCTTATTTCCGTCATATTGGCAGAATTCACACCACTCGATTGTCGCAGCGAGCGTGTGGCCAATCGTGAAAGGCCGACAACAGCAACGCTTTTGGTCACGCATGTCGTATATATCAGTTATTTAGTGCTACGGAAAGGTTCCACTGCAAGCACAGAGCAAGGAGAGACGACATACCTGCCAGACGCCCACCACGGCATTGGCAATCAGAATGAGGAGGATGACAAAAGGCTCGACGAAGGCGGTAATGGAGTCTTCATGCTCCTCAAATAGCGCCAGAACCTGGAACAAGAACAAAAGCCATAGCGTGCTTCAGGTTCACAAGGTCACACTGTTCCAACACTGCACACTTCTGTTTCAGCAACACCCAAACGAACGCCAAAAAGCTATGGCCAGTGAATCAATGAAAGCATCGCAGCAACGCACATGACCTTGCCCCCACAGTAAGAGCTCCTCCCAAATTTCTTTAGCATATCCTATTTCGGCTAATATAAATTAAAGTTGAACACTGGTCTCCGAGCTTTTTTTCCTCATTTTTTGACCAAACAAAATGAAACAGCACAAGCTTGTTCAGATTTTTATGTCGATTTCAGATATCTGGTATTTTATTTAATAAGAAAGGTTAATTCTCAACATAATTAAAATTAACTCACCTTTAAAAAAAAACAATACTAAAAAACAAAAACAAAAACAATATAATAAGAAAAACTATTTTTAAGAAACAAATGGCCAGATATTACCAACTATGAAGAGTACAACATTGAAAGCACTTTTTAGATGAAATCATTATTAGTGAATTAACAACACACAGAAGTTAACAGTTTAATGTGCACATACCAAGCAATAGAACAATAGTTTGGTTGAAAATTTTCCTACACCTATATTGAAAAATCTGCTTCCAACATTATATGCTTTGCACATATAGCTACATGGTGTTAAAAAGTTATGTTTCTGTTTGCCCTAGATGCTGAGACATCCTTCCTGAAAATTTGCCGAGTCCGAATTTTGTGTTTTCAGAGAGTAATGTTTCAGCATCAACTTCAGAGCAACTTTAGCCTGCTAGATATTATAAAGTGATATTATGGCTCAATTATTTATCTTCAATATAAGACTTTTGGTGGATCAAAAGAAAAATAGCTAAAAATTCCAAAATTGCCACTTCAAAAAAAAAAAACAAAAAAACTTTATTTTACTTAAACGAAAGAGAGACATTGAAAACAGACAAACAAAAGCCTGCATTGTCATTTGTTTTCAATGTCCCTCTTTCGTTGTCGTAAATTAGAAACCAACACGCTCAACCATCTACCAAAACACCTTTTTAGGGATATTTTTATTCAAAGCTTCAGGCCTCCCCCTGAAGCTCGTTTTGAGCTTTCCATATCCCATCACGGGCAACAAAGCGGGGAATTTGTAGCAATCCCCAGTGTTGCAACAAGCTCAAAACAACCAGACTAGAGGTACCAAGTGAGCTTCGAGAAAGCCATTCCCCTCCACTTCATTTTCTCCCACAGACACTCAAAGAAAGCAGATGTGTACTTACAAATGAAATTACAGCAGCTAATAATAAAATCTTCACTAGAAGGTCGTCAAACTGTTCCAGTATAAGTTGCCACAAAGGCTTGCCTGAAACAAACAAAAAAAGAAGCAACGGATTATGAGCATCACACTTCCCTCAGAAACACTACAGATTTACAGCTAGAATACAATTTTCTTAAAGGACACATGCAAAGAAAAAAATATTTTTTTTAAACAGCTTGGATGGGAAAAGGATATCATAAAACGATTTTACAACAAAGAAAGAAAATTTTTAGAGCTATATTTACGGCGCTATATGAATTTGTGGTTGGCACCCGCGGGAGCCGCCGCTGGTCACGTGGTAGGCCTGTGCGCCGCCGCCCCGCGTCGCCGCCGAGCGCATGCTGAGTATTGTACGATTCCGCTTCAATGCGTTTCTCCACACCGCCGTCGGCGCCACCGCACAAGTTTGTCTGCTTCGGGGCGCCCACAGGTCTGTTACGTTTGCTTGCGCTTTTTTGAGGAGTTTCCTTTGGGCTCTAAAAGCTACTTATTAATCTTAGTTTTTTGTTGTGCTCCAAACAAAGATGAATGAGTTACTTTTAAAGGCCATAGGAAGCTTTTGAAAGAGCGCAAGCACCATGTGAGAAATATGGGCCCGTCATGTGATAAATAAGGGCCACTTTTCCGCGGTGGCCGCGGGCGCCAACTACAAATTCGTATAACACCGTAGATATAGCTCTAAAATTTTTTTCTTCGTTGTAAAATTATTTTATGATATCCTTTTTCCATCTAAGCTGTTTAAAAAAATGTTCTTTTCCTTTGCATGTGTCCTTTAAGAAGCAGGCACTGATACGATCACAACTGGCTTTTAATTACAGTCCAAGCTCATTATAACAGACCTGGTTACAACAGACATTTGGATATAACGTACAGATTTGTCAAGTTCGGCTGGTTTTCATCTATGTACCATTGACTCAACTTTATATCTGCACACAACATACTCCTTTTACAACAGACCAAAATCTTGATCAAAAACAAAGTCTGTTATAATGAGCTTAGACTGTATTAACAATGTTCGCCCCCTCTAAGCCACGATAAGTTCCAAAGAAAAGCCGAGTTCTATTGCATGCCATTGGTTGCGACACCGAAACACCACTGAAGGGAGGTAGTTTCCCCCATAAGTCAATGAACTTTACTCCCTTCCTGTTCTAAACACACCACTGACGACAAAATGCCTTACATGCTTTGAAATGAAGATGGGAACTATCAACGACACGAAGAACTATCTGCTGCCAGCTTCCAGTGCATTACCAGCGAGAAATTTTCCTCGCAGAACTTTCAAAGAAATGATTTGTCCTTCCAAATTTTTTTGCTGAAAAAATGTGAGTACAATAAAGGTTTTCTCGGGAAAAATAGGTCTTTGATTGCCCAAATAGTACTCATATTTGTAGCGAATGCTCAATACATGCCCAAACCTATGTCATTCTGAACTTCCATTTTCCTGAAACCAATTCACTTTCCTCTCAAGCTCACGAAAGAAAAATGCCTAGCTGATATACCTCCCTAAACCAAACTATGTATGCCTGTCTTCACACCCACCAACAATGTTTAGTTTGCAATAAAGACTGCCAAAGCTCCACTCACCCTCCTCAGCTGGCAGTTCTGCAAACAAACGAGGGAAAAGAAGAAAAGAGAGAAAACATCAGTTCAGTTGTTTTCTCAAAGGGGCAGACTTAAACGACAACCCCTCCGAGAATACCCCCGATCACCCAGAGACAACGGACCCAAGACCAGCAAACTTGGACCTCCAGGCCAGACTGGCATAAACAGACGTCAGAGAGTGAAACCGACTTGCTTCGAAGGAGGAATGCAGTCTGGCCGGAACCCCGTTTACTGTCTTCTCCGCCCTCTCGTCTCTCTATCCGCCAAACCTTCTAGCCACACGACGGGTCAGCCACGCTCCCCTACCCACGCAAGAGTGCACGCACCATCCTTTATCCACGCCCTGCATATGGCTACGGAAACCTATCTGTGTAACCCCAAGTACAACAATTATTTCCACCTTTAGCTGGCAAACAATACGATCCAAGGTGTTCCTTTTTCACTGCATCTTTCTAACAATAATTATATTTGTTTGCGAGTCATTCAAATGCTCTCAAAGTTAACTGTTTCTTACGTAGCTGAAAAGGAGGGTTGCGATTTTCTGAATTTTTCTCCGACAGATTTGGCATATAAGCAATTGGTCTCTAGTATTCCAGGACAACGAGACTAACATTATTCTGTACTCATTTGGCAATGACAAGACTATGACCAATAACATTACATAGTAAAAAAAAAAGTGGATATGTAGATAGTTTACAAACATAAGAGGAAGTGTAGCAGTACCAAACATAAGAATTTAACTCTCCATCTGGTTTCATGCATCTTTTGCTTGCCAATGTGTCAGAAATATAGCGTTACTATCAAAAATACCTTTACTCATCGCATCTCCAGTTATTACATAAAATATGTTGGGAGTAAGACAATAAGCACTCAACATTCCACTCAACCTTTGGAGTTAACTTTCACCCATCGATCTATCGAGAATACTCGCCGTACATAAATAAAAATTTTTCAGGACCAAAAGCCCTCGAGACAAGCTGCAATGGCACTACAACTTCCGCCTGCCAAGGGAGGGTTGAGAACACTGTCCTTTAAAGCACCTCCCATCAACGCACGAGAGGCCCCTAAAGGTTCTGCATGACCAAGCTGAACGCCTCGCAATTCGGAACCAACCAGATAAGCTACATACCTGAAAGGCTACGTATCTTTTGCCGCCTGCACTGGCTACTGCTAGAAAGAACCTCGCACTACACCGATCCACAAAGCCAACACCGGCTACCCAGCATCGTCCCCCACTCCAAAACGTTGCAGCAACGAGCGCGACTATGCAAGACCAGAGGCAAAAGCAGCAGAGGCAACCACTACGACCGCCGCCGCATGCGGCCGCTAGTCTAGGTGAGGTGCCGTCCCCGGTGCCTCAGCCAGCTAACGGTGCACGCTAGCGTGCACGCTAGTGCACATGCATGTGCACACACACACTTCTCCGACGCCTACTTACGTCCTTTTTCTGCCCCCCGAGGGTGGGCTCCGGGCGACGCCGGGCACTGGGTGCTGCCCCATACGGAGCAGACGACGCAAGAAATACCGTTTAGCGTCACATCCCACCCCACCCCACTTGCAGTTTTATACATAGCCAGTCCCTCTGGCGTCACCTTTTGGAAACCAAGGTCTAGTGCTCCCCATCCCATCCACCTTATGAGCGTGAAGCAAATATTAATTTAATTAAACTTCTATCCCATTTTGAATCTCTGATAAACAGCAGTTCCACGCTGAATTGTCGCTCGTAAGTGCAGTATTCAAATCCAATGTTAAGCGTGGGTTGAAAGCAATGATAGTAGAGGCCCTCCACCAGTGGTTGGGACAAAAGGCAACAAGCTCAATGGAAATGTGAGGGTCAAAGAGAAGCATGTAAACATGCACAAAAGATGCGCAGCATTGCCTTCTTTGCCAGGGCAGAATTGCAAAGCTGGATCGCACAACCTCCGAGAGGGGGTAGCCCTAAATGACACTCGAAAAGCTCACACTAGATTCTCTTCAAGTGCTGCCATAAAGGAAAGCCAGAGCATCGGCCTTCCAACACAATAATGAGGCGGTGAAGCAATGCTTCCCAGCTGCCAAGCAAGGGGCTACTTCAACATAGCTTCACAGGTTGCTAGTGCTGCGGGAGCAACGAGCCAGAGACCAAGAGGCAAACGCCACAATATCCAGAAAGATGGCTCGCTCTGACGCAGCGAGGCAAAATGAATTAAAGGAAGGGGCTAGGCCAATCTTGCTCTAGCCAAAATAAGTCCTGCAACATTTTTTTTTACATGGATCAAGCGCGCATCATTAGCTGTCCTAGAAAGTACCACAAATGCAGCATTACTTCAAATGCCAAAATAAAAGAGCTAAATTTATTTAATGATCTAAGGAATCAGCGAATACCAATCTGAAAAACTCATTTTCCATCCTGTCACGCAAATTGCCTCAAACCCGAGTGAGAAATCTCAGGACTCTGGGCAGTACCTTTTTCGTCAACAGAAAACTGGACAGAAAACATAATTGGGCTATCTTTCAGTTGTGGGTTACTTTCCAAAATATTTTACTCAGCAATTTCTTTTTACAGATCAAATAAAGACATCAAGTAAAAAAAAAAACTGTGTGTGCAGAATGGAACTCACTATAACTATAACCGAAACCTACTATAACCAGCACAACAAAACTCTGCACCGAGAAGACCACATCAAACGAAAACCAAACAAAAATGAAAACTGAGTATAAATTGCAGCAATCAGTACTGAATTTAAAAATAAAAAAAAGGAAAACCACTGGTCATGACACTTTTCTGCACTACAAATCGATTCCAGCTGTGCCTTTCATTGTTTTTCATTTTCTACTTGGTCGTTTGAACCGCCGCATCGCCAGTTAACTTGTTCATCCATTCAAGGTGCAAGCAAGATGTATGACCCTCAAACAAACGCGCACGGGAAGGTGGGAGAAAGAGAGAGAGAGGGTCTCACCGTTGGGACCATACTTGTCCTGGAGCTTCTTGACCTGGGACTCTGACAGCCCCCGCTCGGGGTCCGTGCCAAAGTAGTCTAGCACCTCCTTGTATGGCTTGGCGTGGGCCAGCTCCATGCTTGCCGTTCGCCTCCCTCGGGATCAGCGCTGCCCCCCGCACAACCAAGGCCGCCCTAATGCTCACGGCCCTCTCCGGCACCCTCTGCCCTCAGCGCTGCGAGGAAACCAATCACAACGTCAGCGCCACCAACATTCTCAGATCTATCAAGCTCCACGGAAGAGCGTCGTTCAAAAACGGTTCTTCTCCGTTTCCAGCACACAAGCAGGCACAGGCGGATAGCATTGCTAGTGCCACCGGCGGCAACGCCTCCGCAAGAAAGACCGTTTTGAACGATGCTCTTTTTGCACAAACTTTACGCTTTATCATAAAGCCGCAACATAATCACTTTCCACCACAAGCGATAGGCGTCCGACGTTCCACCGGTTCCGTCGCTTCTGTCCATGGGGTGGGCCAATAGTGCCACCGTGCGGGCGAGCCGTGAAAAGGCACCGGGTGTCTAGGAAGCTTGTCAACCAGCTCTTATCTAGTAACGTTGAGCGTCACCGTGAGAATTATACATAAAGCACAACACTGGGCGTACCAACCGGGGGGGGGGCAAGGGGGCGCTAGCCCCCCCAGTTCTCAGAGTAGGGGGGGGGGGGGGGGGGGGGCAAGAATGTATTTTTCACCCCCTGAAAGAGCCGCCGCTGGGCAGAGCAAACACTGGCCGGCGGCACCCAAAGAATGCCACGGGCACCGCCCCCCCCACAATGGGGGGGGGTCTGGTTTGCCCCCCCCCCCCCCCCCCCCCACTTAAAAACAAGTTGATACGCCACTGAGTACAACGCCTCTGACGCACCGCATACGTCGACACGCAACTTTGACGTAACGAAAACCTACAGCAGCGTCAGTCGACAGCTGGCGAACTATTTTCAGCTCCGGCCCGCTGCTCCCAGAGACGGTGGCAGGGACTATTGGCCTTGGTGCTGCTGTTATGTGGTTCTGGTCGGCTTGTTCACGTATCGTGCAGTTTTAACGGAAAAAGAGAGTGCATTAATATAGGAATAATTGTGTTTTGCTTAGCAACTTCGAAAAATCAACATGGTCATTTTCTTAATAGGCGTCAACATCTCCATCCCCCGTGATATGCCCCTGTCCCAACAGCTTCGTATTTGTAGTCATATACTGTAAACCACTTACGGGCAAACATTTTCGCGAATCGGGCCATAGCTGAAAATTTGGAATTATTCGCGGGTTCCAATTTTCGCGAATTGAGTGTAGCTTCCGTAGCGTTCACATATTGCCCGAATTGTTCGCGGAACGTATTTCTCGCGAATTGTAGGTGATTGACGAAAATTAGGTCCTCGCAAAAATTTAGTCGTTTACAGTATCTTAATTTTAGCACACTATCGTCAGCGAGCAGGCGCACAGAAAATTCGGGAGAACCTGTCCCAGTCTCTTTCGCCATCTTGGCACTACCGCTCTACCATCTAAAGGGCGTTGGGTTGCGAATACTAGAGTCAGTACACACTGGCCCGTGTTTATGCAGTTAGCACGGCAGACTCGAGCAAGATTCGTTGGTGCGCCAGGTGGCAAACACAGGATGTCACAATAGACCCTTTTCAAAATTTAGTGCCATCTGGTGGTTCAAAAAGCAGCTTCATTAGCGACAAACTAATGGCAGTCATAAAACTGTATTTCATCAGGCACCATCACTTTCGCATATCAGTAGAAGATGACAATTGATTTTTTGATCGCCTCACAATTCTTGATTTGTTTCAGTTTCAACGGCGTGAACTTAACTGACCCATACAAAGCGGCAACCGATAAGCCAATCGATTAAATTTCTGCGATCAAAAGGCTTGAGGCAAACTTGTGCCAAAAAATTGATTGGACCACACTTTTAAATAAACGCTTACGCAGCTGTTGTATTCAATGTGCGTGTCATGTAGTACTGATGTCTTCAACAAACAGGCCTCCCATATCCTCAGCTTGGTGTATCTTCAATTTTTTTCTTCATCAGCCTCAAGAAGGTCACTATTAGTGTGGCAAAGATGCCATAAACCGAGATGATAATGAGCAAAGTTGCCAGATTGATTTTCAAAAAGGGTCTGTTGGTCGAGGGAAATGGGCATAAGAGTCGGGGAATGATAAATGTCTGCACAGTTAATGTGCGGCCATTGAAGGCAGCCAAACAGATGGCAGTAGCAACTATTATTTGCAGTACCCCAACAATGTGTAGCCTGCTATCATACCTGGTAGGTTCAATGAACAAGACTTTAAAAAATTCCGGATTGAAAACCTCACATTTAGGATCTAAATTGTCGTGAGAGCGAGTTTCACCACTCATTTAAAGATGACGGTGAAATGATGACAATGACGGTAAAGATGACAATAGTTAATGGACTGCTTGTAGTCCAGTAACTATTGTCATCCTGATGTCTGATGATAACTGATGTCCAGTGACTGTTGAGACATTGTATCACAATTGCCCAAGCAGCACTTTATAACCCTGAAGATTACAAATTCAATATTTCTGTGCCATTGTACCTTGTGCAGCTGAAGCGAACTTGAAACCTTTCCGATTATTCAAAGCCCCACGTCTGTGAGCGGAGCTCGCGTCACAACAATTCCTTGAAAAAACCAAGCTTCAGTTCCTGTGCACACTTTCTACCTCCCAGTTGTTCACACTGAAGGAATCTGTTCCAAAGCCACTTTGTTCTCGATAAACAAATATTCCACATATGTTTGAAGTCACTTTTTTAGATGTCATTAGGCCACCATTTCACAGGGACTCCCCCAAGCATTTACGGAGACGTTAACAGTGACGCAGAAAGCCCGACTGAAGCTTTGCACTGCTCTCTTCCCGCTGCAACACGAAATGTTGTCAGTCCCAAGCAAGCTCAGAGGGTTTCTGACCTAAAGAGCTTTCAAGATTGGATCAGTATTTCGCCAGATAGCGACGACAGTAAAGTCCTTTTTAACGACCCGCCGACATTTCCAAAAAGGAAGTGTCTGTGGTCGCCAATTATCTGTACAAGGAAAAAAAGAAGAGAAAAAAAAGTGCAGATTGCGACACGTAATAACGGCGCGCATTAGCACCGTCTCGTAAGGGAACAACGATCTTGCCTGGCAAATCAGGTGTAAGAGGCTTTTCTTTTCCTTAGCGAAACGAAATGAATGAACCCCCCCCCCCCTTTTTTTTTTTTTTTTTCTTAACGAAACGTTTCTGCTCTGCTGTTTAGCGTCGCATTTCTTTGGCAAGGCACGGAACTACAGTGCTTCGTAAAACATGCCCTTTGAAACTGAGAATGTCGCAAGATTTCTTGCACCGGGGCACATCGTATGCGTGAAACATGCCACCGGACACTCGGATACGTCATCACAAGTCAGTTGGTGACAATGCCGTTTTGAGGGTCGAAAATGTGTGGTTGAAAAAAGAAAATAAAAAGTCGCACGCACGTTTTGCAATGGCGAGCACGCCGGTCACGGACTTGCGCTGCTTTCACAACGTGGCGAATCGACTGAATCGCGATGCGCCATGGAAATCGTCGATGAGGAAAGCTATCCGGGCTGGATCGCTGTTCGGTGCCAGCAAAAAAAGTCAACAAATGGGTCTTGCAGTCTCGCACTACGCGTTTAAAATGAAATTCTCGTCACGCGACTTCCAAAGGAACGTCAAGAAGCGAGAGCTGACCCCTAAACCCCTTGTCGTCGAGATGCTTTCGCGAGCTTGGAGGCGGCGAATACGTTGAGCGTGCACGATTCACTCCATAAATTGGGTTTGCGACGTGGTTTGTGGCGGCTAAGGATCTTGTGGGCAAAAATTAGCGAATTAAAGGTCCGACGGCATAACCACGACGCACGCACCGTTGTCCCCCGCAAATTTGCCCAAACGTCTTAGAAAAAAAAAAAAAAAAAAACTGGATTTTTTATTTGGCGACTAAAAGGGGCAAAGGAGTGTGGGCAGGCATCAGGAAAAACGAAGGAGTCGCATGACGTGCAGTCTCCAAAGTAGTCCCAAGTCGACGTTTAGGCCTAGGTAATTCATCGTCCCGGTAGCCGGCACGATCCCGAACAAAACGACCACGTTTAAAGCCGGGCACGGCGTTATCTACCGAACATCGGCTCGCCAGCATTATCGGAACGCAAAAGAAAATCGTCATACGTACCATCGTACCATTTAAATGCTGTAGTAGGGGGGGTCGAGACGCAAAACTTTTCCGTCGGGCAGTGCAGATGACAGGGGAACACACTCAACAAAGTTCATGTGGAGAACGGTCATTGGACGTGCCTCGATCACGTGACCGCCGGAAGTTCCGGAGATGAGCCAATGGACACATATAGAGAAGACGTCACGTCCGGGAGTTTCCGGCATGTGTGCGTCGTGTCGGCGCGTCGGCTGCGTGCTTCGCTGGCCTGAGCAGACGACCCACCTGCTGTGTTGCGCGATGCTCACGTTTGTGCTCACTGCGCGCCTCGGTTTTGCACGGGAGTCGCCGTCGGGAACGTCCGTGTTAACCGAGAATGAGTCAGGTGAGACCGAACAGGTGTCGTCTGCTGACGAGCTCACCTCGGTCGGCCTCCAAGAAACATCCGACAGGTCACAGGCCAACGTTGCCACACGCGTGGGGTGAACGGGGTGAAGGGGTCAAATAAGGTCATTTTCCTCCTTTCCACTCTTCCTAGTATCTTCTTTCACCCACCCGGAATGCTCCTTAGTCGTTGGGCTTTTTTTTTTATTTCCTCTGTATGTTTCTAACACTTGTTTTTTTCCTCCATCGTCTGTATGTCTGATCTGACATTTTTATTTGTATGTCTTTAGGATGTCCTAACATTCGAGGGACGTCCCATGCATGTTCATAGGACATGTGTGCTGCTTGGGTATTTGTTTGCGTACATCGTCTGCTTCGCGGTGCGGAGTTATTTGGAAAAGTAAAGAAGAAACAAGAACCACACTGGTGCTGGTTCATCCGGAAACACATAGAAACCTAAAACAACCGTGCTCGTATGTGCGAGTGCGCGATTTATTTTGCACCCATTTTATGTCCTCGTTTTTGCTTTAACTGTCAAAGGGTTTTCCCCAACAATAAATAAATTTCTTGGTCGGAAAATGTCACTTCCTGAACTGTTACGAGAAATGCCTGCCCAGACCCGCAAGAACACGCGCATTAATTTCGTCTGCTTCATTAGTGGCCGCGCTTATTATGGCGCCTGTTGCATCCTGCCCTACAGAAACACGTGTCGTAACAAATGGAAGCGACGCGCACCGTCGCGTGCGCGGAACGCGGTCTATCGACAGTGCAGCGCAAAACAACGCCCGCCCCAAAATAGACGACATCTCAAAAGGGCAGCGTCATAGTGCGCCTAGATTTTAGAGTGTTTCCAACTGCTCGATTGAGGTCACGTGCGTTGATCAAAGCGTCCCTGCCTTTTCGTCCGCTTTCCTCCTTGCCAGGCGACGACGCAACGCGCGTGCGCTCCAGTTGCGCCCTCTCTTAAATCTAGGCTCTCTGTGGCGGGTGTCACATTGCGGCAGTCCCGGCCTTGCATCTCAGGCCCAATTAGACGGCGCGTCTCGTGCAGGTGATCAAGGAGAGTCAGTGTTCGTGTGTATCGGCTCTCGGGCGCCATTTTTAGAACATCCTCTCGCAGTCTGAGTCGTTTAATTGCACCAGGGTGCCTGAGCCGGTTAAGGCGCTGGATACTCTATTCCATTCACTACGCAGCACTTCATTCGATGGGTACCTTAAAGTTTTAACTTGTCGTCGCCCGAAAAATGCCATTCAATAGATCGGAAAACGCCATAATCCGGTCCCTCAAATGCCATTAAAATCCAAAAAGAAAGATTTTTTTTCTTCTTTTCTTTTTTGGACGACGACGTACTGGCAATTTTTTTTTAAGTCGAAAATAAAAAATAAAAAGAAACACAAAAAGGAAAGCAATATTTTATTGAAAAACCATCAAATGTTTATAAAGATTATGACAATAATCCTTACGCATTAAACTGCGGCTCGACAACCGACTCATTGGGAAGAAAAGCTATGTTTATGTACCTGGCTCTGTCTTCGTTAACGAATTTTACTACCGGGAGCCAACTCACACTTCCCCTGAAAATAATGCCGGTGCTTCTAACTCTGGTTCAACTCCTCAACCACAATTTAATTTTCCTAAACCTTATGCCTCTAATCTCAATCAAGCCCAGCAAAAATGTGCAGTAAAAGGTGGAAGCTCTGATGCTATCATGTACAGGAATCGAATATTATTTATGTTATTTTTAGTAACATTGGAAGCGTCAAGAACAAGAACGATTACTTATCTACTATTATTGACTCTTCTAACGCTCATGTTGTCGTTCTTACCGAGGCCTGGTTGTCCGCCAAGAAACGGAACAGTGAGATTTTAAATTGCCAATCGTCATGACAGGGTTGAAAGAAACGGTGGTGGCGTGTTGATATCAGAAAATATACATTCATTTCGTATCAACGTTATAACTGATTTGAAGGTACCGTAATCTAATCTTAACCAAAAGAAAATAATTGGGGCGTGTTATTACCCTCATTCTAGAAGTCGGACTTTTGTTTCTAAACTTCACGATGGCGATCAACACAGTCACTGTTCGCCTTCCAAATGTTCCAGTCATACTTTTGGGCGATTTTAATTATGCTTTCATAGTTTGGTCAGATGTTTCTACTAGCCTTAGTTCCTCCTCTTCAGAGTGTAGGGAGTTCGCGAACTTGTGTGTTGATTTTAATTTCTCCCAAATGGTTACCCAACCTAGTAAGCGTATTGCTGCTTCGACCTGTTCTGTTTTAGACCTCATCTTAACAACATCGCCTTGTGATAATTCTGTATAACATTTTTCTTTACACCTACATGTATGCTTTAGGTCAAAGGAAAGTAAGCGAATGTTTTATTATGCTCGAGCGTTGCCCCCCGTGTGTTTCTTTTGTTTTAAGTCAACTTTTTCTAGAGTTTTAGCTGGATTGTTTTGAAGAGCGCTCAATCGAGAATAACTGGTGTTTATTAAAAAAAAAAAAAAAAAAAAAAGTTGCGCCGCTTATGTAAGCGTACGTGCCCCTTTGCACTATTTTGTCTTCTCCCAAATCGCCCTAGCAAAAAAAAAAAAAAAAAAAGAAAAAAAAAAAAAATTCGAATATTTTGCGTTGAAAAGTTTTCTGAAAACAAACAGCGATGGTCAGCGTACCGTAGTGCAGCTGGTGTAAAAAAAAAAAAAAAAAAAAAAAAAAAAAACAGTTCTTGACGCAAAATCTTATTGTTTGAATGATACGTTACCTTCGTTGTTAGATAACCCGCGTCAAGTTTAGAAAGTTAATAATCCGTGTTTCTTTTCCAATATAACACTTAGGAATGTTGACGGAGATGAATTATCCAATGAACTGTGTTCTTCTGTTTTAAATGAAGTGTTTACTAAATCTTTCTCGATTCCAGTGAGTTCTTATTGCCCTTTATTTCCCGCCTGGGTTTATTTGCCTATGTATCCTGGCTTTGTAGAAATGAAGGAATTGCTAAGATTATTTATAACCTAAAAATGGCTTCTGCGGTAAATACTGATAACATCAACGATAAATTTTTGAAAAAAATATTAAAATGTGTTCTAGAATAATCCTATCCAAATTTTGTTTCTCAGTCAGTCCAACATGGAGTCTTGCCATTAGAATGGAAGGCGGGGAAGGTGTTTCCAGTACACAAAGGTGGCGATAAACAAAATCCATTCAACTTCCGTCCTATCTCCTTAACGAGCATACCATGCAAAATTATTGAACACGTAATTTTCTCTTAACTTGCGAACTTTCTGGATTCAAACTCTTTTCTTAACACACCACAATATGGTTTTCGGAAGCTCTACTCATCCGAAATCCAACTCCTTACCTTTACTCATAATCTCCATGTCACACTTGACGCAGGGTTCAAGAACTGATTGCGCGTTCCTTGATTTCTCCAAAGCGTTTGACAAAGTTCCTCGCGCCTTTCGTCTTTATTAACTTTGCAGCCTTAACATATGTCCATTAGTGCTTGTCTAGATAGAAGCCTTTCTGACTAACCGTTTACAGTTTGTCCGCACGCCAACGGAACTAGTTCTGCATACTTGCCTGTCAACATTCGTGTCCCAAAAGGTTCAGTGCTTGGTCCATTTATATTTCTTATTTCTATTCCTAACCGTGTTTCCTCTTCTGTTAGACTTTTTGCTGACGACTGTAATATTTACAATGAGATTCTTAACGACTCTGTTATCTCTGCTCTTCAGACCGATATTAACAATGTTCCCCAATGGTGCAACGACTACTTATAGAACTTAATATCTCTAAATTTAAATCCACGAGTGTGTCTCGTCAAATTAACAGCTGCCCTTCCTACCTCATCAATAACTCTACCCTACCTCGGTGTTTAAATGTCAAATGATCTGTTCCGAAATACTCATGTCGACTATATCACGAAAAACGCTAATCAATTATTGAGTTCCATGAAGATAATTTTTTCTTGCCCCTATCTTCTTAAAAATTCTTATTTATAAAACCTTCATTTGTCCTAAACTTGAATATGCTGCCTCAATCTGGAATCCTGGTATCAATCTCGCAACTGCCGCAGAATCCATCCAAAATCGCTCCGCCCGTTTTATACTTTTTAATTATCACCGTGCAGCTAGCACTACTTTAATGAAAGCCGCATTCTTATCCTTGCCTGTTCTCTTCATTGCAAAATATCCCGTCTATGTTTGTTCCATAAGATTTACCACTCTAACCCTACTCTCCGCCAAGCGCTGTTTTCTGAACCATTTTATACAAATCATCGCGCACCGATCATCAACTTAAAGTTGGGAGCTGCGGCACATCCACCTTTGCCTCAAACGTCGATTGACTGGAACGGCTTTCCCGCGTCCACTGTCACAATCACTGCCTCGGATAACTTTAGAATTGCCATTAGTAACCCCTTAAATGATGTTTCGTAATAATTTTGGGTATTCTTTGCCCTTTCGTTGTTATTTGCTTTATTTCTATATACTGTGCCCCACTCCTATCCGTAATGCCTTCGGGCCCTGAGAGGTATGATAAATGAAATGAAATTATAATAAGCGATATATCTCGTAAGAAAAACGCTCTATTATTAAGCATTACTTTCACACCTCTATTCGTAGTAAGCGGCTGACGTCAAACTGAGTGCTTCTACAGCGAGGGGTCTATCACCGCCTGCGATGTGCGATACTGGCTAAACGCGCAGTGTAAAAGAGATTTCGGCTATGCAGGACGAAT